TTTTTTTGCTAACTTATTCCAAATAAATCAGAACAAAATTTGTCTTTGTTAGCTTATTTCAAATAAGTCAGCATAAAATTTATCTTTACTGACTTATTTCGAATAAATCGGAACAATATTTGTCTTTGCCAGCTTATTTCAAATAAATCAGAATACGATTTTTCTTTGCTAGATTATTTCAAAGATATCAGAGCACGTTTTTTCTTTGCTAACTTATTTCGAATAAATCAGAACAAAATTTGTCTTGGTGGACTATTTCAAATAAATTAAAACAGTGGTTTTTTTGTTAACTTATTCCAAATAAATCAGAAGAATATTTTTCTTTGCCAGCTTATTTCAAATAAATCAGGACAATATTTGTCTTCGCTAACTTATTTCGAATAAATCAGGACAATATTTTTCTTTGCGAGATTATTTCAAAGATATCAGAGCACGTTTTTTCTTTTGTTAGCTTATTTCAAATAAGTCAGCATAAAATTTGTCTTTACTGACTTATTTCGAATAATTCAGAACAAAATTTGTCTTGATGGACTATTTCAAATAAATTAAAACACGTGTTTTTTTGCTAACTTATTCCAAATAAATTAGAACAATATTTTTCTTCGCTAGATTATTTCAAAGATATCAGAGCACGTTTTTTCTTTGTTAGCTTATTTCGAATAAATTAGAACAATATTTTTCTTTGCTGTATTATTTCAAAGACATCAAAACAAAATTTGTCTTGGCTAGCTTGTTTCGAATAAATCAGAATACGATTTTTCTTCACTAGATTATTTCAAATAAATCAGAGCAATATTTTTCTTTGCAACTGTACACAGCACGTGTATTTGATTGTTTATGATACAAAAAAGTCTCAGTCTAGATGATGTCTGTCATTACCTTGACAGTCATTTATATTTTTCTCTGTGAAACGTCTTCAAGCATAAATGAATATATTTATACATTTGGTCAATAGGTACCTGTTAGAGATTTTTTAAAAAATATAATGAAGAAATAATAATAACATCAAATGCTGTAAAATATTGTAGGTTATTAATATTATTGTTGATATGCAAAGGGATATCATAAAGTTAATCGTTGAATTGAAACATGATTTTTTGTAAATACTTTTCACTTAATTTTTGGGAACTTATTAAAATTATTCGAAATTAAATTGATAGTAATTTCACTCTTTAAAAATTTCAATTTCTTATACATGATTTTTATTGAATTTACAAAGTTTCAAAAAACAATGTGTAACTTAAATTTATTGATCTCTATCATACATAAAACTTTTGTTTTCAACTAATATACTAAATGTTCACACCTAAAAACCGAATTGCAACACTTTATTTTATCGTTTTTTTCAATATTTATTGTGATTTATTAGACTGAATAGAGAGAGAAGCAATAGTAAAGTTATTTTAATAGTCATCTATTTGAAAACTAAGAAAATCATCGAAATAATATATAATTTTTTTGTATCAGATAAAGATGAATATATATTTCTAATGTATACATGTCAAGCACATTTTTTGCTCTTTATTACACGACAAAATAGCGCTACGTAAAGTGTGGAATAAAATCTGATTGGCTCAGAACGACAAGGATAAGTTACATACAAAAATGTATGTAGCGTCTAAATGTAACTTATCTCGACCATATTAGAGTGACTGTCATTTCAACAAGAGGTGTCACTAATATACGTATATCAATATTATGGATATTCGATCTAATATACTTTTAAAACTTAACAAATTCTATTTGATCAGTTTTTGAGTGTACAAGTATTTTCTTCACTCGCATCGACACCTTTTTCCGTTCACATTCTATTTTTAGATCATCAGACAAAACAAGATCATTCTTGTTGTTTTTCACTTTGTGGACCTCATTAAAACCCATACTATACTGACGAGAGACGTACTCGACGTATCCACTCGTTTTAGATCTCAATAAGACCAACAGGAAGCCAAAAGGATTCGGATCTTTGTCTCTATATTTAAAAGTTATAGGCTTTGAGTGTGGATGTGGGTGTCGTAGAAGTGTGTGTGGTTAATAGTCTTCTCTTCATCCTTGCCCACACTCTACATAGATGATCGATATTATCAAGTAATTTTTGATTTACTTCGGTACTTTTGAATTAATTACGCAGCTGTACATTACAATCGATTTTGATTTGTAGTTGATGACATTTGAAAAAAATCAACGGAATGAGTCACATAATTTCCATCGTCATTCATATCATTCTTTGCCTATCTTATATAAAAATATGACATGGCAGCACCACCTGTTATTTGTTCACATGGATAAGTAAAATAAATTTATTTAAAACATTCTTATATTTTGTATTCTATACATTTATCATTCGAAAACTAAATCATGCTTATAATCGTTGGTATTATTACTTTTCTATTCTCGATTATTTGTGCAAAACTACCATTAGGTATTAAATTTCTATAGTATGCTAATATTATGACGATTTTCTTTTCTAGTCTTGCCAAAACAAAACTCAATAATAAACTTTGATGATATAATAAATTCAACGAGCACAGAAGGCGTGGCAATACCATTCAACTATGGTGGTTTAAGTTGGCAAAATGTTTTGGTTTTAAATGGTGTCGACTATGACATTCCCAATGCTGGATTTATCACGGGCGTTGTTAGTCCTAAATATGTTGCTTTTAATGGATACGGTAATCCAATGTCTATTTCAAGTGCGTCTGGCAGTTTATTTACAATAAATTCGTTTTATTCATGTGCTGCTTGGAATGATAACATCTCCGTAGAGATAGTTGGAAAAAGATCAGGTGATGTCTTGTATCGGAAAACAGTAGCATTATTAATACATACGAGAATCTTTGTTGAGCTCAATTGGTCTGGCATCGATAGTATATATTTTAATTCTACTTGTAAGAATTATTGCGATGCCACACATTTTACAATCGATAATTTGAATGTTATACTTTAAAGATGAAATTTTCGAAAACTATATAGTTTAATAATTGACATATCTTTTTGAATAAAAAATAAAAAAAAACAAATATATCATCTTTGCAGTCATCTTGTATCGTGCAAGGTCGAATTTTGAAAATATTTCAATAGCTGATAACTTTTATAAATTCGCACAATCTCAAATGTGAGATGTTATTTTTCTTCATACTCATTCATCCTTATGATGATAACTAATCTTGATAAAGATTCTCGTAAACATATCCAAGGAATAAAACATCGATAGATCTTCCACTAAATTAATTCGAGATTTTCACCCCGATATAAAATTCATTTCTTTTAAAGTCAACTAAATGTTTATGAATGAATTTAAAGCTATTTTTGATACTATACCGAAAATAAATTATATATTTATTCATGTCAATAAATAATAAGATCTGTCGTAAAACAATCCTTTATCTCTTTATGTTTATATATTCCAAAGATGATTAAACACACTATTTATCAAATACCTTTCTAAATCAATCTAACGTTTTATTTTACAAAGAAAAATGTAATATAAAATCACTTCCATTGAATATAGATTTGATCCATGAGACGTTTCATTGTAAAATTCAAAAGTAAATTTTCATTTTTAATCATTGTTTCTAATTTCTTCATCATTTTATCATCTGCTGTTGGTACACAAATACATAATAATTTAAGCGTTTGAATTTCTCGTTGTTGAATTTCTATGAAAAATGATCGTAGAAATAATTCCACATTGATGTCCTTTAAAGAATTTATTCGAAATTGTTGAATATGAGAACAAAGTGCCAGAATAAAATAAGCTTCTTCAATTCGATTGATTTTTCGTAAACAAACTGTTGTAATTTTATTTCGACTTATTAAACAATAACTTTGTATTAATTCTTCTTCTGTTAAAGATCTTGGATATGAAGTTGATATTGTATTAAGTTTTAATGAATCTAAATCAGGTAATGAAAATAAAATTTCACCTAATTTAACAATAAAAATTTGTTGTTGAATATCAAGATGATTGATTTGCATTACAGGTAAAACATGGAGAAGATAATTAAATATGGTTAATGTTTGATGAAATGATTCTTGATGTATACACGATAAAATAAGTTGTTTACATTTTTCTAATTGTTCAATAGTATAAATATTCTTCTCTTCTGTATTAAATTCATACCATCGTTTTCTAAAAAAAAAAAAAAATAAGTAAATTAACAACGAAGAAATTATTTTTTTTTCATTATACTTATATGGATGAATATAATAAATAATTTCATTACTATCAATATCAATTTCTAATATCCATTGTCGTTGACACCAAAACGAAGAGAAAAATTCATTTATTTTACCTTGATATATTGAAGGTTGATGATTATTTTCAAAAGTTGTAATATATTTTAAATAAAATTCTTCTAACTCTGGTAAATGTTTCAAAATAATATTTTCCCATCGAAAAGCATCGAGATAATTCATATCATCGGTATAAATTTTCAATGAAAAATATTTTAATTTAATATTTAAATTCTTTATCAACATTTCAAATGTATCAAATTCCATATGGTAAGCTTCGATGTAAAAATGTGTTAAATTTGATAATCTGATTGATAAAATATTGTTGATATCGATTTGATTATCATTAACACTAAAAAATTTCAAATAAGAAACTTGTGGTACATATGATAAAATATTATTCAATTGATTAAAACAACAGGGATGATCAATAATAAGATGTTCAATTGAAGTTAATTCATGATTTGAAGCCATTGGTAATGAAATATTCATATCAGAATCAATAGCATCCATAGCTTTAAATTTGAGATATTTCAATTTTGATAAATTAAAAATCGATCGATAAAAATAACCAAAATCTTTCAAATGAGATTCTGTTTCAATTGTTAATGAATATAAACGTGGTAAAAACATTAATTTTTGAAGAACAAAATTAATTATATTTGTTTCAATATAACTTAAAACAAGACATTCAATATGTTGATAAGATGAATCGAAATTATATGATAAGATTATTTCACTATTATTTATCCATGTTCGAGTATAAATTGAATAAATTTGATTTTTATTCAGATGACAAAGTTGTTGTAATTCATTTATAGTTTTTTCATCATCGGTTGAATAATCAATTTTTATTTTGAATAAAATATGTGACGAATTAAGTAATTGTTCAAAACGATAGTTGAGATTTGAAAATGCTCGATAGATATCACAACCATTAATATAATCAAAGATTTCAGAAAAAAATTCATTAGATAAATTTTCTAAAGAATTCATCGACATAATTCCTTCTTAACAATGGATTAGATTTTATCTCACTGATAATCATCTTTTCTTTTCTTTTCTTTTTATATACAACGTGCTCGATATACGATGGACTGAATCTTTTCATTCTATACATCTATTCGTCACATTTTTCTTGTCAAATATAAAATGAATAATAAGATAAAATATATCATATTTTATGTTGATAATACTTTCAAACAATTAGACAATAACTTATTTTCATTTGAAAATATACATCAATTTACAATTTCATTTCTTCAATATGTGTACAGATTATTTTTTTAGTAATGTAATTATCATTTAAGTAAATATAGATTATGTTATTAATTGATTACTTATAAATATTTTTCTCAATTTTAATTAATCTTGAGGGTGTGAAATGTGAGGTGAGATGAATGGAAGGGTGGGTGTATGTATTTTTCTATAGTCTCAACTACCCACATCCACCTTCAAGAAAATGATTGAGAAACGAGAAATCTGTACAAGATCTACATTTTCCGTTCATTTTTATATTCTATAAGTAAGAAAAAGAAGTATTTACAACCAAATTTCAAGCATATGAGGTTTGTGTCTGTATTCATATGAACGAATCATTCGTGGTTGTCGAAATGAAGAGATAACCGACCATTGTGAAGCTAATTCAGATAAATTATATTTTTGTTTTTGAAATGCTGAAAATTTAGGACAGTGTAAGTTGAAACGATTGAGTTTTGAAAATCGATCGAACATTTTACCAATTCCACGAACTAAATTATGAGCAGTAAGCCAAGAACTTGGATGTGCATTAACTTTCAAAGTCAATTGTTTCAAACAAGGTGATGATGATGATGGATGTGAGAAAAGTTTATCAACAATATTAACCAAACGACGAAGTGAACAATTCTCTTGTTCTCCTGTAAATGAAAGTATTTCAAGTTGAGATGAAAGTAAAATACCAAGTTCATTATTCGATGCTAATACACGACCAAAATCCACATCTGATTTAATATGAAGTTCACGAAAATATGGTGAACGATGAGCAATATGTAATAAATAAGGAATATTTTCTCCAACGATACCACTAAAACAATCTGAAAACAAACAACAACAACATAAAATACAATAACTTACTCATTATCGGGAAGATCACCTTCGAGATTTAGTTTTTTCAAATGATGCCAACAAGATACTGCTTTTGTACGTTGAATCAATTCATCACGCATATATTCCATTTCATAAATATCCATCTATCATATGTTAGAAAAATTTCTTTTTAAAACTAAATCTTTCTACTTACTTCTTTACAATTTTCATCCACTGTATCATTATGTACTAAATTACTACTTCTACTTTCATCATCTCCTTTTGAAATACTTTCATTTATTTTCATTTGTTTGACAAGTGACATTGATGGATAAAAGATTTTCAAGATTCGTGACTTCTTTAAAGATTCATCTCCAATTGCTTGAATATAATCATCAAGAAGATCATTGAGACTTTCTTCACAGCCAGGAAGCCATCTCATTTTGATTCTCATTTGAAAGTTGAATTGTTTTAATTTTGTTAATAATAACCATCGTCGAAGTTCATCAACTCGAGGAACATCACTAACAAAAACATTTGAAATCATAAATCCATGAATAACTAAATCTTCAAGTTGACTTGCACGTTGGAGTTCTTCAAGATATTTAAATATCCAACCAACACCTTCATGTAATTCAATTTTTATATAACGAAGTTCAGGTACATAAATTTGTTTCAATGCTTCAGGATCAATCACTTTTTCATCATGTGGATCATGTGCTCTACAAACAATTTTCATTTAAAAAACTATCATTTATAACAAACAAACAAAAGGTATTTACGCATAGAAAGTAACATGTAAACGACATAACTTTGGTAGATGACCTTGATCGAGAAGTTCAACTAATAAATTTCGTGAACATTGTTTTATTATTAATGTATGTAAATTTTCATGTATAACAAATTGAGGACGAGCTCGTTCAAGACCAATGAGATAAGTATTACTGTAAATACAATTCATACGTAAATAAAGTGAACGTAATCTGGGTAATTCAGTAAGTATTGGAACAACAAAAGCAAAATCAGCAACTATTTTATATTCCGAATAATGATAACAATCAAAAGCAAAATTAAGAGAAAGTGAATTGAACATGAGAGAAAATTGTTGTATCATATAATAAAACTCCAAATAAACCAAGAGGAAGATCATCAATCGTTATTGCTTTCAATGAAAACCAACTTAATTTATTAATTGGTATTTCATTTCGAAAGAATTCAACTGCATGTGGTGAATATCGTTCACTTAAATGAAGATAAACTATTTGAGAAGTATGTTTTGGTATGATTGAAGTTAAATAATCATAATAAACATCAAAATTCATGTACCGATTATCCGGTAAACATAAAGGTTGGAAGTTAACAATCGACGTTAATCGTCGATTCAATTCTTTGAAAGAATAAAGTAATTCATGAGGAGCTAAATATTCAAATAGAAATTCAATAAGTTCGTTGGCTAAATCTTCGAATTGTAATCGATATCTTTTCATTCTAAAATAGAATTTAACTAATAATTCATATAACAAATTTTTAAACAAAGATGAACATCAAAAATGGATAGATCGCGCGAGCAAATTGTCTTGCGATGTATACAATTCTATATGCACTTGTTTCTTAATATTATACAAAATGAAATCGATCGAAATTCAAATGTGATATCAGTAGGTGTGAAGAACTAAGGACTCATTGTGATATAAAATCTTGAGGGTGTGAGTGAAGATGTTGAGAGAGAGAAGAATATCACCCACACCCTTGTTAAAATCCTGATTGCATTATTTCATTGCACGATAATATATACCATAATATCGATATTCTTTTAGAGCACTGTAATAAGACAAAACACCAGCAAATTTGTGCAAAAGTTCTATTGATTATTTTATACAATTGGATTTCGACTGTGTAAACTTGTATTAATTACTTAGGAGCTTGTGTTTGTTGAGGATTCTCAAGATAATATTGTAACGTATGTTTACTTGAAGTATCACAAAATCTGACGTCTTCAATAACACGATTGATTTTATCGATTGATAGTGTTTCAAGCATATTATCAGTTTGACATAATTTACAAAGAACTTTTCGATTTTTAATCTTGAAAATCAAACAATCATCACTATCTAATTCATGAAATTTTCAGCTGATTTTCTTCTCCTTTTTTCCACTTTCGCTTTTACGAAATTTCTCCAATTATGATTGCATATTTTCTGTATTGATCTCTACAGTATTTTCAAGTACTGCAAATTAAATTAGTCAAATATAGGGTATTGATGATTATCTTTTCTTTATTCACACTCACACGCAAACAATATTAATTTGTGTCTTGTGATTCACTTTCTATGTAGGCTTTTTTAATCATCTCATAATATTAGTATTGACGAGAGAGTGAATAATACGTTTTTAATCTTATATATTTCGAAGCGTAAATATCATAACATATGTAGATTTACCTTTCTAATCCTGTTATTATTTTTCTTCGTGTACTTTAAACGAGCATAAACAAGTAACTGATTATTTTATTATGTTATTTTAAATTGAAAACCGAGCTGATGATCTTTATCGTAATCCTTTTTCTCTATTTATCTATTTATCACAACACTCACCTTATTTTGTAACTTTTAGAAGAAGAAAAGAAAAGATTTAAATGTTTTGAATTTGACAATTTATTCTTCAGTATTATTTTGTTAATATTATATATCATACAAACGAAACATGTCTCTTGAAATGAAACAAATATTTGTCATCGGTAATTTGTCTTTGCTCTTTCTATCCTCTTTTTATTTTGTTCATATTTGATTAGCTATTACAACATTTATATTGATATCATCAACTCTAAATCAACAACTTCTAACAAATCTTCCATTCGAATGTCGAGGTCGTTTAGATGGTTTTTGGCGTGATTTGAGATATTGTGATGTGTTTCATTCATGTGTTGGCGGCATACAAAAGCTATCATACGGATGTCCTCAAGTGGGAGAACGATTCTATTTCGATGATGCAACTCAGAGGTAAGTTTTTCTACAATTGTCTCTCATATTTCTCGTTTATCTTGTTTATCTAGATGTGAATTTGCTTCTCAAAATGCAGCCGGTTGTCAAATGAATCAGTATTATGGTCCTATTGCCAGTACACCAACATTTTCTGGGTCACAACTGAGCACACAAGGTAAATTGAACAAATTCTTATTCTTGTAACTTTTGATAATGTGTTAAATGCACATTCTTTTTTTCTTCTAAAGCTCCTACTGAACCATGGAAAATTTTTGTTCAATCCCGAGAACAATTTAGCTGCGCAAGTAAAGACCAGATATATATGATATGTCTTGTTGATTTTAAAAGTTTTTCTTGATCTAGATCGACAGGATGGATTTTACGCTAGTCGATGGTGTAACGTTTTCTATCGTTGCTTTAGTGGCGTTTCCAATTCATTTATTTGTCCAGCCCAACGAGGTGGTGGACGTTTATGGTGGATTCAACATGGTTCACAACAAGCTGTATCAGAAGCATCAGCTACATGTATTTTTCCATGTGATACTGGCAAACAATGTTCAAGTCCTGGTGGAATTATAGTAGAAAATGGAAATCAAATCAGTGAAAGTCAACAAGAAGCTGAAACTGCGTATAGACTATCTCCATGTTCAAATCAAACTTCACCAATAAATACAGGTGGTGTAGGAGGAACTCAGACAGGTTCAGGTGTCACTCAACCAGGTGAGAAATAACGATGAATTATTTCTTTAATTTTTGTTATTAATAAAATCAACTATTAAATATTCTGTTAATATAGGACAACAGCCTGGTTCCAGTACAGGAGTTGGAACAGGTCAACCAGGAACAGGAAACCAGGGTGGCTCACCCAGTACAGGAGGTAAGCTACTTTTACTTCACTTCTTCTAAGATAAACTACATAGTCAATCGAAAAATCATTGTCGAGTTATATGTCACACTCATCGAAAATTAAGAAGAGAAAAGTGAATCGATGTAAATTGTTTATTTTATTTTAAGTTTCGTTCACAGTTGATTCGAATGTGAATTGCAATGGTCAACCTGACGGTGTATTCTTATCTAGTCCTTATTGCAATGTCTTTCATCGATGTATATTTGGTAGTAGATTTGATTTTCGTTGTGCTCGTGGAAATAATGTTTCCTATGATTTATGGTGGAATCAACAGACTAATGTATGTGATTGGCCATGTCGTGTACAATGTACTAATCAACTATTTGGATCGACGACATCGACACAACAAGTTCAAAGTGAAAGTTTAGCTTTTTTTAATAACGATTGTCGAGCCTATCCACGTATTTTTTAATTTTTAATAAATAATCAAATCTCTAATTGATCATACAACAAGAATAACTTTTTTAATTTGACTATGAAAATTTCCATTAGATTTATTAATCTTGAAGAAAAGCTTAGTTTAAGTCACGTAATGAAGTGACAATTTCATTTCAATAGAGTTCAACGAGTTTTTGTAAGAGTGATGATGAAATATAAATCTCATATTCTATGAACGGATGCCTTTAAGATTCTAATTCATTAAAATCTCGTAGTATTATAATATATTCTAAGAAAACATTATAGAATAATGTATCATATTAATACTATATACACATGGCATACTCACGTTTTGTTAATATACTTAGTAAATAGGAACAAATAAGAAATAAAATTCTAGTGAAAGTTTTGATTATTAAGTAATAAGAATAAAATATCTCGAAAACAAATATGAAAATATTTTGTATAAAATCAAAATTGATTTCTTCGGAGTGTCAACTAGAGTTGTCTAGATATGATCAAGTTGGAAAGGTTTGTGAAAGAATAATTAAGAACATAATCTTATATTTTCCTTGTGACTACATAAAAATTCTATTATGAACTAAAATGAGTGACGCATTTCAATGAGTTAGTTAATATTTAAAAATTTGTGAATTCTTCTGTTCGGTTTTAAACAAAGCTTATTTATTAATTATAACAGAAATACATTGACGTCAGTAAAATAATAAAGCAACAACAAATATGTTTTTTTTTTTGCAATGAAGAACAACAAGAAAATGTTAGACATTATTTCTAAAATGTAAATAATTAACGACATTTGAAAATACGTTTTAGTTCTGCACGAAAATTCTTTGATACGATCATATTTGTATAACAAGCAACACTTGAATCAATAAATCCTATAAAATATGTTAGATTGGCAATAAATTGTTCAGTAGATATTCGGTCAGCACTCTTTATTTGATTTACAGTGATTTGATCATAGATGAGAACTATTGTAGATGGAAATCTTGCGATAAGATAAATAATAATTTCTACAATTAACATTCGAATAAGTTGACGATCTTTTGAATGAACTGTAAATGATCTACCCACTGTCATTGTATTAAGTGTTGACGAATGAGAATGATTTATTGGACGATGGACTTGACGAATATTTTTCACTGTTAAAAATCCAAATATTGTCATTAATAGTGGAGGAAGAATTCCAACACCAAAAAGAGAATAATAAGTTATAAATACTGTATATGCACCCGGTTGAAAATAACAAATAAAATATTCTGGTGCAATTTCAATAATTTTTATATAAATTAATGCATGAATTTGAAATAATGTCCAAAACAAAGCTAAACTAATCAGACACATAATAGCTAAACGACGTGTACTTTTTCGTCGTGTTACTGCATTTCTTGAAGTAACCAATGTTCGATCAATTGATGCTACAATAAGATAGGTTGGTCCTAAAATACTAAGAATTAAACCTAAATAGTAAAAAGAACGACAGAAAACGAGATTAGTTGATCCAATATTAATGTTGAAACCATTTTGAATTATTGTTAATAATAAACTTAAATACAAATAGAGTAAATCAATAATACTCATAGCTATGAAACAAATTGCACATGGATTTTTTCGTAGAGTATTACTTGTAAATACTAATAAATTCAATATGGAACTAACACTACCCAAAGTTAATAATGTTAAACCACCGTATCGATATATTAATGTTAATGTTAATGTTGACATTGTTTATTCAATTAACAATTTCACAAATAAATCAACTCTTCAAATAGAAATTAGATTTATTCGAGATTTTATGAAAAATAATAATAATCAGATTAACTTCAAATGTCAAAAAATAAGAAAGTGACAGGCAAACTATTTTTATGACGTTCGACATACTTCAGAAAGAAGAAGGATTAAAGATTTCTTCTTAACATTATTTCTAATACTCTTTTCATCCATAAAAAGCACTTTCTAGAAAAAAAACAAACACGAAACAATATAATGACACATTAAAATTCTAATGATGTGATCGCGGTATAAGAATTGCTCTTTAAAAGTTCATATTGAACGAATAAAAAATAAGTTGACTTTTATGATTTCATTTCAATTATGGCATCTCTTCAACTTTCATCAATTATCAATTCCTGACAAACTCATTCACTGCATTTCTTTAGTTGGTCTAACAAAATACTTTCTTTTCATTGTAAAACGCATATTAAAATCTATACTTTCTCAAGGATATGAACATGATCTCGATTGAAAAATTTAACATTTTTCGTGTCAAAGTATAAAATATGTAAATTGACTCGATCGTTCTTAACCGATACTTATCCACATTAGAATATGTTTCTATGAATTTTTTAAGAGTGATTTGATGTGGATTCTATTATGTAACAAAATAGATATATATTAACAAGACTATTCAACTTATCTTAATGAAATAAATCAGCAATCTATCCTCTTAAAACAAGTCTATCGATGAGATATATAGACATTTTCTCAAAAATACTCTTCTTACCTATTTCAAAATAAAAACAAGACAGACTCTAATCTAATTAGAGTTTATTCACAAACTCGTATTTTAAAATCGAAGAATTTTATAAAAAAAAAAGGAGAAAAATAATAGTCATGCACTCATTCATCCTCAGTTACTTTTTGTTTCTGTCATTAACGTGTGTTGTCTAAGAAAGAAAAGGAAATGTACTTTCACAAGATTTCTAGGAAATAGATAATATTATTTTAATATAAGAATAAACAAGATTATGTTTGTATCGAAAACAAAAACAGATTTTTATTTGATTTTTTGTAAATATTTCTGTGAGAAACAAAGTTGTTGTTTTGAAGAAATCTTTTTATCTTTGATTAATTCATTAATTAATATATTTCAAATTCTATTTTGAAATTTCTCTCAAATAACTAAATGGAAAAAGAATAAGAAAAAAACGACGAGTAGGTTGTTCAGTAGGAAATTAAAATATGTTAGAAACTAATTATATTCTTGTTTACATAATCAATTATAAAACTGACATCAATAATCATATTAAGAAAGATAGATTCACAAGATTGTTTACAATCATTCGATTTAATAAATAAAGAAAAAATTTATCTGAAAGAAAAACTAGGAAGATCACAACTAATGAAATGTCATTCTCCAAAATTTTATCATTATCAAAGGTAAAGTATAGTATAAACATGAAAGAATAAACAAATCTTTTATTTTTATAAATAAATTTCCAAATTTTTCTTAGTCTTATTTTTTAAATATCTTCTTCTAACAAATCCATGTCTTACTTATTTCTTTTTGCCTAGATGAACAGCTATTTTTATCTCTTTCTTCCTATGTATGGATGTCTGACCGATATATATAGAAATATATTTGTGTAGACCGCTTTTGATGTATTCGTCACATATTATTACTGTCTATTTATTAAAACTTTGTCAAGTGTGTGATCTTCGAATAAAATGAAGAGACTTCTAACAAACACATTTAATGATAATGTTCAACATCCGACTTAATATTAGTTTATTTTAGAGCATAGTGACAGAGAGAAAAACAAACGATATGTTTATTAGAATAACACAAGTAGATAGATACTATTTTTAATTCACATTTTAAATAAAGAATTCTACTAAATTTGTCATTTCCAGTATACACTGCTAATCTCATCATAATGACAAGACGACAACTTATTTTTGGAACATATTATAAATATCTATGAATTTACATAAATCTCATTATTGACTAGTCTAATACAAAAGAATAATGATGTTTTCCAAAATACTTTTTTTTTGAATATTATTCTTATAGTCTCAGTCTTTGTTTACAGTTGATTTGAAAGCGATAATGGAGAATTTTTCCATGATTATATTTATCTATGATGTTTCGAATTGATTCAATAATTAAAATAAATAATAAAAATAGAAAAGTCTATTACATGATAAACTTAAAAGTTTTCATTTTCATTTTTTCTTATCGTTTAAAAATCTTATTTCATTAATTGTATAGATGACTCACTCTGATTTTGTTTTGTATTGCTAAACCCTCAACGAAAACGTCGATAAGACCTTCGAAATACCTTAGTTTGTAAAGAACATGTCAAAGAATAAAAATTTCGATTCAAAAAAATTCTATAATTAAAAATAAATTATTGGAAAAAAATAAAGTTGACTCCAATGCCGTTCACTAACTCACACCCTTCATCATCATCTAAACGAAGATCATCCAGAATTCGATGTTTACTTTTATACCATAACAAATTCTTCTTGATATTGAGAAGAAAGACCATTTATCAAGTGTATTCAATGTTTTTTGTTGAATACGACCAACAAGAGAAATCATAATTGAATCTTTGTTCATTCTACACATGGTTTTATTTTAAGCTTTAATATCTTTTCAATATCATTGCAATGTATAATGCCCAATGATGAACATCGCATAACAGCTCCATTTGATGCGATTTGTAGGTCTATAATTTTCTCTATGTTTATGACTATGCTAACAATCGTGTCTAAAGTTTTAAACTCATATAATTAATGTTTAAATTTCTTAGATTTTAAATAATTATGCGTATAACTATAATTTCTATTTTAGATGAATCTATCTTTAAAATATCTTTTTTATACATCACGTTTATCCTCAAAATTCTTATTTTTAGTTTAAAATTGAGTTGTGTTGTGTTTGTTATTTTAAAAATGATTTATGAAAGAACAGAGAAAGAGTGATCAATAACATATGTATTAAAACTTGTCACATTTTACGCACATAAAAAAAAGAAAAATTTCATTCTCTCGCACTTTTTAATAATGTATTGATTATTTATTTCAAAATTTTCTTCGTCTTTTACAGATTTTTAAGAGAAAAAAAACTTATTTCTAATAGAAAATCTCAATATTGATATTCTTAAAAGAAACGTTTAAATTTTAATAAAACGAATAAGAAAAAATGTAAATAAATTGAATATTTCTATTCTATTTTAGATATATAAAATTCGTTTTTTACAATTCAATAATATATTTTATTTATCTTTACATTTAAATTAAAACAAGATTGATAGAATGAATAAATTTCATGTTGAATTCTTAATCGTTTTTATTCTTGTTATTATTGTAAAATTGAATAATTCAATTAGTAATAATATTGTGAATAAAAATGAGATTTTTCTTGTAAATATAACAATGAACAATTATGAAACAACAAAGGTTTTGTAGAATTAATATAAGAAATTCTTCTTTTTATTGTATTTTATTGTATTTTATTTTGAAAAGGAAGATGAATATGTTTCTATTCAATATAAATTATCTGATGAAGAATTGTTAATTGGTAATATGACAAAATATATTCTTATTAATAAAAAGAAATAATTTGAAATAAATTTAGTTGGATTTATTCCATTAATTAATATGACAAATGCTCATCATATGCTTACATATATTTGTGAACAACCAGCTGAAAAGAAATTATTTTGGTTTTAATTTTATTTAAAATATTTATTTTTACATAGATTTTCTTTTTATTTTATCTTAGGTCTGGAAATACAATATGTAATGGTGAACAAACGATTATTCATGGATGGTCGAAAAATGCACCTCCATTCATATTACCTAAAGGTTTATTAAAAACAAAATAATATAAAATCTATATATTTTTTTTAGATGTTGGCTTTGCTGTTGGACGTAATACTCCATATAAATATATTGTTGTTAATATTCATTATTTTTCTTTATTAAAAAATGATTATTCGGGAAATCAATTAATTCTTACTCATAAATCGTATTGAAATTATTTAAATAAAATAAAAAAAAGAAAAGAAATTTCGTATTTTAGACGAAAATCTCATGCCGGTGTTATTTTATCTGGAACAAATCAAATTTATTTAAAAGAAAACACACAAAGTAAAAAGAAAAGAATTAGAAGAGATTCTGTCTATATTCTTTATTTTTCAAAAGCTATTCGAACACCTTTTTCATGTCAATATAAAGGACCAACTATTTCCATTTTTGCTGTTTCTGTTCATACTCATCAATGGGGTTAGAATTTGTTTTTTATTCTAAAATTTTAATTATTTATTTGTAATAGGACGAGTCAATTCATTATATCGAGTACATGATTATGAAACATCTTTAATTATTAAAATGAATCCTCAAAATCCTCAATCATTTTATCGACTTTTATTACCAATTGAAATTAAAAATAATGATTATATTATGGGACAATGTGTTTTTGATAATAATCTTAATAAGACTATTCATATTGGGTTAGTTACTCCTTCGTTTTTTTATTCATTAAATATTTAATAGAATTCGACACTCATAAGAATTACTTCAAATCAAAAGATCTGTATTCTCTAATGAGAAAAGATTTTCATTCGTTAAATTTATAGGAGTTTAAATTGATAAGTTTATAGATAAATAATTGATTTAAATCTTAGAGAAACCCATAATGATGAAATGTGTAATATCTATGCAATGTATTCATATAATCCATCACAAAAATCAATTAATAATCCACCTCCATTTCCATTATGTTGGGATAATGCAGTTACTCAAATGGCCAAGTAACGTTTTTTTTTATTTATTTTTTAATAAAAACAAAATCTTAATATTTAGTCTTATACCTGACGATAGTGTCATACCTCCACTTCAATTAAATTATATTAATCAAACAATTGATGATGAGCAATATATTAGTCATATTAAACATTCAATGAATTCATCTCGAGGTATTTTTAATTGATAAGATATCTCTCTCATTATTTCTTTCTTTTTAGATCTTCCAATAATAATATTTAATCAACAAAATTATTTCATTATTATCATTACTATTCTTATTTCATTTCTTATTCTTCTTATCATTGGACGTTGTATGGGTATAATAACATGAATTTTAGAAGAAGAAAAATAATCTATCTACATATTCTTTTTTTTTCTTCAGGTAATCTTCAGTATTTTAGTTATATGAGACATGGTGATATCATCAATCGACGAAAAGGTTTTCAAATATTAAAACAATCTTCTGATCAAGAAAATGATTTATTAGATTAAAATTTAACTCATCAAACAAAATAATCTCTTAAACAAAACTTGTCGAATTTATTCAAATAAAACTCTCAATTCAAAAGATATTAATTACTTTCGCCAGATTCTCTTCGAGATCGAAAGTGAGTGTTCAATAATGAAAAAAATTTATTGAAATACAAACTAATAAAAGTAGAAAGTACATTTTTTTTATTTTATTTTCAAAACGACACTAGCTAATTATAATGTACGAATAATATTAATGATCGATACTTGTAAATTGAACAGGATTAAATTTGTTTCATAAAATTGAAAATACGTTTTTCCAGTGTGTAATAGTATAATTGTTATTAAAGATTTAGATAATTATTATTATGATGTTTACATTCATATCTTGATCAAGTTTTTATTGTACGCATTTGTAATAAGTAGAAATCAAGATTTGTATTAAGAAAATCACTCGGAAAATTCAAGAGAAATTAACATGTGAAAGTAAATTGAATTCAAATGTTAAAAAATAATATTAGTTCGAGTTGTGTTAAAAGATGAGTGAATATTGTCGATATTCTAATATATAAATTTAAATTATTTATAGAATAGTTGTAATATATCTTTGTTGATTTTGATTTTGATTTGGTAATGTTCTATTTATTGGTATGACACGATTGTGTCGAAAATATTTAAAAACAATTTTCTTCAATTGTGGTGTTAAAATAATCATTGTTATTGTTAATATCATCATTGATAAAGTAACAGAAAACCATAAAATACGATAGAAAAGTGGATGTAATTTACCTGTTATATAAAATCTAATCATAAGAATTATTGTTGGTAATCCAATAATTATTAATAAACTAACAATTATAAAAATACGTCGAATAACAATTAAATCTTGTTGTTGACGTTTTTTTAGTCAACCATGTTAAATTATTTGATTGTTGACGAATAAATATTGTAATTCGTAAATAAACTAACATTAAAAGACATAAAGGAATACCATATGTATTAAATGAAACCCAAAGTGATAGACGAAGATTTGTATAATCTATGAAACAATAATATTCTTTTGTTAAATAAACAATATCATGCCAGACAAATGCTGGAGAATAAAGAATACAAATTAAAATAATTTCAATAGGAGATAAAATTATATGAATCCATGATAATTGAATCCATTCATATGTTGAATATACAATTCGGCAAAGACGAAACAAAGCCTAAGATATATATTTATAGAAATATTTAAATTAAATCAATAGAATTACCTGATTGAAGAAAACATAATATAAAGAATTAATAGAAACGATGACAAAATATCCTGCAAGTATACATGAAAATGAATTAAAATTTTGTTCGTTTAAGTCACCTAACATTGTTTGAATATTAAATGAAACTGAAATTGTTGTAAATATCAATAATAATATATACATATTAATACCATGAATAATTGTCATTTTGTCTTCTTGTTTTATACGATTATGAAATAAATAATAAAAAATTAACATTAAAATCATTAGTATCATCATCCATGTACATATACCAATCACAAGTGTTATACAATTAAGTAGAAATTCAACCGTATTAATCATTAATTTTCTTTCAAATATTTTCTATATATATTCTTAATAATTATCTTGATGGTTGAGAGATAGAAACAAAAATGATCGTCCATGATAAAAGTGCATTTTTTTTGTTAATGTTTTCTAAAAGACAATCTTAATTATTTTTTTCCTACGCACTAAAATGTCTTTCATGAAAAAAAACTTTGCTGGAGGTCATAAATTAAATTTGATAAGAAGTATTATCTTCGACAAGCATATAAAATAATTAACAAATTCTAATAAACCCAAAGTAGATTTTAATATTCAAAATGACTGAAGGATTATTGGGTGCAAAAAGAAGAAAGTAAAGAAAAAAACATTGATGCAAATAAAATAAAAAAAGAATTTAATATGCGAAAAAAATAATATTTTTAATCTTTTTGATTTATTGTAATAACACAAGTTAATCGATCAGTTGATAATTTCTATGCATCGATTTAATTCAAATTAATTTTATTATAAATCATTATTTCGTTAAAAACATTAGTTCTTTGTTCTAACTCTTTCTTTTTTATTTAAATCATCATCATTATCTTCTTTTTTTGTTTGATCAATATTATCTTTATTAGTTTTCCTTTTCTCTTCTATCGATGCAGTCATTGCTTGTTATTTTTGTCTATTCTTTATTTTATATATGGTACTTTTGAAATTCATATGCAAGAGAAGAAAGTCTACAAAACTTAGATTTTAACTTGATCAACAGAATATAAAACCAAAATAGAACTTAGTCTTCTCTCAATGTTGTCACGACTATTTGTGATTGTGATTAAAAAAAACTTTATTCACATTTTTCAGTGAAATGTAACAGAGAAAAACCTGAGTTTTTTTTTTTAGGGTTTTGGTAATTTTACATAGAAAAATGTCAAAGAAAGTCAAAAACGTAAACTTTTTCCTCGCAAAAAAACGATGTTTTTTAATTAATTTAATTGCAGGTTGTGATTAGAATTGTCAAATGTTCATGTTAATTGTAACTTTAACAACGGTAAATATGTAATAGTTGAATTTGATAAAAAATTTTCTTCTAGACATATAACAAAATGATAAGACATAGAATATGAATGATTGAGTCTATAATATTCTACGTTCTAAACAAGAATGAATCACAAGTAGAAGAAATATTTTCATAATAAAGAATCACATTGTGCAATAACATTATTTATTCATATGTGTTTTACCGTCAATATTAATGTACATAAGAATAAAATGGGGATACATAAATATATTTTTCTTCTTTCTACGCTCGTGATTATGAGTGATTCTACTTCAAACAAACAATTTCATACAGTCGTCATTCGTGGTGATCTTCCAAAAATTGAGAAACAATATGAAGGTAAGACTCCTATGCATCTACCTGAAGCGAATCATTGGATCCTTGGAGTTATGAAGCAAGTTGACAATGACGAATGTGGTAGTAACATTGAATATGATCGATTCAAAGTACAACATACAATTTCTAATGGACCATGTAAGCACGACTAACATTTAGATTTCAATTCTATTTAAAGATTTTTATTAAATATTATTCTGATCTTATACATTTTGTCTGTTCTGTGTTTGCTAACACATAAAATTGTGAAAGAAAATATTTTCCATAGTTACATATTACGGATATTAATTTATTTTAACAGTATCACTAGCATCTTTTTTATTGCGCTACTTTCTTTTTCTTAGAAAATGATTTATACACATTTCATCGTTTCAAAACCAAACTGACCTGTTTTTTCACTGACGAAGTTTATTTCCTGAGACTTATTTTCTATGGAAATACTCTAGTCATTCTTTAATGAGTTGACTTTGCAATGAAAGTAACATATTCTCACGAATTCAAATTCGAAAGTTTTAAGATAAAGAAAAATAAATTGATCATCAATAGATTTAAAACAGTTGTATTTTCGTGTATAGTTTTAGATACAACATATAGTGGTGGTCATGCCGTATTTCGTGCTTATCTCAATGCCTATAATTCACACGAAGATATTGTTCTTTCGCCAGAGTAAGTTTTCTTCTTTCGAATATTCAAGTGGCGTGTAGTTCGACAAACTAATATTTATAATAGTGATATATTACGTCTTTTATTTTATGCTTTTTAGTGATCTTTGGTTAATGATAACGATTTACTTTGCTAAATATGTCAATACCAATGCTGAAAAGTTCGGACACCTCTTTGTTAGTCACGAAGGAAAGATGAAATTGACCATTAAACAAGTGCAACCAAATCCTGAGTAAATAACTAATGAAAATTGTTAACTAAAAATCGTGGTGCAATTGACAGAGTCATTATGATACATGTTTGGGATATTATCTTATTACCTTTAAATGTTATCTTAAAGATTTAACAATACATGTGCAACAGTCTAGATAACATACCATAACTTTCTATGTTGATAATGTTCTGGATTTGCGTCACGATTTATGATTTCGATTACAATCGAAATAAAATAATATTTTTATTACTCGAAATTGTTTTGTCTATCTTTTCTAGTTGGAATGCATTTCTCGAGAGTATGCGCATCGAAATTGGTAAAAATGTCAATAATAATATTGTTTCTCTTTTAACCGCCAACTATTCAACTACGGGTCAGGTTGAATCATTATTGTCATGCGCTACGATTATGAATATTTTCAAAAAGTATTTCGATTATGGACTTAGAATGACGTGGTGTGGCATTCGAAAAGTACATTTTCTCGGCACAATCGATGACTGGTTACTTCTTCGACAGAAGACAGAACAATTACAAACATTTACAACATCTGAAGACGAGTTTTCGACTTATATCAAGGGTGTATTACCACTACTCGATCAATTTATTCAAACTTATCGTGGTTATGTAGATAATCAATTTTGGGACAAAATCTTTGACATCGAACACGTTGGTCGTGGATCAGGGTAAGGCATTTTTCATATTTTCATCAAATATATTATTTGAAAATACTCATTAAACTATAGTATAAACAAAATATAAAATGATCTAAGAAAAAAATCTAATCTGAAAATTTTAATCAACATCATATATTTTGTTATTATCATAGTCTCAGATGAGAGAGAAGAGAATTCCGCATAGAAACTTCAACTATAGTTCCTAAAAGAAACCATGTGCCTTTCACGATAACTATCAGATTGACAAAGTAACATTTTTCTTAATACAATATATATTCTCTTTATTAGAAGCTGGAAGAAGCTTACAGGTAGGGAACTGCAAAGTGGTCCCGGTCCCGGTCCCGGTCCCGGTCCCGCGGGACTGGGACCGGGACCGGGACCAAATTTCTCTAAATTACCGGGACCGGGACCGGGACCGGGACCAAGACTAAAATTGTCAGATAATTCCTCAATGTTTTTACCAAGTATGAGACCAGACATTTTCTATTTTTTTATGTTTTTTTAATTAAGAATTGACAAATGTCTTATTTTATAGTTCAAGAAAAACCGTATAGATTGAATTTACAATCGAAAAAGCGAGAATTTTCTTGAACTTCATGTTTTTTTTGCATAGATGAAGACAACACTACAATTATTTTTAAGCTTTTATCAAGACCGGGACCAGCGGGACCGGGACCGGGACCAACTGAAAAAATTGACCGGGACCAGGACCGGGACCAAAAAGATTTTACCGGGACCGGGACCGGGACCGGGACCAAAAAAAGTGATTTTGCAGTTCCCTACTTACAGGTTGGTTTCTCCAACTGTGCTATGGGCTTCATATGCAACCATCGTGTAATATTCAAGAGGTTCAATTAGATTCAGTTGTCACTCCAGTCGAATTCGAGAGTGAATATACAAATGAGAAAAAGACATGTTATGTGGCAGGTGGTTTTCATGGTGTTGAAAGTCAAAATGAATGGCACAAACCTGTTATGTCTTTATCTATTATAGATGATCTTTCGACGATCACACAGCTAAAACCATAATGAATAACTAAACATTTATTTACAATTAATCAACAAATTACTTTCAACTATTTTTATTTGTCAATTATACATGAATAAATAAAACGGAATTTTTTCTATACTTTCAATTACAATCAAAGCTTATTGTAAGCCCACCTCTTGAGGATGTCGATTGGCAAAATTGATCGCAGTGAAGCAGTAGGATATTCAATTTTTACTACATTCGCACAATCACTCACACTCTTTCACATTTTCAAAATGTTTGCGCTTATACAGGTTGATTACGTTATTTTTAATAGTTTTATGTAATTTATTGCATTTATCAGAGATACTACATATTTCTTATTTTGATACTGTTGGATAGAACATCGGCGGTTCTATCGAATTCTATAGTTTACATTTTTGTTCTGCGACTCTAGTCCGAGAAATTCTCCAACAGTATACAGTACGTTCAATTAAAAATAAAATATATCAGAAGATGCAACGTCAAAAGCTCGACAATAATCACGATCAAGCGTATATTAATTGTGCATTCTTTTGTTTTCTAGAAAAAGTACAATTCAGCGCAACCGACTTTTTGACATTGAAAAAACAAATTTCTTTTATAGGAATAGAATTGAGTCTTTTTTCTAATTTTGTATTTTTGTCACATAATATGTCTTTGTAGAAACAGAAAAATATATCAAAAGATGCGGCGTGAACAGCTCTACAATTTACACATTAAACATTTTTTTATAATTGAGAAACAACGTGTAAAAATGTTGTAAAACCAATTTACACACACTCGAAATTTGGCTACTTAAAATGTTGTCAATTTTTTTTAGAACAAAAACTAAAAGTAGAAAATAAATGGTTCCATCTAAGTTGTAAAGCTTTTCACGCTACATCTTCTGATGTATTTTATTTTTGATTGAACTTACTGTATGCTGTTGGAGAATTTTTCGGACTAGAGTCGCAGAACAAAAAATGTAAACTATAGAATTCGATAGAGTCGCCGATGCTCTATCCAACAGTATCAAAATAAGAAACTTGCAGTGTCTCTGATAAATACAATAAATTACACAAAACTATTAAAAATAACGTAATCAACCTGTAATTTATATAAAATTAACAAAATTTATTAGAAAATAAATAAATTGATAAAAATGAAAATAAAAGTAAATAATTATAAAGCTATGTCATTCGAGCAATTTGATTGTCTAGATGAGACACGACTTTCTCCTTCCATTCGTGCTTGTTTAAAAAATTGTGGTATAAAACCAATTGTATAGAGAAACGGCATTGAGGCAGCAATATATTGTGGAATACTATTAGGCATATTTGAAACCCAAATACTGACACAGATAATAAGCACTATACTACAAATAAGAAACCATATTGGCAAGAAAATATTTGAATATTGAGGAGCTTGGGATCTTTTTATAAAAAGATAAAAAATCGCGCAAGTATGTAATATACAATATCCACCAAGAAATCCAAACATTGTTATAGCAGCAGTTACATGAAGAGGACCATTTTGACGTAAATTAACAATAGCCATTATTAACATAAATATAGATGCAATCAATCCATTTAAATGTATTAGATATAAAATAATACGATTAATAATAAACTGAGATTGACATAAATATTGTAATCGACCAATAAGATTTAATAAAAATTGTGCAGCTAATAGAACAAATCCAGCAACAAAATATTTATAACCTGAACGTGTTCCAAGTACAGAAATATTTGGTAAGTCTTGGTTTAACTCATTATTATTTCTTAATACTTGATTACATACTACTAATGTAACAATAAATGTTATCATTGATGTAAATGGTAATATACATAATGACCAATACCAAATTAATTTCAAAATTCGATTCATTTTTATTTTATATCAAATAAAATATCTAAATCATTCATTTACATACAAAATTGGCGCACTTTTTATTCTATAATTTATATTTATATTAAATATTTAACAGGAAACTACGCATTAATTTTACCATTATTTTCTTCTCCTACCTAACTCATTTTTATATTCTATAAAATAATAATAAGATTAACAAACCTTTATCTCGTTCATCGTCTATGGTTACCAAAGAGAAATAAATGTGATTCATGAGAAAAAGAAAAGTATTAGTAATAAAGTATTTATTCATTCTCTAAATATTTGTTGTATAACGATAACAACAACAACACAATCTCTTCTTTCTTCTCTCACCATATTTCTAATGCAAATAATATCATTTTCTATTACAAAATAAAAGAAATATTCTACTCCCACTACGAGTTATTTTACTCTTCATAGTATTAAAACATAAACGAATTATTTTAAATCAATTATGATTAATTTCATTTCTCATATAGTTATGGATATATATTGAATGAATGAATATCGTCATATATCTTGTATATAAGATTATTTAATTCAAAAAACGTGAATGATAGGAATCATGAGTCAACAGTGAATATTCTCTTCAAATAATATCTTTAAAAAACCGATGTCGCTAATATCCAATGATTATTCTAAATAACCATACATTTTCAGCTTCAAACATTTAATAACATAAGAAATAAAATAAAAATGATTCATAAGAACAATTTCTTAGTAATGTATTTTATTAAATAATATATCATAGATAGATATTACAAATATTATTTCTTCTTTATATTAGTTTCATATTAAAATCTAATATTTAAATAAATCAAAAAAATATGATTTCCATATAATCTTAATCTATTGAATTTATTTCAAGTAGAGATCTTAAACTATAAATAAAGTATTGGCAAGAAAGTTTTTGCTTTTTTTTGTCTCATCTTTTTCAACCACAAGAGCACAACTAGCTTTGTGATCCAGAAGTAATTTATGAAGTTGAAGCATTTAAATCTCTCTACAATCTCGGGTGTTCTAGGGAATTCTCAAAAAAAAACGTAAAAACTTAGTTAGTAACCTAATATATTTAATAATAATTTCTTAGATTTAGATATGAAAAAAATTAATATTGAAAAGTGTTTTGATGAACTTATTAAATTAAATAAATATGATATTTAGATTTAGTTTTTGTAACTATTTTACGATCAAGAGTTATAATTAGTAATCATAAGCGTATGATCAAAACCTGTTTAGTATAGTACGTAAATTGATGGACATCATTTTGTTTTATGATTTCGAGTTTTTGCATGTTTTTTCGTTAAAGATACATTTTTTACGAATTATCAGCCATTGAACTCCTAGATTAAAATATATTTTCAAAAGAAATCATATAACTGTTTCACATCGTTTCATTCATTGAAACAAAAAAGTAGATTAGAATTCTCATGCAATATAACGAGAATTTCAAATGACTAAATTATTTCTCATTTTCAAAGAGAAACATAATAAAATTTCGATATAATTAGATTGAAGAGCTCTTTCCTTTTCAGTTCCGTTGGTTTGAAACAAAAAAAAAATGAAGATTGAAAGATTGATCTTCAGTCACCTCCACAACCACCACAAGAACTATCAGAACTATCAGAACTATCACTATGCCCATGTGAACTTTCCCACCACCATCCTCCACAGCTTCCGCCTGACGTCGAGTTGTCTTGATTCGATCGATTCTTTTGATTGTGTATTGGAATCATTACACAAGAACTCTTATAGGACGTGTTACGTAAACAATCTCTATCAATGTTTTGTCCATATTCTGATTGGTAAGTTAATTTCCATTGATTAGTTGTATTTTCATAGGCAACATTTAATACATTTTTATCAATTGAATCATCATGATTTAAGATAAAACCACATACAGTCGTAGAGAAATCGATATAACTCATTGGAGATCGCATATGTGTATGCCATATTAAATCGATATCAAAAGTTGGAACGATCATAGTTCCTTTTTTTGCCAGTTTCATAAATGAGATATAATTTTGTACAATTTGTTCGAATGATGACAAATTCATGAGTTTAAAATTCATCGAATAGAATTGATGTTTTTGAAATTTTTCGAGAAAATCTTGTTGACGCAACACTGCTCCCACTAAATCTAATGAAGGAACAAATGATGAAGGATTAACAATCGGTTCATTTCTAATCGTAAAATTTTGATTTTTATATTCATCAATTGTTAACTTTCGAGTTTTTTTTATCAATAAAATAACCCTGAGGAATTTGTTTAATACAATCATTGAGATAATTAATCGGATGAAGACGATGTACATGCCAAATCCAATCAATTTCCCAAGGAAGTTTCAATTGTTGACGTTTACTCATCAATTCATTATTTGACATACGATGACAATAATCATTTATAAAATAAGTTAATTTTTCTCCTTTTTCTATCATTTCCGGATGAGAAATGACTTGACGAAGTAACAAAATATGATCAACCAAATCCAAATAAGAGAAACGAAATACTGCTCCACTATTAGTATGAATATGTGCTATTAGATTTGGGACAATATTTGATGATGTATTGCCCATCTTTTATCAAATATTATCAAGGTTATTTCGACTTCATATTGATTTGATTAAAAATGTAAAGAATATTTCAAGATAGAATTCAATGAATTGACTTACTTAGAAGAAGGAATGATTCTTAAAAAAAACAAATGTCACGTTTCTTTGTCTTACATTACATACAAATGAGAACATTTAAAAAAGTGATGTAAATACACGTCATAATCAATCGTCATGTAAACAGAGAGGCAAGGAAAACTTTTCTATGGTTATTCAAAATGATATGTCAATTATAGTGTAACATTCAACATTTATCTTTTGTAATTTATTGAATAACATCATCTTACGATACGTAATATATTCATATTATTCGTCATAAAAATAAAATAGAATGCGCTAGCATCTGTTTATAAATTTTCTCAATGATGTTTTTGTTATCAATCTCGTAGATGAATATTATATGAAATATGCATCCACATCCAAATAATACAAATGGAAATATAACAAAATAAATAGACATAAAATGAACTTATTTTAATTTGTACATATAAATACTCGAATATAATTTCATATAAATCAATTAGAATTTGAATACTTTTCTATAAGTTAACTATTGTTATAAAACATAAGAGTTTTAACTACTTTATTTTGATAATAAAAATCTATTCTTTTTGAAGTAGAATAATAAAATAACCTCTTCTTTTCTCTATCCTAGATGAGAACACTCATAAGAAGAGAAGTATATATTGTTTTTAATACTGTAAAACACAAGAATTTTTATTTTTTCTTGTCTATTGAGATTTTATTCAAAGATAAAAATGACAATTGAAAACAAAAATCAATTTCAAACTTCTATTGTTTCCAATTCAACTATAAAATCCAAAACATTTTTTATCTTTACTGGACTACTTATTTTATTTTCTATTCTAACAATTATTCTTACTGCTATTATCTTAAGTATAATTGTCAAGAATTTTAACTCGATTAATACTACAAATTCTTCTTCTTCTTGTAATAATACTACTAATAATAATAATAATGGATCGATTTCATTTGTTAATGAAATAAAATCAGATGATTTAATGAAACATTTAAATGAATTACAAAAAATAGCTGATAAAAGTAATGGAACACGAGCAATTGGAACTCAAGGATTTAATGATACTATTGATTATATAACAAATCAATTACAACAAAATACAAATTTTGTAATTCAACATGAATATTTTAATTTACGAAATTCAATTCTAAAAGGAATACCAAAATTTCAATCTGTAATAAATAATCATATTGATGATTATATTTATTTAACAGATTTTACTCATATTATATTTTCACCAAGTGCTAATTTTGATTCATTTATTCAATTAGTTGTAATTCCAAATCTTGGTTGTCAAGATATTGATTGGATAAATGTATCAAATACGGATTCAATTGCATTAGTAAAACGTGGTGATTGTGGATTCGCTGAAAAGGCTCAATTTGCAGAAAAATATCGTGTAAAAGGATTTTTAATTTATAATGATGGAATAGCACCAGATCGTTTTCAAGTTTATCAAAATGTACGAGGTATTATGAATGGAACAATTCCTGGATATTTTTTATCTTATAATCTTGGAATGAAATTTGTTAATGCAGCATCTAATATAAATACAAATATTTCTATTATTATGAATAGTGATGTATATGATGCACAAGGTATTGCAAATATTTGTGCTGATACTCCAACAGGAGATAAAACAAAAACAATCATTGTTGGATCTCATAGTGATGGAGTTTTAGATGGAAGTGGAATTAATGATAATGGTAAGATAATCATCAATATATATCAATAGTTTTCTTTTCAATAATCGAAATGATTGAGAATATAAACTCGATATACATATCTAGTATTAGTTGTTTTCGTAAAATATTTGTGATTTAATTATTATTATTATTTAGGTAGTGGTACAATTGGAAATTTGGTTTTGGCTCTTAATTTAGCACGTCTATTAAGAGAATCTTCGTCAAATTATATTCCATATGAATATCGTGTTCGATTTTGTTGGTGGGGAGCAGAAGAACTTGGTCTTATTGGTTCTATTTATCATGTTGAACAAGCTTCATTATCTCATGCCACAATTGAAAGTGGACGTTTACAAGATTATCTATCATATTTTAATTATGATATGATAGGATCTTCTAATTATAATTTTGGTATTCTTGATAGTATTGATGGGATTTATGTTCCATCTGGTACACCAGAACATGCGATTATTGGTACTGATAAAATTGCCAATTTATTTCAACAATGGTTTAATCAACAAAAATTACCATGGACACAATCTGGTGTTGGAGGTGGAAGTGATTTTGTACCTTTTTTGACAGCAGGTATTGCTGTTGGTGGAGTTAACACTGGAGCGAATGGAATTAAATCAGCAACTGAACGAGATGTAATAACAGTAGCATTAGGTGCGGGTAATGGTGGATTAGCTAATGTTGCTTATGATTCATGTTACCATCAACAATGTGATAGAATACAAAATATTAATCCATTTGCATATGAAATATCGGTTAAAGCAGCTGCTTATGCTATTGAATATATGGGAAGATTGAATGATTTAGAAAAATGGATTTATCCAAAAGGTCGACCAACTCATATTCATTTATTAAATATAAATAAACAATATTATATTTGTAATGGTTCTATGTGTATGTGAGTGAGACTATCGATCTCAATCTAATCAATATTATATTCATAAACTATTTTTTCTATAATACATGTGTGACTGAGAGTGACGATGTTAATTATATAAATAGTTCTTTGCAAAAAAAATCTAGAATATCTCATTTGAATCAATTTTTCATATTATAACATGTAAACGTAAAACCTCAGTCATTAATGTAAAAGGTAAAAAGAATAAATATTGAAGTACACCGATTTATAATCTGACATGAACTATGAGCAATAACATTCAAGTGTTGAATGATATTCTATATAATTTTCCGATCAATCTCTAATAATAGAAAAGAAAAGAGCTATAAAACTTATAATAGTATGATGTAGTGGTCATTATATAATCAATCTATGTTATGTAGTATATGTACGGTTATATTCGAGACTTTTTTTTCCACCGGATAATTCCTCTTTCATCCAAAATGAAGATATAGATGCTATCAATCAGAATAGTGAATATGAGTTAATTCGTATCATAATTAATAATAACATTGTTTCATCAATTTTCATGTCGAATATGAAATAATATCAATTATTTCCATTTATTAACATTTTTTCTACTTTTCGATACCCCTATGTACTTAATAAAGAGACAATATGATTATACTTTTGTTTTATTATTATGAAAATCTTTAAATTGAACTTATGAATTATTAACTAGAATATGAAAATTTTTAAAGCAATTTAAAACATGAGAAGACGATATCTTATTAAATTATTGAATAAACTTAATTCGAATTTAAATAATTCATGTAACCGACAAAGTTGATTGATAGTTTTCTTTCTTCTTAATTCAATGCCTTTTTTATTTTATTTTATTTACAATTAAAACTTTTAAATGAACAAGAAAATTAAGAGAAAAACAAAACTAACTTTATATTAATGAAAAACATAAATATTCAACAATTGCACACGAGTTATTCTTCATATGTATACCCCATTTTCGTACAATTATTCCGCGCTTCGGATTTTGTAAAACTATGTGTAACACTTTAATTGTTCATATTCTATACCAAGTAATATATCATTTGATATAAATGTTTTTTATCAAATAAAGATTGTTCTACATAATCATCATGTGCTTCTTCGAAATTTAATACCACAAGACAAGAAACTTTAACAGCTGTTAAAGTCCCAGGTCGAAGATTTCGGACTTCCGAAAAAGCATTAGAAAGGTACAGAAATAGAAGCAGTATTCCGATCAGGAATTTTTCCGATAGTTTCCTGCCGTTCGAATGGAAACGAGTAGGATTTGACCGGAAGTCATCAGGAAACATGCCAGCCGTACTCTTCGACGTGAGGTACTTTCTTCAAGATTGTTTCTTGTTTGTGATGTTTTGTTAGTTACAGATAGTTTTTTGACAGTCGGAAATGATTGAGATATTTCAATATAAAATACATGTTCAAATAAATATTCATCATATAATGTAATATTTTTCACATTCATAGTTAATCCATGTGGAAATTTTTTTATAATATTAAAATAAAATTGTATTATATTGGTGCATCATGATAGTAATTCTCGATAAGACATAATGTACGTTCAATATCTTCATTCAATAGTAAATTCATTACAATATCAATAAAAATAAAAATGAAAGAATGAATGTTGAATTAATTCATCATACATGCTCATATTGACATACTACGCTAAAGAACAGCATTTCAGAATATACAATGTATTCTAGAAAAAGAATTTTATTAATTAGTTACAATAAAACTTGCCAGTTTCCTTGGTGATTAATTAGTCGATCTCAATGAATTGATTGAAACATGAATATATAAATTGTACGTAATTTATTGAAACGACCATTAACTAAATAGATACAATCATCGAAGTTCTGAACGTTGATATGTAATTCTGATAATGTTTGAGCAAAAATTTTGTTTTCGTAGTAATAAGTCATTGAATGATGTTTGAAAATTTAAGTAATATAAACTATTGAACATATTAAATATATATATATAAATACGCGTGTCAATATATCTTCTTTTATTGATCGATTTTCATCTTTAAGCGAAAGCATAATTGACGGTATTTGATTTTTCAATGAATGAAATAAAAAATAACGATCTAAATAAACAAATAAAATTAATCATCGAATATAATTAATGATGAAAAAAACTAATTTTAATTTACTTGAAAAAATTACATTATATAACAGATGATCTAATCGATCATTTATATCCGATAGAAGATGCAATACGCTTCTAATTTATGTATATGAGTTCATAAAGGCGAAATGGTGTAATTTATTCGAATAGCACCGAAACGTAATATTTTTTTGAATAATAATAAGAATAGGCAAGAATAAATGTATATAATTGACACAGCAAACCTACACACTATATTTTGTTCGTATAAATATAACTTCCTTTGCGGAAGTTCAAGGTTCAGACTCTATTGTGTGTAACTATCAACTCACTATTCTCCGAATATATCGGAGAGAGGTACGCGAGCCAAGAATATAGGGAGAGCGGAGGAGAGAGAAAATATATCGAGAGGAAAGAAACAAGAAATTGGAAGTAGGGAAGAAAAAGATCACGTATTAGTGAGATAGACAAAAAGGATGTCTATCACTTCACCCGGCACAATTATTGTATAAATTGTTTGTTTTATTAGTGAATAATTCATTTTTTGATGATTTAAGTAGTCGAGAGAAAGCAAATCAATGTTCAATACAATCAAAGCTAATATATTTTTTGTAAAAGTCATTTTTAAAGGCTTGTTCTTATAAGAAACAAAGGAAAACAATAATATATATTATTTATGTCACTCACTTATTAAGAAAACAAAAGATTTGAAATTATAGACGAAAATTATGAAGTTGATTTTTGCGACATTTCTCGTTACATATTGTTGTTCTTCTCAAATAGTTGTGGACAAAAGTTCATCTTGTCATAATTGTTCGACTTAGAACGAAGCCTGAATAGCTATAATAGTTATGTTCTTTTTGAAATCCATAAATCTGGAGAAGAAGAACCTGTTAAACCGGTCAATATCTTGTTGTGTCCAACATTATTCTAGCTATTTACAACGTAAATTTCGTTGAAATCAATAAACACATCATAAAGCATCTTGAGGGTGTGGGTGTGGTCACACTCTCAAGATGGTTGTTTTTTATGTACAGATTTATAAGTTATAGATATGTTCGAAATCGAATCGCACATAAGAAAGTATATGTTAATTTCTATTGAATAATTCAATATTAAGATTTTTATTTTAAAATGATTAACAAAATGTTTTTGATTAATAAAAAAATGATTTTTTTTTATTGAAATTAAAAAAAAGAGGAAATAGATAATCTATGAATTATAAGATAAATTTGTATTAAAATCTAATATTGAAATAAAAATAAAAATTAACCACTATGTATTTTTTTATTAGTATGATCTCTTGCAGCAACACCTAAGAAATAAATTTGATCGGGAAATTTATCTGATAAAATTTGTATATCATATTTATTTCTCCAAAATAATGAAGAACTCTTTTATGAAATTTAGCTAAAACTTGTTGATTTGATTGATCAATAAATGTTGTATCTAATGATGCAGCTTTTCCTTCCATTGAAATATCAACATTATTATAACTAAGAAGAAATTTATTTCCAACAATTTTATAATTTTGGTTAATTGTTCCATTTTGCCATTGATTAAGTTTTTTATTTAAAATTGCAATTGTTCCTTTGTATAAAACAACACTTAATTTAGCTTTTAATAAAGCTATTGGATTTTTTTTTGTTAACCCATCAAATAATCTAACATTATGTAATACACCTGGTTTTGATTCCATTCGAAATAAAGCATTTTTTCCTGTTGTATCATAAACTGTAAATTCTCCACCTTTAAGACCACTTATAAGATCTTTTTTTATAAGATAAGTACGATTTGTTCCACAATAACCATCTTTAATTAAAACAATTAATAATAATATTGCAATTATTTTATACATTTTATTTATCTATAAACATAAACAAATCAAATATATATTAGATAGAAAAAACTATGTAACTATTTTAAGATGATACTTTACGTTAGACAATTTGTTCTATAAGAAATTGTAAAATGAATATTTGATTCTTTTTTTTTAAATAGCTTTGATTGTTATCTTATCATAAATGAATGTATTCAATTTCATTTCATTTGATTTATTTAAATGTGTTAATTGATACGAGAATAAACCTTAAATTTGACTCCACACAATAATTATTATCTTTGGACTTTGTACGAAATATTTTATTAGTTGACATGCAACAATAGATATACATATTAAAACTTTTAAGAACATCAATCAATCTATCTTTTTATTTTTCAAAAATACAGTTTATCTCACCAGTATGCCACTTCGCCACGAAAAAGTTAATTAACAATTATTAATGGAAACAAATTCTCCATAATTAATTGTTAAAATGAAAGTATTTCAACTTTATATAGAAGATATACTTCTCATAATAAAGGCATATAAGAACGAATTGATCAATTAATAGATTTTTTTCCATATTTATTCAGTATGTTACAATAAAGACAGTTAGTTATGAGAACAAAAACATTTTTGACTCATCTAAATCAGATCCTTTTGATATATGTTTATCTAATATGAATTATTTTCATATAAAATTTCTTACTTATGATCGATTTTGATCTATTCTTTTCAATGTGAATTGCAAATTTTACTTGATTAAGCAGCCAATTTTCATTATTTACGAGTTAGTTAAGATAAATTCTTGCTTCTTCAAATGTCATTATTCAATTACTACAGAGGGAGAAAGAAAGAAAGAAAGAAAGAAGAATAAGAACGAGACACACGAGAATGAAAATATGTGAAAGAGAAGAGTAGAACAAACGATTGTATATTATCTGTTTTTGTATTAATAAGATAATTTAAAATTGATGATTTATTTATTATGATGATCAGAATTGATTTATAATAAATATTTTGAAGATCTTTTTCAATATGTAAAATATAATTTTTAATAAAAGAATTTGAATGATATTCGAATTGATTTTTTTAATTGATAAATATATCTTGTATATCGCGAATAAATTTTTTAAATTTTTTTTTTATTTTATTTTCATGTTGAAAAACAATGTTCACGAGAATAAATTTGTTGGATTATTTTCACATTCAAGAGAATATTTACAAATCTATAAATATGAATTTTTATCAATTATACTAATGCTTAAAATAATTCCTAAGATTTTATTATTCTTATGGGTTTTCCAAAAATATTCTTTTTTTTTTTCAGATATTCACTTTTCAAAGCAAATGCTCTTTTTCTACAAAGTACAAATATTTATTTACTCATTAAGAACTGATATTTGTATATGTATTCAATCAACAATCAATTCAATATACAAGAATGTTCATTTATCAGTTATTACTCTGTTCAAGGAGATTGTTAATACTTTTTCGTTTAGAAATCTAATAAATATCAAAGGTTTTTATTAATTTAGAAAAAGAAAACAAATTCTGAAATATATTATAGGATATTATACGAGTGACAGTAGTGTACAAATCGATAAGTCATTATGAGTTTTACATGTACCATTTCATAAAAATTGAAAACATAACGAAATACGTAAAACGTGCATTCGGTAAAAAATCTCTATGATAATTTCATTGAAGTTTAGAGAGAGTTGCATACATGATAAAAATGTTTAATAGGATTCTATTGGTTGATTGGTAATAATAATCATTCACTTTAGTATCATCCTTTCAATGATAACCTGTAATATTTGAATACATATAGACGAATTATTTGACTAGAAATAGAATAGACAAATAATTGATAATCATATAAACAAAGATTTTATAAATGAATTTAATGTTTAACCGGTACAATTATATATTCTATTCACATGTATCTTTTATCTTTTTTTTATTATTAGAATTGTTAACATTGATCTTTTATTTGTTTCATAGAAATATTTTCAATCTAATAAATTGATAAAAGAAAGAAATCTAGAAGGTTAAATGATGAGTCATCGCAATAGAAAATAGACGAAGATAAAAACGAAAAAAAATAATAAATAGGTAGATTTATTATTGATGATGAATAATAAAAGGGAGTGAAAAATAATTATTATAATTTTCCGATATGTCTATAACTCAAATTTGAGCATGTCGATTTCACTTTTTCTCCTCTTCATTCACACTTTTGTTTGTGTTAAATTTATATAAAATAAGAAAATATTTGAAATAAAAAATGAATCTTCTTAATTTAATTGAGACAACTCACCTAAAATAAACTTTTCTTTTAAAAACGAAAATAGTTGATAAGATTAATTCTCAAGGCCAAAATATATTATTACCTATTAGTCAGAAGTGTTTTTTTCTTGGTTAGTACATAGACTATGCATCGGGTAACAAAACCATCAGAGCGAATCGCCAAGCAAAAAAAAGAAGAAAAAAAAACTAAAAGGTGAACAAAATGCTCTTATGTATATGTATATGCGTCGTTTGTGATGATTTCTTCTGTGTTAAAATATGCATATATATACAGATAACGTGTAGGTGAGCACACATCAATTGGTAATTAGTTTTGTGAAGACGAGAATAAAAATGATGCAATGAAGATTTTTTACAATGTAACATTTATTTTCATTTATCAGTTTATTCAATACAGAATACAATATACAATAGAAGTAGCTATTAACATCGAAATATTGATTTAATTTTCTTTTCTTTTCTTTAAATATTATTAAAAATTATTGATATATTTAAGAAAGTTAATAGGTGATTTATAGAATAAAAGTACATAGGTCATGTCTATTCATTTTAATGATTAATATATCCATTCCGATTTATTTATAGAAATATTACATATGGGAACTTTTTCTTTTCTTTCTCATATCGTCAATATTTTCTATTCTAGTTTATTTTTAAAACTGAAATGAAATAGTCTACGAACGAAAATAATAGAATTAGATTCAGAAATCATACCAATTCATAAGTTTAAAATGGTAACTTAATTTTCATTACTAATTTCTATTAGATAATATAAAATTTTCTACTATATGGCATATACAACTGATAGTATTGACTACTCTGATGCTGCTATACCTGACATATTAAAATCACCACATATATTGGCATCAAATATCGATCGATCTCTCTCTTCAACAAGATCAAAAATGAGTGTTATTGAAGAAGAAGAAATTTTAATGAAAACTAATTATGTTGCACGAATCTTAAAGAATGAACCAGAATTATTACCGATAACTAAATCAAATTGGTACAAAGAAATTCATTGGTCTCAAGCAATATTTCTCTGTATTGAGCCTTTCATCGCTCTTTATGGCATTAGTACAACATCCGTAGTTTGGCAGACTGTTGCCTTTGCTTTATTTTGGTATTCACTTACTGGACTTGGTATTACTGCTGGTTATCATCGTCTTCTTGCTCATCGTTCATACGAGGCATGTTTGGGTTTACGTTACGCACTAGTGACATTAGCTGCTGGTGCTTTTCAAGGATCTGCTCTATGGTGGGCAAAACGACATCGTGCACATCATCGTTATACAGATACTGATCTTGACCCGTATAATGCTCACAAAAGTATTTTTCATGCTCATATCGGATGGTTATTATTCAAACCACGTCGAAATCTTCCACTAATTGATATTACGGATCTTGCTCATGATGAAAGTGTTCAATGGCAACACAAAAATTTTATTGCATTAGCAATGAGTATGACTTTCTTTGTACCTACACTCGTATGTGGACTTGGATGGAATGATTATCGTGGTGGTTTCTTTTTTGCTAGTGTACTTCGTCTTGTAATGCTTCATCATTCAACGTTCTGTGTTAATTCACTTGCACACTATTTAGGTGATATGCCTTTCGATGATAAACATACACCTCGAGATCATTTTATCACTGCACTTATCACTGGTGGTGAAGGTTATCACAATTTTCATCATGAATTTCCATCTGATTATCGTAATGCATTGAAATGGTTTCAATATGATCCGACGAAATGGGTCATTTGGATTGCTATGAAATGTGGCCTCGCTTCCAATCTCAAGAAATTTCCAGATAATGAAATTCAAAAAGGTCGCTATACTATGACAGTCAAAGCATTAAATGAAGTGAGAGATAGTATTGCATGGCCCAAAGATCGAACACAATTACCCATTATTTCTTTTGAAGAATATCAACAAATGTCGAACGGAGATGACGGTCGTCAATTTGTCTTGATTGCTGGTTTTGTTCATGATGTTACCGATTTTATTGACTCTCATCCTGGTGGTCGAGCTCTACTCAAAAGTCAAGTAGGGAGGATGCTACTGTACCATTTCATGGTGGTGTACATGCTCATAATAATGCAGCACACAACTTACTCGCTATGATGCGAGTAGCTATATGTGAACAAGGTGGTGAAGTTGAATGTCTAAAGAAGCAATTGTGATATTTATTTTAACTTTCATATTTGTGTAACTATTCCTGAATGTTTCTATGTAATATTAATCACAGACTTTCATAGTTCATTTTTTTTTTCAAATAAAGTCATATTATTTTTCAAATATATTCTTCGTGTTTTCTAATATATGTAGGAGACAGATATTTGAAAGAATAGGTATCAATATCATCTTCGTTAATATTTCGATTGACGATCAATCAAGTTTTTTCCTATATAAAATTACATTAATCAAAAAAAAAATTTATTTTCTCAATTGATAGGTAAAAATAATCTACACTGAAATCAAATAGTTATCTAGTTTTTCCTTGAGAGTATAATTATCAAAAGTTATTATATTTTTTCTTTTGATCTATCTCAATAATAATAACAAATGAATAATGACTAATATAGTATGGTCATCAATACTGTTAGCGTTTAACTGGAAAAACTAATAGAACAAGTTAGACAAATATTGATATTGATGATACAATAACAATCCACACTCGCATCCACCCTTTGAACAATGAGTTATTAACCGCTAAAGAATGTTTATTTATTAAAAGTGTTAGTAGTCAATTGAGTTATAATATAATGACAAACTAAATAAAAAAAAAAAGTTACAATAACAAACCGGGATTATTATATATTATAGTTTATAGTTTTTATGATGGGTTTTAAACTGAAACTGAACACTCCATAAAACTAGGATTGAAGGATTGAAATGGAAACGTGTCTGGCATTCGATGTCGTTTATCGATCTTTTCCATACGTTCAGTTAATTGATGTTTGAATAAATAATAATTATCAAGATGAGATTTAACTTGTTCTTCAGTTATAATCGAAGGTAACTTGTCTTCATGATTATCAGTAGCTACCCGTGGAATGAGATGACTCCAATCTTCCATCAAGCCTGGCATTTTCATCGCAGTTAATACAGTTAAAACGAGCATTAGACTGTAATTTTGTACAGATGGCAATAAAGATGGTAGATCTCGTCTTAATTTTGTACCAATAAAACTAGGATCAAAAAGATAATCACCAACATGTCCAACATGTTCATGAATTCCAGTACATGCACACATGAGCTGCGTAATTACATCAATTAAATGAGCACGACTGGGAATACCATCCAATCCCAATGGTTTGCATAATTCAGCAATAAATCGACGTTCACAAGGTTCGATCATAAATGTGCGTTCTGACTTCATTGTACCTTTTTTCTCTTCTTCTTTCGATTCTTCTTTGCCATATTCAATTTCGAAGAAACGTCTTACATAATCACGTACTATATTCCAAAAAGCAGGTAAATCTTCTGCAATAGGATAATGTTTGACCCATTCTTCAGACTGATTTTTATCAGACACTCCGTTTGTTTCATGAACTTTATTATTTTGATTATGTTCAGATTTTTCATTGTTCTCTCCAATTACATGATTGTTTACATTTTCTTTTTCATAATTATTTTGTTGATTTTTCTTCAGTTTCATATTATCAGGAATCCAATCAGGCATCGTACGAAATCGGTAATGAGCAATGACATAATCACAGAGTTTAACAAATTCATCGTACTCGAATCCCCATATCCTATGACAGAGACCACCTGCATTTACTAGAGAAGTTGCAGCCGAATAATTGATAGTCACAGTACGATAAGTGAATGGTTTGAGAAAGATTCGTAATGGATGAGCTGCAGGAAGGAATTGTCGTGATACATTTGTTAATGTGTTCGATTCAATGAAGTGTGTAGTCAGTAGATGATCTCGTATCGTTACTTCAGCTAAAGCAGATGATCGCCACATATATTTAGCATAAGTCCAATCATTGTCAAGACCACATGAATGACTCATAGGCATGACTAATTCATCACGATGAGAAAGATAAATACCAATTAAACGACGTTCACGATCGAAATAAGCTGCAGCACCATACCGATCAAATGGAGCTCGAACAGCAAATAATGATAGAGCAGTCATATCATTCACATAATGAGCAGATTTAAGTATTGAATGTGTAAGCGTTGCTGTATGTAATTCCATACTTTCCATACCAGGATCGAGTTTTCGAGTATGATGACAGGCTAAACCAAAGAAAGCAAAACGACTCATGAGGTCATCACTATCGCCACACCATTGTGGATTGTTTGGTGATGGCATAGAAGGAAAATGTTTCCATCTCCATGCAATCATATCATCTATAGAATTAAATTGTAATTCATGATCTTCAAGTGGCCAGAACGCAGAATTCAAAATCTTGTTCACAAGTTTAGTGTGGCAATGCCAACGATTTTGATCATCTTCATCCCATGTTGCTACGTATCTTGCACAATCCACTCGTTTTAAATGAAGATCTTGTGTAGGTAAATTACACGGTTCAGCTATATCAATGGCTCGAGGTGGTTTCGCATTCCAACCTTTTAATGCCAATTTTGATAATTCGATGATTAATCGAGTATAACCATCAAGACTTGAAAGATAATATTTCTCTGTTTTAACATCCAGATGTGTACGAGTGTATAATTCTCGAATAACGATGACAATTTCGGATTCTTCATCGTCAGGATGTCTACTTTTACCATCAGAGAGCGAATTTTCCACATACAACTTAGGCTTAACAAGGGAGTTAAGTGACATTAACTCAATGCCATTGACTTGCATTGAACGTTGAGATTCTTGATTACGTGAGATCATAACAGGTGCAAATCTGGATGCGACAAATTTCATAACTAGTATAGATAAATCATGTCCAGGACAGTAACGAGGAGGTCGCAATTCTTTATTCTTTCCTTCGATGTCACTCTCGACTCCATTCCATGTAATAATTTTACCCAATTCAATAGCCGAACGTCTAGGATTAAATTCATCTGGCGATGTAAATTCGTTTGGATCACGATTCGCATCGGTAAGAGAACAATGAATGCGTGTATTGGCTGGTAAATCTGCTCCAGTATGAGTTTTCACATCGTTGGCTATACGTGCATTGGAAAGAACACTAACCATTGGTAGAACTGTGTAAAGTCGAGCAGATTCTTTGATAAAATTTCGAGGATTCTCGTAGAATAGATCCACCATTTTTTCTTGCTTATAAGCATCTTGTCCAGCTAAAATTTCATCTGATTGATCTGACCATAATCTATGAACGATGTCCGCAGTGAGTTTAGCTGGTGCGGGTGCTGCACCCAAACAAAAAGCCATAGTTACTAATCGTATTACTTCACTTTTGGACAATTTTCCTCCAGCTGCTTCAAAAGCTGCTTGTAATGCAGGTCCTTGTGCATGACGAGCAAATGCTGCTTGAAATTTTCCATAACTTTCATAACCTATATTTTCTTTATAATGGCCTGCAACTAAAAAGTTGAACCAATCAGGTAGAAATGTGAATGGATTTTTTACACAATCAAGATAAGCATCACGTTCATCACTTGTTAACGAACCACCCGTAGCCAAAAAGAAGAGCGTTTCACCTACAGCTAAATATATCATTTCCTTATTTGCTTCACTTTTTGGATGTCGTGGAACAATTCGAGTCAAATAACGATAAGTTGCTGTGTTTCTCTCGGAGCATGAATCGTGTAGATTCTTTAAAGTATGAGGAAATGCTGCCAACCATTGATGAATAATTTTACGGCTAAGTAAATGATGATCTGGCATAGGATGACTTGGATTCGGCAAGAAGATATGATTAGATTCGCAGTATTTAATTAATGAACTTGATACAGACCAACCAATTGTTTGAAAATCTTTCATAATAAGTGGATCACGGCTTTGTAGATAAGCTTTTACGTATTTATAGTTAGCCACACCGACACCATCTCCAAATGGAAAGAAACCAGCTGTACTTTCTTCTCCTAAACTTTCTGCAAAATCATGTTGCATTGCACGAAAAAGAGCAAATGGATTCTCGCCGTTTGGAGCAAATAATATAAATGTACATATTTGTAGCCAGTACGACTTGACCTTCCATAACCAATCACGATTTTCTATAGGTGTAATAATCGAATGCCAAAACGATTCAATTGTATGAGCTCGAACAGATGCTGGAGGCCATCGAGGAGAATTCTCTATAGCAGATGTCTTCTTGCGATGAAAAATAAGACAATATACAATATATATTGCATAAAAACCCAAGACAATAAAACCCAAGAAGCCACCAATTAATCCTCTAATAAATCGATAGAATGTGCGTAAATTATCTGGAAGAGAATCATCAAATCGAATAGTTCTCTTGAACAAGAGTCGATAATCAACAGCCGAAACGATTTTCTTTATCTTCAAGTTCTGAGGATTTCTCCAATTAATAGGTTGAGAAGCGGCAAATTGTTGAAAATAAGTTCTTGTAGCCAAAAAATAAATTGTTAAACCAACAGGCGAAAGAAAATAAGTTATTATAAGAATTATTGTAAACACAACATTCTCTTCAGTCCAAATATTATGACTAAGAACATTACCACCATCACCTGGTTTACCATTATAGACACATGTAAATCTTGTATGAAAATCTTTTGCCATCCAAAAAGCGACCGCTAATTCAGCTACATGAAAATGACCCATATTGACCACACTCAACAATGCATCTTGATAGAAGTTTGGTGTGTTTCTCGTTCGATCGAAAAATAATTCATTGAATTTCATCAGACAATTCAATATGAATACGACTGCTGATGCAATGACAAAATACTGAGTGAAACGATTTCTTGGTCTAAGTATAAGTGCTAACCAACTCAGAATAACCAAATTGTTCAATAAGTATGAATCATTGTTACTTGGCGATAACCATGCCATTGTTTTCTCTATAAATCAAGCAAAAAAGATATTCGATATGTAATAGTAAAGTTAAAGTTAAACTATTATTAATTTCAAAATCTAATACCTTTGATAGTAATAAAGAGATTTTACAAAATATAAAAGAAATCGTATGAACGAGAGAATATCGTGGAAGTTTTAAATAAAACAAATGTATTTCTATTGATATCGATTATTTCAAAAAGAACTCACTTGTTTTCATAGATATAAATATTTTAGTCTAAAAGTTTTTTTTTAATTATCTCTTTAGATTTCATCATGAAATCGATTTTTTATTAGAACTGATCTGAACTTATCCTGAAGCATTCTACTAACTCTAATTAGTCTCGATGATATGAATAAATGACGAGAGATACATAGCTGCGATGTTTGTCTTATTGTCAGAATGAAAAAAGAAAGATAATAAAACTATTATGACTATCTAATTTGATAAGAGAAGAAAAAAATATTTTATTAAATCGATGTATTTTCATCTTCTATTATAATAGTATCGTCAAAATGAATCTGACAGAATTATATTAGAAAAAAAAGATATTGAATGTTCTCACTGATTAAATCGATTTTTATTTAATCTACGAAATAAATTATCAATCGAAGAATTTGTACTTTGTGGATGTTGCATAAAATCTAATACGCAACATTAAAATAACGAAGCAAAATTGATCAAGAAAATTGTTAAGAATGGAAATATTATTCTTCCGACAATTCGTTTGTAAGAACAAAAATAAGAAAATATTCCAATTGACAATTCTCATTAATAAACAAATTTTAATATATAATACTCTTGCTTAAATCTTTTCGATTCGATATTTGAAAAGAAAAATTTTTGTACTTACCGTTTAATAATATGCACTAGCAATTGAAGTTGATTGAGAACGAATAAATACACAATCGATAACTATAAATAAATACAAAAATATGAGAATATTATTCAGTACTGTACTATTTATTATATGTCCACTTAAATTACAGTGATCATTGATGCATGGATCGACTCTCTCTTTTATCTTAATAGTAAAAACGCAATCGATTGGCAAAACAACGTATAAACAAGATGTTTTTGATAATACATCGAACTCATCTAAACCAATATAAAAGAAAAAGGCCATGTTTTTAACTTTTGTTTCTATTGTAATTAACATTGATCAATAATTTTTGTTTCTTTAGTATAATAAAACAACAATCAACTTGTTAGATAAAAAATATGACAGGTAAAGCGTTTATTTGTCGTTTTCGTATTATACATCACCTGTCATTGAGATAATGAAGTTAAACAAAAATAAAGAAATTAGTCAACCATCTCATATTAACCAGATACACATACGTAAAAGAAAATATGACGAAATTCAGTTTGAAGCTAATTTCCATTGATTGATCTATTGAGTTTGAGATTAAGAAAGAACATTCATTCTTAACTTACTTTATAAAAAATCTTATCAATCGATTTATTTTATAATTTCAAGATAGAATCAAATAAATAATCGAATTAGAATAGAAAGAAGAAAAAGTAGATATTAATTAGATAATCAAAGAGCAGAAATATTTCTTACAAATCCACACAAATACAAAGAATCGTTAACAAAACGATTTATTCTCACGAAAAATATTAAGATTAATTCATACGTTTTAGTTTTATTTGTTATGTCATCATAACTATGTAATCATTTACTATATTTTTCGACTTTCTCACGAATTAAATTCTTCACTATGATACATCAGAAGGTCGATCAGATTTTTAATAACGGAGATCATCTAATAAAAATATGTTTTAATCTTTAACTAAAAGATAAATTATGATATTTATTGATGAATATATTATAGAAATAAATTTCATTTTTATTAAAAATCAAAAGAGAAAGATTTCTATGAACAATAATTGAATAAATTAATGAAAATTTCAATTGGGAATTATTGAAAGTTTATTCTATTCTCTTAAACTAGTATAGATACGTTATTTTTATTATTTTCATATAAAATTATCTAAAATTACTATTTAACAACATAAGTTACCAGTTAACATTATTCGAAAAATAGATCTTTAATAAATAGAACTATTGACTGGAGTTATTCTTACTTTTCTTATCTAAAACTAATATAGTCTCATTTCTTTTTAAATAATTGAAGTATAATCATCGTACAGATACCCGCAACTAACTGATCATATCGATAGCAATTGATCTACTTTTGTATACGTGAGGAAATAAAAAACATTTCGTTATGCAATGAACTGTCGTTGACTAATTGTTTTACAAGCGAATCTCCATGTGACAAATTCATCGAGACAAATTGAATGGTTCTTTTATTCTTTTTCACTAGTATAAAAGAGAGTGAAAATGTATTTAGATTAAGTAGAATTGTATGTTGATAATATTGATATAATAACTTCTCTATTGATATATCCATATTTTTTTTCTTTTCTCTCTTGTTCTCGTTAGTATATTCAACACTCTTTCTCTTTCTCTTTCTCTCTCTCTTCTATAGTCTTGTCTTATCATTTAGTGAATATGCATACACTCAATGACAGTAAGTTACTCGTCTAGTTGTAAAAGATAAGAGAATAAGATTTTGATATGTATCATTAGAATTACAAATGTCGTTTTTTTTTTTAGATAAGAAGAGTTTAAGATAGTTCTATATTGATCAAGATTGTAATGGGTAAACATTTACATACAACTCTTGCGGATCGTTTCAAATATTTTACGAGTCCAATTCGACCACGTCCTGATGATATTGAAATCGTTCGTCAACAATTGTCATTATTAAATAAACCTGCACGTGGAATTCTTCTTGGTGTAACAAAAGAACTTGTAGAATTGGCTAATGATGAAATAAAAATGATCGCTGTAGATCGATCAAAAGATATGATAGAACATCATTGGATTGGAAATAATTCAAATCGTATTGTAAAACTTGCTGATTGGCTTGAACTTGAATCAATTGCAACTAATATTAATTTTGTCATCGGTGATGGAATATTCAATGTAATAGATCGAAAATGTCAACATCAGTTAATGGATTGTATACGAAATGTTCTTGCTGATGATGGATTATTAATTGTACGAGTACAATGTAATCCAGTTGTTCGAGAAACTATCAAAGAAATATTTGAAAATACAACAAATAATTTTTGTGCATTTCTATCAAGATTAGTTAATTCAATATGTGATTCCAATTTTGAAGTTCGTGGAAGTGAAATTTTCAATAAATTCAAAGAATATGTTACTGATATTGATATCGCACGTTTTAGATGGACAAAAGAAGATATATCAATTATTGAAGCACATGAAAACTCTTCACATGTTATTACATTTCTTACTGAAGAAATGTTCACCAAATTATGTGATCAACATCAAATGAAAATTTTATCCAAATTCAATGGTTCATATCAACTTAGTGAACGTAATCCAACTTTTATTATTCGCAAAGATTAATTTTTTGTGAAAAATTATAGATGATTGAAATATTCCAAATTACAATTAATTTTTTCATTTATCTTGTTCGATCTTCAAATTTATTCTATATCTAATAAAACAAATTTTATTTAAATCATCGATATTTCACTCTTCTCATGTACATTTACTCAAACTATAAATGATTATATAATGCAATAGAAATTTCTTTTCCAATCTATCATAAAAACAAGAATTAATTCATTGACAATGATCGATTCGTGTTACTTAAATCATCTTTATTAGTTAACAAGAATAATAATAAGAATAGATTTCTTTTGTTTATACGATCGATTTTATCTGAATATTGTTTTTCTTGTAGACAAGCATAAATACTAAACGTGATATTTAATTCAATAAACATTTCATATAATCTTCATAACGAAATTTTTTTTTCTTACTGTGACGATGTTTGTTCTCTTTTTCTTCTTCTTATTTTATCCATCGTATGATACTTTCATCCCATCTTATTTTGTCCTTGTTCTATTCTTTCGGCTAGGTGGATATATAAATGTATGCTTTGTATGAAAATGATGTGATTTCAAATAGGAAGATAATATCCTAACACTTCTCTTCTATAAGAAATTGTCTTAACGTTTGAAACTTGTGTATATGAAATATATATTTTTTAATTTTAGATAATTTAATCAATTCGATTTAATTCTCATCATGACAGAGATGGGATACTAAGTAAAATACTTGGTACTTTTTGTACTTTGTACTAGTAAATCTCAGTATAAGTAATAATTTTTTAGTACAAGTAAATGTACTTGTACTTAGAAATCGTAACTGTGTACTGGTACTGGGTACTTATTTACTTAAGTACAGTACATTTAGTATAAAATGTACTGAAACAGTTTCTTATTAGGTATTTATATGCTGACGTTACTGGCACGTTTATTTATACAATATTTTTTTCAATTACTCAAGATATTTTTCACCTTTTTTCAATTCATCTAGGTTTTGTAGTATAACTTACGTACATAAATTTTCTTTAATAATATATTTATCTCAAATCTTAGTAATGTTTGTTCTCTAATTGTGTTCATAAAATTTTATTTTATTTGAATGTGGTTTACAATAAGTGTGCAGATATTTTCTTTGACTTCTTCTTTTACATACAGTGAGCAGTTTTAGATAAATGATAAAAAAATTTAATGAAAAGAAAAAGTCATCAACCAAATACTGTAACAACTTTTTCTTTAAAAAATATAAGATAAAAGCAAGCACAAAAAAAATAGATTAAAAATATGTGATAAATGAGAGAGCAGCTGTCGTAAAATTTGATGTAATATTAACTCATAGTAAAGATTGATTTACTCTTAGAAAAACCATATTTTTAAACAACTGCTCATTCATTCTTGTTCGTCGCGCCGTTTAAATTGAACCTACATTCGAAAATACTCTTTCGATCGGTACAGACAAAGCTTGTACAGAGAAAATTCGAAAAACAAGTTTTTTTAATAAATGGAACCCTTTACGGCCGGCTACCAGAAAACAACAAGCAAAAAGTTATCTTTCTATAGATTCTTTGTTGTTTAGTTATAGGGATCAATTTTTCACTGCCGACTTTTTTAAAAATGCCGTACACCCCTGCGGCAAAAATGTTTCCATTTGGCAACATCCGGCCGGAAAGGGTTAATTGAGAATATGACTAATATGCTGAGAATTTTGATTTAACAGGATCATTTAAATGTTATTTTAAACTATTTTAACGTCGAATTATGCTCAAGAATAAAAGTACTTAGCATATGTACTTTTTACTGATACTTAAGTACAGTTGTACTTTTTACTGATACTAAGTAAAAAATACTTAAGTAAAAAGTTACTAAGTAAAGTACAAAGTAAATGAACGTAGTACAAAGGACTTATACTTGTACCTGGTGTACTTGTACTCGTCCAATGTCTGCATCATGAAACAAAAAAAGAAGTCAATAGCCAGTATAGACCGTTTTTTTTCTGTTCTATTCTTCTACACGTGGCAATATTTCTATGATAAGAAACGAAAGAAAAATAAATATTTGTTTGATTGTTTAACGGATTGTTTTTGATGATATAATTATTTGTGAATTTGAAAATTAAAAAATCTTATATTTACTTATCTGAAGATCATATCGAAATATTTTTCTGTTAGTATATCACTTTTTACTTATCGATTTTACATTTTTTCAAATAGTTTTCATTTAGTTTTTTTCTTCAGATTTTTCTTTTAATATGTCAAAAACTATTCTTGTTACTGGTGCAAATTCATTTATTGGTGGATGGATTGTAAAATATCTTATTGAAAAAGGATATAATGTTCGTGGAACAGTTCGATCTCAAGCTAAAGAATTACAAGTTCTCGATGGTATTTCAAAAGATAAACAAAATCAAATCTCATTCGTACATATTCCTGATATAACTACTGATTCATTTGAAGAAGCTGTTAAAGATGTTCATGGAATTATTCATGTTGCTTCACCATATCATTTTAAAGTAACAGATCCCGAAAAAGATATGATTTTACCAGCAATTAATGGAACGAAGAGAATATTAGAAGCTGCTCATGAATATAATAAAAAAAATGATAATAAAATCAAACGAATCGTTATAACATCATCATTTGCTTCAGTTTTTGATCAAACTAAAGGATTACGACCGGGTTATTCTTATACTGAAGAAGATTGGTGTCCACTTACTTATGAAGAAGGTATTGAAGCAAAAGATGATCCAGTTACAGTTTATCGTGTTTCAAAAGTCTGTGCTGAACGTGCTGCATGGGATTTTATTAAAAATGAAAAACCTTCATTTACAATTGCAACTATATGTGAACCAATGGTTTTTGGTCCATCTGTTACTGATTTTAAATCAATTGATGATATACATACATCAAATTCTTCAATATGGTCATTAGTTACGAGTGGAAAAGATGGAAAGATTCCCGAAACACGTGTACCAAAACAAATTGATGTTCGAGATGTTGCTTATGCACATATTGCAGCTTTAGAACGAATAACAAATACAAATCAACGTTATCTTATATCAGCACCCTCACGTTGGAGTCAACAACAAATACTTGATATTGTTAATGAAAGTACGACTATTCCAACAAATATCAAAAATACAACACCAATTGGGATTAAAGGTCAACAATTACCAGAACATTTTAATATTGATAGTTCAAAAGCAGAAAATGAATTAGGTGTTACATATATTCCTTTCAAAAAAACTATTGAAGATTTAATTATACAATTTTCCAAATTACAACATTTACAAAAACATTAACTAAATTTATTTTTTATTATCTACTAACAAAAACTCATCTCATTTTCAATTATTCACATTTCTAATAGTAACAACGAACATATTCTCATCAAATAAAACCTCTTATTCAAATATAAACAAGGTTAAAATATTATCAGCTCTTTACGTACCTAGAGGCAGTTAATCAACGATTTTTAACGTGCTCATACTTTCGGTATATAAGTGTATTAGGATTATTTTTATTTATTTAATCAATTGGCTATTTCAATAGTAGTTCAAGCGAATATTTTCGCGAAAAAAATCTAACAAGTTTCTTCACTTTTCTCTCAATTATTTCTCATGACTGATATGTTGATTAAATGACGGAACCAAAATATTGTCCATAAGAAAAAAAATAAAAGATCTATTTTCATATAGAAGTTCTTCTAAACTGCCTTTTACTTAATTTACTCGAAGGAAGTTTTCTAATGTGTTGAAGACTTTAATATATAACAATTAATATCATTTACAAGTATCAAAGATAAAAAGCAAATTATCTAAAATTGACTCTATTCTCTATATTAGGAAAAATTTTAAAATTAAAACTTTTCAAATATTATCATATCACCAGTTATCCGACCGGGTTGGAGGACTCTAGATTTTAATTTAAACATATCTCATCAACGAAGATTAAAACGTTTTTTTTATTAAAGTCTGAGATATACGTCATAATGATATGAAGGGATCTTAGTAGCCTTACGATAAATACTTTGAGTTTTGTGCTAAACAAGTTCAGTCATAACAGAGTTTAAATTGACGAGCAATCTTATCTAGATTCTGATGAATAGCATATCTATTCACTATTTCAATTCTATTAAATTAATCAATGTATTTTATAATAATTGAAAAAAGAAATTAGAAAAAGAATTTATTAGAAGATAAAATGAAATAATTAGGCTGTTGGAGCAATTTGTATGATTCCTAAAAGATTTTTTTCTTTCTTAGAAATATAATATTGAGTTGGTTCGATAAGAATAATATTTGTATTGATTGGATCAACTTTCCATTGAATATATTCATTAACAGTAATATTATAAGTTGATTTCGGATAAACTAATGATGGAACATAAATTTCTGTTGCTTTTTTAATTGATGTATCAAGATAATAAGTTAAAGAAAATAATCTTGAATTAACATCAAAATTCATCATATTTGGTTGACCAGCAATAGCACGTGCATATGGTCGAGTTATTAATTTTAGATTTTTCATATTATTATAAACATTTCCCCAATAAGCCCATGATTGAAAATATTGATCAGTATTTTTCATAGCCCAATTGAGTTGTTCATCACATGTTGGTGAATCATCACATCCACCAAATTCAGTTAAAAATGATGAACCACCTAATTGTTTAACATCAATCTAAAGTATAAATAGTGAAAGTTTTATTTTTTTCTTAAGAATTTTAATCAAACCAAAGTTGAATCAAATAAAGCGGGGCCTTCAATATCATCACATAAAACTCGATCAAATCCTGGAATTGTCTCATTACCTGGAACAGGTTTGATTTGTAAAATAGTACAATAATAATGATAAGAGAAAACACTACGATTTCGATAATCATTACCACCTGGAACATGAGAAAATCCACTACCCATATATTTTCCATTAAGTCGAACTAAAATATCGAACAAAATCTTATATTTATTTATTTCTTCTTCTTATTATTATTATTATTATTTCAAACCTCCCCAAGTGACAGGTTCATAAAAAATTAATGTTTTATTATCAACTGATCGAATTGATTTAGAAATTTTATCATAAAGTGGTTGAAGATTTGTTGAACCAGCTACACCAGGTAAAAGTAAAAATGGATTAGTTAAATAATTTCCAGCCCATGGTTCGTTAATTAATTCATATCTATTATTGATATATTAAATAAACTTCATATATAGAAATTATTTTACCCTAATAAATTTGAATATGAATTGAAATTAGTTGCTACTAAACGCCAAAAATTACTCATAGATTCAACTGCACCACCAGCATTATCATATAAACTTTGAAAACCATGCGAACATGCTTCTGTTAGATAACTATATAGATTTGATTTTACTTTTAAAAAATCAATTATTTTAAACTTACCCAAGAAACCAATCACTTCCAACTTTTTTAAATGGCCAAGGATCTAAAAATAAAATGTAAGATTTATTGTTAATTAAATTTTAATAGATAAAAAATGTTACATGGATGAGCAGGTGCTGGAAATTTATCATATAACCATGATGGTATCCCATCATAACTACCTGTTCGACTACTTAACACATCTTGATGCATATCAAATAACACAAAAATTTCATTTGATTCAAGTAATTTTACTATATCTTTCATTATATTTAAATAAGTATAATTATATTGTTGGGGATTTGGTTCAACACCTTCCCACATCATCCTACAATTTAATATCAAAATAAAAATAAAAATAAAATCTCTTCTATAATACCCAAGTCGAACAAAATTCAAACCCCATGATGATAAATTTGCAACAAAAATAGGATCAAGTAATTCGAGTGGATACCATGGAAAACCTTTATTAACAAAATTAGTTCCATGATAAATACGAATTCGATCTGATTCATCTTTTATATACATTCCATCAGTGTAAACATCAGCCGAACCATAACATAATGTTAAGAAATTAATTAAAGTATAAGAAATAAGAAATAAAACTTGATAAGACTTCATTTTAAAACTAAAATATGAAAATTGTGTATATGCGTATATAAAAAGAAATCTATCTAGAGGTTTGTTGACAATGATAAACTAAGGTTATATTCGACTGTTTATCTTTGCCTTTATCATATCATATATTTAGTTTTTAAAGTAAACCAATGACTTTGGAGAATATCGGTCAAATAAAATAATTATTATTTATTAAGTAAAATATCACGTGTTACAATTCGACGTAGTTCACCTCGTTACTTTCATATACTAAATGTGTCAACTTGTCATATGAGTTAACATTTGACTTTTTTTTTTAATGAACATTTTAGAATAAAATTTGTGATGATTAAACTATAGAATCGAACAATAAATCAGTGTTAAAAGATCTTGATGAATTATTCAAATTTTATTAAAAATAAAATTTCTTTCTTGTACAACAAATATATTTGTAAAAATGTTTGATGAAAATTGCAATAGTCTATATGTAATCTATTTATATTTGTGTTATATTCCAATATTGTCCACTATAACAACCACTTTTAGCAAGTGTAACTTTATTATTATTTTGTCCATCATTAATAATATCAAGAGATTTTTCATATCCTTGTTGTTTGCAAGTAAAACGATAATAATTATTTTTTAATAAAGTTATTTTCCAATATTGTCCAGCATTATCATTACTTGTTTTATCAAGTATAATTTCATTATTAAGAATTGAAAGAGATTTTTCATTACCTTGCCATTGTGTTGTTAATCTATAATAATCATCTTGAATTAATTTTATTTTCCAATGTTGACCACTATAATTTCCAGTTTGAGCAAGTTGAACTTTATTATTATTTTTACCATCATTCAGAATATCAAGAGATTTATTATCTCCTTGCCATTGAGTTGTTAAACGATAATAACTATTTTCATCAAAATGAATTTTTGTACCTAAAAGAATTAATAATAAATATTATCATTTATTAAAACTAATCATTTAAATTTAAATATATTTTCTTAATTATTTAACAAATGTTATTCAAGGAAAAGGATTGAATTTAAAAATCAAATTTTTCAAATGATAATTTTGTTTTTCTTACTTTCAATTTCGTCATTATTTGCAACACTATTATTAGTTTCTTCATGATGTTTTTCTTCTTCTTCATTCCAGTTTAAAGCTAAAAAATACAAAATATTATCAATAGAATCCTATTTCACTTCTACTAATCGAAATTATGTTTATCTCTCATTAGAAATAAGAAATTCTAATTAGTATTTAATATTGATTCTATTAATTTTTCAAGAAAAAAAATAAAGCGATTGTTAACATACGTTGAATGGAACTAAATTGTTTCCCTGCAACCATTTGAATTTCTGCAACTAATTCCTTAATTCTTAAATCACTGTTTGTTGAATAATCAGTAAATTTAATATATTTAAGACCAGTTACAGAAAATCCTAACCATCCACTTGGTTTCCAATCTTGAATTAAACGTATTGGTATAATTGGTACACGTCGTTCTTTAGCATATGTTAATTCATCTTTACATGCAACACTATCTTGATATTGTGGTGTAAGAAAACAACATAATACAACTGCATTTTCTACACCTTCTGCCATACTTAAAAGAAAAAGAATAGCAAAAGTATTTATTATTTCAAATATAATTTTGTTTACCTTGTACTTAAATGTCCTTTCATTCCACCTTGAGTATCCATCCATAATGGAATTTTATGTTCAGAAAGATGTTTATAAACATCTGTAACAAGTTTTTGACTATCCCATTGATATGATAACATAACATGTTTTTCACCGGACATTTCTATTCTAGAAAAAAACAACAAAAGAAAATCCTTTCAACTGATTATATAGATGACTGAATTGAAATATGAGAAGATTTTGTATTTTTCATTTATTCAGAGAGAGACACTCGTCTCGAGTCTTATACTGAATTGTATTCATAATATTCTATATCAACTGGTGAAAATCATCTATATCTCTAACTATTTCTATTTTTACCTTATTTTTTATAGTATTATTTAATTATCAATTTCAGAGAGCGTTTTAAGAAAAAGCAAAATTGGAAGAGATTTTTTAAATTTCGACTGACTGTAATCAATATTAGAACAATATTTGTCTAGTCGAAATAGATATTTATCACTGTTTTCTATCCTATTAACCAAAAATATTTCTCCTTTCTCTTTTCAATGTCATTAGTTGAAATCTGATCGATTTTTATTGGAATTTAAAATGAAAGTATAATTGTAATCTTTTCTGAGAAGTTGTTCTATGCTAAAAAAAGATCAAGTTATTTACATGAATATTCGAATATCGAGTCTTTTGATAATAAAATTATTTTCTCTAAGTTTAACGTCAATTATAAATTTGTCAATGGAGACACAGAGCATACATTCGAACTTTCTTATAGTTGATGATATCAGAATGGGAATGATGTCGCTAATCAACATTCAATGAGAATTGAATGTACACGTAGTTTTAAGATCTATATCTTATATTACGAATAAAGTTGAAGAGGAGAAGAGGAAGGAAAATACTTTTGAGTAGTAGTGTATTTGCTGAATACTGTAAAAAATAGAAACTGTGAAAGGATTTTTTCATGTCTACTCAAAGAAAATAAAAATTCCAATGAAAAACAACGTTTTGCAAAATGTAATAAAAAAGTCGGCAGCTCATTCTCTCTACTTTTTCTTTTCTTTCCTTTTTGTCTGCAAAAAACGCTACTACATATTAACGTTTTTTCTCTCTTAAAAAAATTTTTTCATAAAAGAACACACTGATGACGACACAAAAAAAATGACTGAATAACCTTTTCAATGCGAATGTAACCAATTATTTGAAATTGCATCTAGAAATAAAACAACGTAAAGAAAAAGAATAATTTATGAAAACATCAGTTCAAATCTCCATCGACGAGAAGGATTCAAGAGTTTTTTTTTATGAAAAAAATATTCTCACAGTCAAGAGGTATAGTTAAAAAAGAAATTATCGATTAACAATATCTACACTAAAAATTCATTATTCATTCGAAGATAGAATTGAAAAGATATGTTTCCAAACCGTTCGAAAAACTGATAAAAGATTTACAAGGATGAAAAAAATACAAGGTTTTTATTTCAATTTCATTGTCACTCACATATACCTCCAGTCTGCAAATAAACTGATCAATTCAGAAAGATAATATCGATAGGATACTTTTCATCATAGATACCTCAAATGTTAATACGATAAATTTTTAAAAAGAATCAAGAAAAAACATCTCTTGAAGTATCATTAAGTGACTGCCAGGCGATTGCTCTACCATATTAAATGGCTTCAGAGTGATGACTATCTTCATCATTACATTAACGTTCATATCTTATTTCATATACTACTTCGCTTTCTACACGCAATAAATATTGTTCATTTGAGTTTTTGAAAAATATATTACTGACAAAAATTTTAAATTATCTTTTTACCGTTAAACTTAAATATTGATTACCAGTGCATCTACTAGAAAATTTAAAACAAGATCCCTTCAGTTATTACATTTTTTATAGAAACTCGTTGAAAAAAAAGAAGAAAAACAATATATATCACACAGTAAATATGAGACTCAGTCGATAATGATGACTGAATTTTTCCACGTCGTCACTAATTTGTGCATGCAATTAAAATGTGAAGATTATTTCTCGAAATAAATCATTTTCTAATATGTATCATTACCTACATAATCAAAAGAATTATTTCGATATTCTGATTTTGAGAGGAAATATAATATGAGTAGGTTTTTATGTGATGTAATTAATAATTTTTAATCTAAAATGAATACTAAATTGACGAGTGTGATTCATTTGTTTAAATAAAATTATTTCTATCTGAGTCATTATTTTATGAAATTTATAATATTTATTTAATAAACAAAGTATATGGAAAACCTAAGGAATATGAATATAGATATATAACTAATAATAATATACATTTGACCACGTTTCTAACTCTATATTCAAGACTTTTATTATAAATTGTGACGTTTGAAACTCAACAAATTTGAATCTGTAAAAAAACAAATCGATATGACTTTTGTGAAACTCGAAAAATCCTTTTTGTAATTTGTATTTAATCTTAAAATTTAAACTTCTTACAATAGATGAAAACATATCTTTGCAAGTTGATCAAACCTGTCCATATTTATCTTCAATATTTTCTTAAATAAAATCTTAGAAATTATTTCAATTGATTCTGTATCTAATTTTACTGGAAAAAAAATCGAAAATAGATTTCTCTTCAATTCAAATAGGAATTACATCAATATTTGTATAATAAGTAATTTTAGTTAAAGGGTAGGCGAAGATTTATAAGCTATGAGTCTTCGCCTACTTTCTGGTTACGCTACTTGAAATAGTAAATGATAATATTACATAAACATAAAAAAGAAAAGTTTGACGTCATAGTAAATTTTGTTATTATCATCAATCTCCAGTCAATCGAAACGCATGCTGATCAAATATAAAAGCATGTTTATAGAAAAGAAAATAAGATATTTATTCGAAAACAAGAATGATTTATATTGAAAATGTAACTGTAATAAAATGAAGTGAATTTCTATATTTTGATATTTTATGTTTTTATTTTATTGAAAACATTTTAACAATTATTTTATTTCTTTTTTTTAATAGTTTTTAATTTATATACATCAATAATTCTATTATCTGATATCGATATAATTATCTAAATGCATGCAACTTCATTGCATCATCATACTCATGGTAAGTCAATTTTACTCTATAAAAGATCTTATTTTATAGATAAAAACAAAATATTTCTAAATACTATGTTAGATTGAATAATAAATTTATCTTGATTTCGAAGAGAGTGAGAGTATAATTATTGTATACAGTCGCTGAAAACTCGAGATAATAACATTTGAGAAATAAGCGAAAAAAAAAATCTAAAATTTCTTTGAATGTGTAATTATAGGATCAAATAGTAATGTTTATTATCATATCGATGAATATATTCGTCGAGAAATGAAAAAACAAAAGATTCCAGGTCTTTCAATAGGTATAATACGAAATAATGAACTTATCTATGGACAAGGTTATGGTTATTCAAATATTGAACATGGATCATCTGTTAAACTTGAAACAATGTTTCAATCAGGTTCAATGGGTAAACAATTTATAGCAATGGCTATTATGATTTTAGTTGAAAGAGAAGAAATTGATTTAGATACAAAAATTAAAGAATATATTGATGATGTACCTAAAACATGGAAAAAAATAACTGTTCGACATCTTTTAACACATACTGCTGGTACATCTGATTATCCTGATGATTTTGATTATCGAAAAGATATTGATGAAGATCATATGTGGAAATTAATTAAGAAGATTCCACTTGATTTTAAAGCTGGTAATCAATATTCATATAGTAATCTTGGATATATAACATTAGGAATATTAATTCGTCAAGTAACTGGACAATTTTATGGAGATTTTCTTGAAAAGAATATTTTTAAACCTCTCGGAATGCAAACAGCAAGAATTATTAGTGAAAGTGATATTGTTTTAAATCGTGCGTCAGGTTATGAACTTATTGATAAGAAAATTAAAAATCAACAATGGGTTTCACCAAGTCTCAATAGTTTTGCTGATGGTGCTCTTTATCTTAATATTTATGATATGGTTAAATATGAAACTGGACTTAATACGAATTTAATATTAAAAAAAACAAGAAAGTTTTCGTCAAATGTGGACTCCTGTTAAATTAAATGATAGTTCAACTTATTCATATGGTTTTGGGTGGAATTTAGATAAGACTGTTACTGGGATGCAAGTTGTTAAACATGGGGGAACATGGCAAGGATTTGAATCATATATTATTAGAGTTATCAATCTTAAACTAACAATCATTATTTTTGCAAATCTTGATGAGGCTGATGTAGAAGAAATTGCTTCACATGTATTACAAATGTATGATCCACAACTCGCTCTTGATCCCAATCAAGACGAAGAAGAAGATGATGATGAAGAAGATGATGATGATGAAGAAGACGAAGATGAGGATGAAGAAGATGAATAAGATGAAGCCAAATAGATATTCATATAAATAATCATAAAAACCATCGATATAACATATATTCATTAACTTTTTCAGAGTCATGTGTCTTAGTTATTATAATAAAATCGTACTTGTATTTACTTTATTTACGTTTCTAATATGTAGATATACGTATGTTCATAATAAATTGGAAAAGTTATCATTATTTATTTTAATCTTGCTCAGCGTTTTAATCAGGGAAAGTTAGGGTCCTGGCTTAAATAAATCGAAGAAAGTTTGAAAACAGGGATATGAGGATTATAATATTTTCACATCCATCCGTAAGAACTTGAGTTGATCATGAACGATAGAATACATGAACACAGACTTTCTAGAACATAAACTCTTTAGCATCGATAATTTATTCAATAAAAAACAAAAGAATGAATTGACATAAAACTATTTAAGATAGTAGATAAAATGTTCATAATATCAGTTCAGTCCAATGATAACGTTAATAGGATTAATTGTCGAACTAACATTGTACCAGTCCATTGTGACCAGATTAAATGTGTTCGTTGTATGATTTGTTAGAAATTGTTGAAGCATTGAATTAGTTTCTGCTGCCATTTGTTTTAGTAATATTGTAGGTGAATTTCCGCTAAGATGACTGATTACATTTTGAATAATATCCACGATTTGCGGTGTTTGAATCCAACTGATTTGATACATAGGTTTTATATTTTTCTTTAATCCTTGACTTTCGAGTTCTATCAATTCTTGAACACTGTTGACACCATTAGAATTAATTCCCCATCTTCCTGAATCTGCGAATCCTCTAGTATTTACAACCGTATCGTTATAATAATACTCGTCTGAGTTGTCAGTGTTAAGAACAATAACTTTAGGTGATGTTCTACGTAAATGAGTAGTAGTAGTGATGGAAGAAAGAGTCGTATCTTTCAAGCTCTGAAAATCAAAATTCTTGATTCCAAGAGACTTTGCAGGCATATAAAGATAGGGTTTGAGATAATTCTGAATGATTGTGGCTACTGTGGCTGGAAGAACTTGAGGATCAGTAGCAAAATTGGTATGCGATATAGAAAGAAAGATTACTTCACCTGATGTTGAGTGAGTATCGAGAAAATTTCTAATTTGAGCGAGGACATCGTTCAATTTTGGACCACGAAGAGCGTGCTGAATATAGAAGTTTCCATCTGAATCATAGTAAATTCGTAAGTCGAAAAAGCGTATACCATCATCTAGTTGTTGTCGAATAGTTCGACTCTGTGAAATAGATATTCGAAGTACGGTATCCATAATATAATCTAATAAGATACGTCCAACAGAGATCTTATCATTATTGAATGGCAATTGCCCATTTGCAGGTGCAGTATTGGCACTTAAATTCCACAGAAATTTGATATTTCCATAAATAATCTCGGATAAATTTCGCGTTAATTCATAAGACCCAGAGTTATGAGTTCCAGGGATTTTTAGTTGTGAAAGCATCTTTGATTGTATCTTCGGGGTTGACATCCAGCAACTGTTATTAGTTTTTATTTGTTCCATTTTATGAGTATCATTACTGAACGTCTTGTCAGACATCGATTTCTTCTTAAATACATTCTTGATGAACGTTGTATTTATAAGTTTATTAATAGCAATATTTAACTTGTCAATAATGATGTTGTTGTATTTTATATTGAGTGTACTTGCTAGATTATAGGGTGTATCGATTAACTTGTACCATGCAGAGAAAAATGCTTTTACAAGCATTAGTAAATCGTTATTGATATTGAAACTCTGAATGGAGAATGCTACCTGTGTTATTGTACAAGAGAGAATCTGAAGATCACTGATATTAACTATTGCTTGCGTCAACATGGAAGCATTGCTAAGAGTTATGTTAAAATCCATACTCATATAATGGTATGTTATAGAGCCAAAGATTTTGCCATTTAGATTTAGAATCATATTGATATTCCATTGTAGATTGTTTTCTTGATGATGAATTGGTGAGAGTGTGGCATAACTACAACGAATCGATTGAGGAGTGAGATCGAGTTGTTTAATAGTTAACTTTATGTCGTTAGTAACATTAAAATAGAATTGATTGGTGGATACATATGCAGTGATAGCTGGTAGATTGGCATCAATCAAGCTATTGATTAACGGTGGTAAGACATCAGGACCACCGAAGAAGTAGAATGTATAATCAGTATCTTTGCTGAATGGCTTGGTCGGGGCGAGTAACGCTTCTGTCTGACCTTTTAGTCCGTAGAAGTTCGCATCTGTAACGTATTTATCTTGTCCCATATTTATTTTTATTGTACTGGAACTATAAGCAATATCGAAATACGATTGACACATCTCAGTCCCTGTACTAATATACGTCATGGGACTCGTTCTACCTGCTTCAATGGTTTGACTAGGAAATGTATCTTTCATATTCATATTCGTCGATGTTGTTAATATGAGTGGTTGTGGATAGTCGTTAGTGACTCTCATATATGCACTCATAGTTTGCGTCATTATATTTCTTGTTTGTATATGAGTTTCTATGTAGAAAAAAGAAATAATTGATTCAATAATGTTCGAAGATATCAACAGCGATATTTTCAATCTTTTCTTACCTGGTAAACATGAATGACCATACAAAGCAAATTCTGAATAGTGTACACCACTTTCAATTTCTCTTTTCGATATCACCAACATTCGATAACTTCGATAAGGTTGACTGTTATTCAGTATTTGAAGAGAACCTACTTTTCCACGACCTGGATCTATTTCAAGTCCACTCGATCCATTATATATCAATGTCCAACTTGTACCGAATGTTAGAGAAGAATTATCAGCATTGCTTCCTTCAAGTGTGATCATTATTGGATCTCGTTTTGGTTGATTAATTGCAGTTGTAAATTGAAATCCAGTGACAATACAAATACTAGTATTGAGTATTATATAAAATCCTGTATTTAAACCACTTCTTCGACTAATAACATCAGCTGAACTAGATCCGAAACTTGTATATTTTGTGTGAATATTACGATCGATAATATTAGAAATTGTTTCATTTGGTGGCATTTGTCCTTTACTATAACCTATCGAAGTTGAATTACTATTTCTTCCTGCTTTCGTATTCCAAATTGGTGATATATTGCTGTGCACTGTGTCGATATAATGATCTGAAATGGAAAAAATGTGATAGAGAGATATAACAAAAATTCTATTTTTCCAAAGAAGAAATACATACAAATAGGTGTTGCACAATCAAATCCCGTCCAACCCGATTTACATTTACAAACACCAAATCGGAAGTAACCACTATCAACACATATTCCATGTTCAGTATCCGTGCATTGACTATAACAGTATATCGGATTTGATAAATATCGATCAACGACAGATTGAATAAGTACAGCTTTTTGATTAATATACGAATCGGTAGGAAAATGATGAGTTGTCAACAGATCAGAAATACTAGAAATACCAATTTTCATAACGATTGGACTATGCGGTACTGATTTGTACCAGTCATTCAATGATCGTATTGAAGTCTTCCCACCCAATATCATAACATCACTTTTAGTAGAATATTTATTGAAAGTATTAATTAATATTTTATCATGTGTTTTCGTCTGATTTAATTTCTTTTGAAATGAAAAGATGTTTTTAGCGATGTCTTTTAACCATGTTTCATTTGACGTATTAAATCCATTTTGCTCTAATCTAATACGATCGTTGTGTGTAATAATAATTTTTTGTTTAATAATACCGCCAAGTTGAACATCTTTAATATATGTATAACCAAAATAACCAATTAAAAATTCACGAATATATTTTTCGACAGTTTCATTAAAATCACAGCAAGGTATATGTTCAATGACAGAACGAAACTCATCCGATAGCTCAGAGTTTGATTCAACTATCGAGAGATACGTTGATGTTACGTTGACAGAAGTAAAAAGTATTGTGGAATTGTCTTTCATCAACATATCAATCATTGAATGTATTTCTCTCGAGTAAGCATAAGAAAAAGAAGAATCAGCATATTTTCTATTTAATATTGAAGAAGTTGAAAAATCGACAGTTTTTTTTTGTATTTTCTTTTAAATCATACAATGTATTGATAATCTGTGTTTCAATATTATTATTCTGTGAAGATATGCAATTAACTTTCACATTTTCTGGTATAAGTTTATTAGTACAAAGTCCTTTAAGTGGAATGGAATATTTGAATTTGAAAATAGGTAAACCAAAATCTCTTCTTTGACAAGTTTCTGTGTAACATACAGAAGAATCTTTTAATGGATTGTAACCGAAGCCAAGTTTAGTACTATTCTCTTGTTCCACTTTGGATGCATAGAATTTTTGTCGAAGAAATGACCAATGGTCTCCAACAGATTCGGCTACAACAATTAAAAGAAAAGAATATGAAATATAAAGACTATTCAATTTAAATGAAACAACTTAGTATGAAAATCCAAGAATGATATAAAAGCTTAGATTTTATCGTTTACTTACATTCTGGTAAAAGACAGGCGCTATTATCAATAGTAAATCTTTGTACTCGTTTGTTTCCAACATCAGCAACGTAGAGATTGCCTTCGAAATCGAATGCCAATGATTTCGGTCGATTGAGATGCAATGTAGAATTTCTAGATTCACCTGTTATACCACAAATAACTTCACCTTGAGACTCTCCTTCTTTCCATCGAAGAATTCTATGATTAATCATATCAGCAATATAAATGAAACCATTTGTATCAACTATAATATCGTATGGTCGATGAAGAGTAGTGTTTGATTGATCTATTTTTCTTGTCTGTCCAGCAATAGTAATAATACCAATCGTTGCATTTTGTTTCCATTTTTGTATGCGATGATTGTTTACATCAGTAATATATATATCTTTTACATCGTTAATATACAAAGCATACGGATAAGAAAGTGTTTTATTTGAAAATCCATCGATATCTATTGTTCCAGCTATAGTAATCGTTGTATTTGTGTTAATATTACATTTAATAATACGAGAACGAAAACGTTCGACAATATAAAATTCTTGTTTTTCCGAATCAAACCATATACGAGAACATTGATTGCATTGACAATTTATTTTCTTTCCTTCTTTTCCATTTTCTGACCAACGTTCAATATTTCCATCATGGGAACTTGTGTAAAACGTACCATTCTCATCGATTAAAACGATAGAACCAAGTCCATTCCATAATGTACGACCAACAAGTGAACCATTTGAAAATATTTGTAATCGAGTTTTTTCATTATAACGATCGACAACATATAGTGTATCAATACCGATAATTGTAATGCTTTCTAAATCATTCAGATGTGTATTTAATTCCTTTCCTACGATCGTCTCTCCAATACGATTCCATTTTGAACAGGATTTTATTTGAGACGATATTCTATTGACAAGTTTATTGGATGAAGTAAAATTATCTAATTTTAATATAATGGAATATTTTTATATATTATCGTTCTAATCATGTCAATATCAATTCTTTTCATTATTGTACAAATAATAAATTTTAGAAAAAAAAAAACTTACTCTTATGTTGTTCCAATAAAGAATTTGTCGTTAAATCATCAACAGATGAATCAATACATGTTGTTCGTAGGATAAATTTAATTATAATCATAGATATAACAAATAAAATATCTTTCGACAATATTATAATTTTCATTTTTATGCAAACAATTACAATTTCTAAAATATATTTTTTGACAAAAATATGATTATTATATAAAAATATAAACAATCGTTACTACTCTCAATATCTTTATTCTTTCTGTCTTCTAGAAGAAACATAGAGAAGATGTTACGTTCTTTCCTATTTCTTATTCATATATTGCTGATAAAAAGAAGTTCATCATAATTACTTTATTTTTATCAGCTGTCATCGTTGTCTACATAATTTACTTTATTATAGAAAGAGATCTATCATTAGACATAATCCTTCATTTATACTTACTCAATTAACACTGAAAAGAAAAACGATTATCGTTAGAAAAAAATGTATCAATGTTAGTTTTTTTTCTAAAACTAAATTAAAAAAACCTGATCGATTGACTCAAACAATAATAATGGAATAGTTCTAATAAATTAACAAATATTATTGCAACATTTATATTTACGTGGTGTTTAGATCATTGATAAATGTTAAAATTCTAAACATACAAAACGTATTTTGTGATTGTGATCAAATATTTTTTGATAAATAAAAGTATAATTGAAAGTGTAGGTGGATTTATTCTATTCTTCTTTTAATACTCCTAATCGCATTCTTGACATAAACTATTTTATTTAGTTAGAACTATCAAATATAGAATTCAATTACTGTACAAATTAAATGAAATACGATTTTTGTCTAGAAATCTATTAAAATATCATGATACTAAGAAGAAATAATTAATCTGCATAATTTTAATAATCGAATATGTATAAAAGATGAGAGTTTGAAAACGATGCTTTTCAATATTAAATCCAATATTTAGTATCACATGTTTATTCACACAAGTGAATAACATTTGTATCGCTCCTGTAAAAATATTGAGATACGTGTAGAAACAATAATAGAAGTTGACAATTTCGATAGAATCTTGTCAGATTAATTTGACATTTAATATAAATCAGTATTCTATTTCTCTTTTGAAGAAAGATTATCAAAAACAATGTTGTTCTCGAAAAACATACCCTGATCGATTTATTGTTAAATGAATTGTATTGATAATAAATCATAGACTGTCATTCTATGAAGTATCTAGAACAAACTTGAAATAATATATTCATGATATTTTCTGATCGTCATTAACAACTGTAAAAACATAAGTTTAAACATAAAAGCTGAAAAAGTATTATTTCTAAATGTTATCGAAACTGCAAAGTTGAACAACAAAACGATACAAAGGTAAATTTAACAGTAGAATTATTAGTACGGACGTATCAAATCTCGAGTATGATATTTGTGTTCGCCAGTATTAAATGAATATAATGTCAGTTTAAACGTTAACATATATAACGTTTCTGTTCTATTTTCAAATATACATACTTTACTTCTTAAATTGATAAATAAATAAAATAATCATTTGTTTTTATATTCATTAGATCGAATAAGAACTGTGAAAAAAATCTCAAAAGTATAATTTCATAAAATAATTAATTAAGAACATAATTAATAAGTTCAAATATTTATCTAAGATTATTTCCTAATCGTATATTTAATTGTTTTCATTTATTAAGATTGTCTATCAACAGTTGTTTGACATTTTTCTCGTTTATTTATCTAGCCATCTTTTTTATGTAACTGATCAACTAGTGAGGACAAACGATGATCGATCATCACTTTCTGCATTTGAAGTATTTTAAAGCAACGAAATATTTTCGTTATATTTCATTTCTGTCGAATTATAATTCAATGGTATGGAATTCTCTTCTATTTAAATCTCTAGTACCTGATAATTTATCATCATTCGGTCGCAGTAAAAAACTTTGTTCGATGTAAGTTGAAACTTGAGTTGAAAATGTTTTATGTGTTTCAATTAATAATTTTAGCGTTGAAAAAAATGACTTTGAATATGGTGCATTAGCTGTGTTTTCTAACAATATTAGTATGATAAATTGTTTCATATAAAATAAATCTTGTTAATTAAAATACAAAAAAAAGCTCAATAAATCAAATTTTATTTTTCAATAAATCTTTTTAAAGTTAATTAAAAATTAAATCTAGTTATTATTAATGTATCTATATAAAATTTATTTTATTCGAAGTCAATTAGAATTTGGATTTTGTTACACGAAAATCCAATTATGACCCGGTACTTTTTACTGGAAAAATTTCAATGTATTTTCTAATCATTTCTCAAACTTTTCATCTTACAAGTGTTAAAAATAAAAACGTTATTGAAACTTAATTTGCTAAAAAATGAGTACATCGTTGTTCCACAATTCTAGCAAATCTTTCCATGTCAAATTATTACTCTTTGATAAAGCCTGTCTTATCGAACTGAATAAAGTAAATGAAAGAATAATGTTATATAACGTGTCTGAATGTTCTTATCTTCATCTTTTTCTAAAAGTTAAGCTATGTATCTTAAAAACATATCAATAGAAAGCCAAATGTAATTTCAGTTTATAAATGACGTGCCCATCAACAGTCCATAGAAGTAGAAGTCAAAGAGTCGTCTCGATTCAAACCACTAAAAGTATTTAACTGTTATAGATAGAATGAAGTTAGAACAAACAATCAATAATTGACAGATTGAAACATGTACTAAAACAAATCAATTACAAAGTTGAGACAGTTAGACAATTCATTTCTTTCATTTACTTAAAAAATTATTTTAAATGTTGAGATAAAGTGAAATGTATAATTTTCAGCTGATCATTGAAAGATGAAAAATAATCTTTTAACAAAATTCTACAAATAGAGAAAGACGTCGAGCTATTTCAAAACTATTATGAACACTTTCTCATTATTCGCTTTTCGAAATCAAAGACAATATTTATCTTCAATTTTATTTAGATCACAATAAATTTTATTTATACAAAAAATCCAACTTATCAATAATAACTCTTTTTTTTTTAATTATTTATAGACATACAAAACTCAAACTTCACCATGAAATGGTGACGTTTTTGAAATTAATGATAAACAACACTTATTTTACGATAATGATTAAAAAATTGCTTTTTAATTATCATTTCTAAAAAAAGAAACAAAAATTAAATATTGATATTCGCTGTTCTTACTTTTCCCGATTGAGTAACCAGTTTCTTTTTTCTTCTTAACTAAGTCTAATCCGTAAATTTCACTTTCTATTTCTGATATGAATTCATTAATAGATTTTAAAGATCTAAATAAAAAAAAGGTTATTTTTTTAGAAATCATTAATAAGAATAAAATCTTTTAAGTTTACCCATCATTTTCATCAATATAATCATTTATTTTCATTTGTAGAAATGATTGATTATTTTCATCCTAGAATTAAAAAGAAAAACAAAATAATAATTTAAAATAATATATTATATTTGACTATGTATACCATCTTGAATTGAATAGAAAAATTTTCATTATCAAAAAATTGTTTAGTTTCAATGATCATATTATTATCTTGAAAATAAATAATATTAAATGAATCATCGTCATTTTTTATCCAATCCATAATATCTTTATTCTAAATAAGATAATGAACATAAATTAACTGAAAATAAAAAAATTCTTTCTTACTTCACCATTTTTTGAAATAAGAAAAAGTCTCCTTAAAAAAGTCCAATGAACCAAAACGATCAATTTTTCTCTTGAATGTTCGTATTTGTTTGCATATTCACGTAGAAGAGTCCCAAGAAATGGAAATTCCAATATTTCCATTGTTATCTAGAAATAACAATTTGATATTAAATTTCTTCAATAAATATAAACAAAACAAATTATAATTAGATAAAATAAATATTCAATGAAATCGAACGACTATTACAATATGTTACTTGAAAATGTGCTTCGATTTCACAATTCACTCTCTTACGTTCATCTTATCCTATATACATATATATATATCATATCAAAGTAATATAGCCCGACGAAATTATAAGTTCATCAGACAAAACTGACGAAAATATAATGTGATCAGATAAAATTGTTCTAACAATCGTCAGTTTTGTTTGATGAATTTATAATGATATTGATTAATTTAATTTTTCTATGGCATTTATATGTCATCATCTTAATTGATATTATATCTAATATGAAAATGACCTGACGTATTTGAGTCTTTTATTTATTTATTGTATTTAGATAATATAAAAAATCAAGAATAATACATGTATTATTAAGAAAACAAAACAAAATCTGATAATTGTTTTAATCTAGTTGATTGCCGAAACCTTTTTTATTAATTCCAAATTTGAATTAATTTGATAATTTTTTATTGTTAAAGTTTGTAGATATTTTAACGAATTTTGTAAAATATTTTTGAATTCATCATGATCAAGAAAAGTTTCATTAATGATTATTAGTTTTAAGTCAATTTCTGTTACATTTGTAAAAATCATTAATGAATTTAATACATTATAGAGGCTATTGACATATTATCTCATACAGAGAGAATTTTGAGGGTGTGGGTGTGGGTGTGAGATTAGTATATACTCACAGTAACTTTGTGTTCTGGAATCTACTAGACTGATTAGCCTATACGGAAATCAATTGATATGATAAAAGTTATCTGTTGGTGAATGGTACCTGTTGGTAAAATTATCGGTCGGTGAAGTGATTGTCGGCTAGATGATCCGTACCCATACGAAGAGCAAAATAAGAATTTAATGAAGATTTTATCGAATTTTTTACTTTAAAATAAAATCTCACTTTTATTTATATTTAAATTGAACAATCCCAATCGTATTAAATTGGAAAAAGTGGATGCACATAGGGAATAATTGATTGATGAGAATTCTAGATTTAAGCATTTAATATGATTTCCAATTTTTGGAATGATGAAAACGCAAAATCGATCGATTGAGGCTTCATAAATTGGCTCAATAATATTATTATGATCATATTTAAACAATGTTAAACATTTTGTGAATTATTTATCAAATAAAATATTATCAATTTTTTGGTGTAGGCCAGGTCGAACAATGCGGCACGGAAACGGCCGATTCCGTGGTATTTCGGACATTTTATGGAAACAGTATTCCCGATGAACGATGGAAGTGATAACAATTGCAATCTCGTTCGTCATCTATAGATCAATGTAAAGAAAGGAAAAAGAATAATAATGTAAAATTCGAGAAAAAAAATTTAATTGGTTTCATTTAAAATTATCAAATGTCTCTATCAAGATGTAGTTTATTTTACTATAATCTAAATAATAAAAGTCTTCTTCGTCATTTTAATTTATTTCATTGCCGATGATATTGTTGTTTGTTATGCAAACAATAAACAATTAATGCTACTGCCCAGTCATTTACTTCAATTATTTTTCATTTGAAAAAACGACTGTCAATTTTTATTTTCTATTTTAGACTTTGTGTGAATAAATATCAAGAATTGAATAATTTATTATTAACAACAGTTTTTACAAATGATTGAGATCGTTATACCTTTATATTTAAATACATTATGACAAAAATTAAAAATCTTCCAGTAGTTAATGAACATGAAGTAAATTATTTTTCCAAAGAGCAGCGATTCATATGTATGCCGATGATCTGGCTATTGTACTAGATGGAGCGCTTGAAAAACATGTCTCACTGAATATTCTCGATCTGGAAAGACAAGCGGAGATGATAATGAAGACGCCAGAAAAATTCTCTGATAATCTGAGACTACCAGTAAATGTGTCAAAAACGAAAGCGCTACTCGTACACGGAGTAGTAGCACCTCGACTACCGAAAGTTCAATATAAGTAGCAACATATTGAGCATTTCAAAATCTTCAAATACCTAGGGGTTCATATCGCTACACAACTTGGATGGGGTAACTATATTAACGTAAGAATAAAAAAAAGGTTAAAAACATATTTGCACAATAAACTCAATCAAAAAACAAAACAAAACAAGAAGTAAGTTATTAATTTAATTATAAAAACAATTCTTCTTTTTTTTAGAATTTGTCAGTCTATCAATTAAAGCAAGTGTTATTAAAATGTAAATTTAATAAATTTGGTGGTTTCTTTGTCGTCGATGCTAATATTGATGACGGTATATGTTATGCTTTGTTTTCTAATATGAAGGCATCGAGCTCGATATGTTATAGCATAGCTAACTTTATTCAACAAATCCTATATATATATATAGTGAGAGAACAGAAGAAAACACGAAAGAATATATATTAAGGTAGATGTCCTTATTGGATTGTAACAGTATAGTAAGAATCCAGATAAACATTAACGATTATTTTAACAAGAAATCAAAGTAAGTTTTATTTAAATATTATAAATTGAATCTTCCAAAATATTTTTTTTCGATTTTTTCAGAAAAATGGTCCGATTATCTGTATTAATCAATGATCTAAATGGACAAATTGATAAGGTTATTCGAAATATACAACAAAAAAATGTTGTTGCTGCTGCTTGTGTTCAATATCAACAACCATTACCGACTTTTTCAGAAAGCCCATATTACTCGTCCAATTATCCTATGCAACGTATGTATATTTGATCGCTTTTTTCTTCAATTAATTATTTTTATAATTGAATAGAAACAACTTCTCAATCCCCACACTTACAAGTTTCAACTAATAATCGTTCAGCTTTACTTATTTTTGTTGATTTTCTGTCGGTGTTCGACAAAATGTGATACCCCGCCTTAATAGCTAATTTAATCGAGTTAGATATGCCATTACCATTGATCAAACGGATTTATAAATGGCTTGAAGGGAGAACTATGGCTATCTATCATGGAGAATCAATATCTAAAATAATTAAGATACACATAGATGCTCCACAAGGCTCAGTCTTTGCAGCAACAGTTTTTAGACTTAACATTCATGTCTTGCCTAAATATATTTTTTTGTTTTTGTAGACATCTCTGTGCCGATGATCTAGCTATCCTGTTAAAAGGTTCATTAGAAAAGAAAGTTATCTTTGAACATAATTGAGCTAGAAGAACAAGCTAAAATTGAAAAAGTGACTATATTTCATTCTCTTTGTATTTCTCTCTGTCTCACTCTATTAAACAGTTATTATCTTCTTCTTTCTTCCTCTTCTCTATCATTATATATTATACATTAGTTGCGTCCTGACGAGAAGCCGGCGAGAGAAAGAAGGAATACTTTAAATAAGCAACTGTATATCTTATTATTTTTTTTATTTACGCTTGTGTCTGTTAATCATAACGGAGACAATAAATTTAAATGTGAAAAAAAAAGAAGATATTGTTAATTCTATACCTCCATATAAACATCAACATTATCCATATCTAATATTTTATCACTGATTCTACATATTCAACACGAAAAAATCCAGATCTTTTAGATGCTTGATCATTCGATAAAAATCTAAATGAAATTTTAAATGCAATTCATTATTTGTACTTTGTTATTGTATTTGAATTAAGTACAATGAAATTGATAATTCATATTTAAATAATATTAGTTAGACATCTCATGCTAATTATATGCATAAAAAACTCAATTCAAAGAAAGGAATTACATCAGACCATTACTTTATCAGATGACAGAAAAATACAAAGAATTATTAATTCAATTATCTATTATTCAGTTCTATAGAAATTTTTTATTGATATTTTTTTGAATAGTACTGATGATAGAGAACATCTATTTTATTTACATGATTACCAGTTTTAGATTATTACAATATGCGATTATATTCAACGTAATACAGTTAGCATGCCTGTGCATTTGGTTAGAATAATATTCGAGTTTTTTTGACAATAACCCGGGTGCTTGCTTCTTTTATTGTCATATTGAATGACATATGTTTGCCGGATTAATATTAGCTTTTCTTGTTTCACTTCAACAATTAATAATTGAAAATTGTAAAATTAATCATATAGATTAAAAGAATTATGTCAAGCATTAAGAATATTTAATAGTAATAATGAAACAAAACATGATTTACATTTATTTAATAAAATATTGTTAAAATGAGGTTAGACTAATTATAAATAAATGTTTTTATCTTCTTGTCTCATACTGATTTCCATGTTATACTCTAGTAAATGAAAAAGTTAATTGAAGAAATATACTGAGGTTAAGGATGAGGGTATGAATAATTATTCTAATTTTGCATCATTATTGACCCCCACACATTCACTCAGTACATATATTTTTTCATCTTAATTAAATCTATTTTGAATATTTTTAAAGAAGATTATTTTCCATCTAATTGTAAGTTATTTTGAGTAATATGAATTGGTTGAGTTCGATTGTTTCTAATAAAATGACAAGTAAAATAATATAAAAATTTTTGAATTAATTCTTTGAAATGTTTTCGAAGTGTTGGCGAAACAAATATATAAATATAAAAATTGAATACATAACCTGTATAAGCAAGTACTCCAGTTATAGTAAGAACAACATTTTCTTGTGCTTGTCGAAGAGGAGATTTTAGTGTTGACGTTGTTACTAAATTGTAAATTGTTTGTGCTGTATATGCAATCATACCAATAATAACAAAAAATGTTTGAGCACTAACCATTCGTGTTAATTGATGTTGAACTTGTGTTCGCATTTGTCTTTGATGAAGATAATTTATATTTGCATAAGATAATAGTGCAAATATAATCATTAGAAACGTTGGAAAAATCCCAAGAACAAATGGAATAACAAAATAAGTAACATAATTACGATAAATTAAATTATTTGTAATTACACATGAACTAATATTTGTTATTTTAGACACATTAATTTCATTATAAATAATCAATGGTAAACTATGAATAAACGAAAATATAAATGTTAATGAAACCAAATAACGTGCTATTTTCACTGTAGAAAATTGACGAAGACGAACTTTTTTTGATGTTGATAAATATTGATCCATCATTGCCCAAGAAATACAATAGAGAAAAATAAGAGAAGATAAATGACCAATATATTGACGTAATTTACACCAGATTAATGATGTTGTTGATGGATCCAAAAGAAAATTTGGTAGAAAAACACGAGTCAAATATGATGTATTAATTAAAACAAAACCAGCCATTGATGATGATAAAAGATAAGTTGATGAAGGATTCTTACGAAATCTTTTCATTGAAATAAACATTAATAGACATAAACTTGTACTGATATTACCAAAGATATAAAAGAATGAACTAAGATAAATATTTAATTGTTTACTAAGATTATTTAAATAATCAATTGTTTGTGTTGATGACATATTTTTAATCTATATCACAAACAAAAATATAGAAAAGGAAATTAATTTCAAGAATTTTTTAATAAGAATTAAAATGAAAAACTCTTCTGTCGGTTGTTTATATAATTCGAGAGAAAATTTCTTAATTAGTTTCATCAGAATAAACTCATTAGAAATAGAATAAAACACAGTATGTCTTCGTGCTATTTATTGCATGCATCGACATTCTCTCAGAGTATCTATTCAAATTATAAGATATATCAAATTAATTATTACGAATGAATATTATCTCCTACGCAATTCTTTTATAATTACTGAGTACATATTACTTAATTATTGACTTACATCATTTTTAACCGATATCAACTTAATATATCACTCTCATTCATTTTTCTCATTTACTCTATTATCCGTCTGGTCACCGTTTACCCTTCGAAAAGCAGAAAATGACAGAATCTCAGTTGTCAAAAAGCAGAAAAAAAAAACAGAAAGTGTTTTTTAATATCAAACTATGACTTAAGCCCTGTCATTATAAAATAATAAGAAGGTTTACCATTAGATTTTATATTCTAATGCATAAAATCAAAAAAAAAAAACTAAACATAGATAAATACATTTACTGAACTTTAAAATAACATCCAAACGTATTTATAATTCAACTGACACTAATTCTCTTGTCATACAGTTCCGCTTGTCATTTACTAAATATTGCATTGATGAAAATACAGATTCAACATAAATATTACTGCAAACTAATCAAAATAAAAAACATAAGACTCTTTTTGAAATTTGTCGATAGAGTAAGAGAAAGTAATAATATCTACACTTCATCGGATCTTACAATCTGACTTTGTCTTAAATAATTATTGAGACGAAATAATCGATTAAAATATTGAGACCTTTCGCTGAAAATATAAAAGAGAAAAATATCTCAAAAGCAGAAACGAGAGAAGAAAAGCAGAAGTAGTGACAACTCTGTCTATTATAATGTCATGCTAGACATACTTAATAATCAATCAATTTAAATAATAACAAAAAAACTTCCTTTCTGCGTCATAACAATCAAACTCATGAAAATTAACTTTTACTTTTCTTCATAAGAAAGAATAAAGATAATCCTTATTTTAAAAATAAATCTTTATACTTAGAACATAAAGAATAAAGAAAATATTTCCAAAATCTAACATGGAATACTGTTAGCAAATCAATGTGAGCCGTAGAAGATTTACTTTATTTCTTTATCATTATTTTTAAAATTATTTTAAAGAAGAAATTCTATTGATGAAATATTTGACAATCAATTAATAGTTATTAGATCTTTCTAGATTATAATTTATCTCATTTAAATAATTTCTGTCAAAATGGCAAGAGGAAATAAATGCTCTATATGTCACAATCAATCTCTATGTTCAATCTAAAAATAAATCATCACGAAATATTACGTGAATAATTAAAATTAATTATTAAATAATATTAATAAATAAACATATACAAATTTACTTTCTATCACAAATTCATTAATAACAACGCACAATAACAAGCATTGGTATTATTCAATTTCAAACAAATATTAAATCAACTTAATAAAAAACTATATAACCATTAACAACAGAATTACATAGAGAAGATATTTTTCTCATACTCTCCAAGTAGATCTAAAAACTTACAATAAATACAACAACGATTTATACTCTATCATCAAATAAGAATTCAAAAAAAAACATTTCATGAAGTATATAGATGTAGATATAAAAATTTTATATGACACTAAGAAAAACCTATGTCAGTACTCCAATGTTTCCTGTACGATTTATTACCGTTAAGTAGGAACCGAATGACTATCGAATATTTGTGAAGGTATCATAAATTCTGAGTTGTGACAAATTTCAAACTTTTTGCAACTTATCATCATACAAATTACGAACTCAATACTATACACATAATCAGGCTAATATGAATATAATATGTTACTTTAAAAAATTTACATAAAGGATTGGAAGGCAACTATTTTTTCCTATTCTTTGTATGAAACTAGAAAGAAAAATAATAAAGATATGTCTTTCATGAGATGAATGACCATGGATGATAAAATTTATTATTATGAAGACAAGAAAAAGCACAAACTATATTCGATGAACTAATTCTATAAATACAATGATACTATATCTCTACTCACATTCAAAAAAATCTTTCTCAATGAAATCAATATAGAATAATATGTGAATATTATATGACTAGAATTTATTATTTAATGATTTTCTATTGATTATTTTTCCAATTGATATAGTTTTTGTATGATAGTAGATTTTGATGAATATTATCTTAAGAATAATTAAAATTAAAAATCTTATTGATAAATATATTTTGGTAACATATCACATGGAATGATATATATATATATTAAATTGTCAATAGTAAAAGAATAAAGTCAAGGATATACTATTTCTAGTCAATAGAAATACATGCAAACATACGTGAATTTAATATGCGTCAAATAATTATAGAAGCAAATCAATAGTTGAAAACAAAAAATAAGACAACAAACTATAAATGTCGAAAAATCGTATGAGTAATTATTCTTCATTGTTACGGTAAATTTACAATTGTCAATTATGAATATATATTAATTACTATTTTTTATTCTTCTTTATACGAACGACTAAATAGAAATTTTAAAAACTAACATTTATATTTCAACTATTTCTTCAAATGTTAGTATCACTTTTTGATAATATTATCTTTTGATTTTACTCAAACAAATATTTCGCGTTGAAAAAAGAAATTTTTGTTCGTTTATTACAAAACGAAAGAAAAAAAATGTATGTATCTAATGTTTATTTTTTCGTTCTGCTTCTTTTCTTCTATGTGTATATATTTATAGCATCAAGTGTCCTTCCATATCGATATTTTTATACTTTTTACTGTGTAAACTAGTGAAGTAAGTAGTTCAAAATAATGTCTTACAAAGTTTCTCTTAGAAATCATTCCGATTTCAGTTTGTGACTATAGATTGTAAAAATTGTATAAGAGACTAGTTTAAAAAAATGAAAACTAAATAAGTAAAGAATTGATTTATTTTCTTTTGTCTCTCGACTTTTTAAGCAAGTCAAGGACAGTTCAATATATTTCATTCGAAAAAATAATATAAAGAAATATATTGTATTGAAAAGTAAAATTGATCTCTTCAGAATAAAAAAAAAATGATCATTATAAATATTTCTATTTTAGATTTTTATCAATATTATGTCAGTTTTACAAGATGAAAAATATGGGCAGACGATTCTTGCCTATTGTGATATGTGTTATGTTGTACTTGATGCTGAACAAGAAGTCCATCATAAATGTTTATCATGTTATGATTATATTGTTTGTTCAAAATGTTTACCTTTAGCAGCACAAAAACATTCACCATTACACCAATTTTCACCAATTATTGGACTTCCAGAAGAGTTTGCATGGATTCAAAATAATGTTGGAATTCGATGTGATCGTTGTTATGAAACGCATTTTTCAGGTCGTCGTTATAGATGTACGACATGTGCTGATTTCGATGTGTGTGAAAATTGTTTTCCATTTGCCAATAAATCTCATGAACTTATATTAGCACCAAATTCTGCTAAAGTTAAATTAAATCATATTTTATTGGCTCGACGTGCTGTAGCTCTACTCAGTAATCCTGATTCACCTTTTTATGGACAACCATTCGATGTTCTTACCGATTGGTCATTAACTACAGCACGTGGTCTAGTCAATGAAGAACGAAATAAACAACAGAAAGATAATAAATTTATTCTCGAAGATATTCTACATTTACAGAAACAATTAAAACAAATGCAATTATATAAAAAAATAAAAAAAAATAAACACAAAAGAGAAGAACAAGATGAAAATGAGCCAATAGATCTTGATTTTCAACCAATGGATGATAGATGTCCACAAGAAAAATCTCGTCGAAATAAATGTCCCAATAATAGATCTATTCAAGGTTCTCCAATACAACTTGATTGTCAACCAATGGAAGATTCATGTTCACAAAAAAAAATCCCGTCGAAAAAAATGTTTTCAAGAAATATCTCGACAAGATTCACCACTACAAATTGAAATGCAATCAATGGATGAATCATCTTCACAAGATATATCTTTTGGAAATAAACGTCCCTTGGAAAGATCTCGTCGAGATTCTCCAATACAACCTGATAGTCAGCCAATGGAAGACACATGTTCACAAGGAAAATGTCATCGAAAAAAGTATTTGAAAGAAAAATCTCTTCCAGATCCTCAACAACAACAACAACAACAACAACTTGACGTACAACCAATGGATGAATCATCTCCACAAGAAACATGTTATGCAAATAAATGTCATATGCAAAGATCTCTTCCAGATCCTCAAGCATCACTTAATATTCAACCAATGGAGGCCACACCATATCCACAAGGAACATGTTATGGAAACAAATGCTCCATTCAACGACCTGTATCAAATCCTCAAATCCCACTTAATACTCAACCGATGAGGGGCTCACCATATCCACAAGGAACCTGTTATGGGAATAATTGTCCTATGCAAAGACCTCTTCCAAATCCTCAAATGCCACTTAATATTCAATCAATGATAGGCACACCATATCCTCAAGGAACATGTTATGGAAATAATTGTCCCATACAAAGATCTCTTCAAGATCCTCACTTACAACTTAATATTCAACCAATGGGAGGAACATGTTATGGAAATAAATGTCCTATACAAAGATCTCTTCCAAATCCTCAACTGCCACTCAATATTCAACCAATGGAGACCACACCATATCCTCAAGGAGCATGTTATGGAAATAAATGTTCCATTCAAAGACCTGTTTCAAATCCTCAAGTCCCACCTAATATTCAACCAATGGAAGATACATGTTCACAAGGAAAATGCTATCGAAATAAATGTTCCACAAAAAGAATTCTTCCAAATCCACAAATTCAACAAGATTCACTAAAAAACGTTGATCTTAGTAATACTCAATGAGATTTTAGTATTATTCAAATAAAATAATAAAACTGATTTATTCCTTTATTTTCAAAGTTAGATTTAAAAATTTTCAATAAATACCTGTAGACAATATATTTGATGAAACTCAAACAATTAAATAAAACAATATAAGTAGAAATCGAAAATAAAATAAAGATAAAAATATATTTCATATTCATAGCTTCGATTTCTATAGAATCATCAGTTCAAAGTAATGCAACTAAAAATCACATTACTTTCAAACATTCTTCTAGTAACTTTCGAATAAATAGAGGATGAGTGTGGATCTAGATAAAATTGATTATTTTATTATTAATTTTATTTTATATAAAAAGAAAAAGGTAGAGCGGATAATAATTTAATGAAAGATAGATTGATGTTTAAACTTGACATCGTGCATAACAAGGTATTATGTCATCAGCACAAAATCCAACATTTTTTGTACACCAGTCATTCGTACATTCATCGCATGAATTAATTAAACGTGTTTGACAATTTTGACTTAATAGTGTAAAACAACAATTACATGAACTATTGTTAGATTCAATTGTCACTATTCCAATTAATAATAGACATAAAACCAATAATATTTGTAATTTCATTATTTGTTTCGTTTGATTTATTCTTTTAATAAAATCTTTTAAATTGAATTACAAAGATAAATATATATAGAATAATCAATATGAGAATAATCATCATCTGTTATTTTTTTTTCTATGACGATCACAATTATAATGCAAAAAATAATTTCATGGAAAGGCGTTGAAAAAAAAGAAACAGATACTTCATTCTTACATGACACACGTTTTATAGAAAAAATAATCTCAAGTATATTTGTTTTTTGATTAAATATTTCTGCACTAAAATATATTCAAATCGTATAGATATTTAATTTTTAAGAACAAATTATTTCAATAAATGTATTACGAAATACAAAGTATGTGTAATAAAAAAAAAACTATTAAACTTTATTAATATAATGTAAAAGATAATTAAGAAAAATTTCTCTCCTATAATTGATCACAATATGTTCTAGTTATAAAACAGAAAATATCAACTAGAAATAAAAATTCAATTATAGATTTTATATGCTTGTATCATAACAGATCTAGGACATACCTTCATATACTAAGTATACTTTGCATATTTATTAACAATATTATTTTAAATCTTCAGATGTAAGATTAGATTGATTAATAGATAAATAAAAAGCATAATGTTCATATGTAAAATTTCCAATAATTTTATTCGAATAGTTAACGATCATTGAAAACATTTTAGTGCATTTTAATATAGTTATATATATGCAAGTAGACTGTAGCGCTCTAAAAACTCCTAATCATATCTCGTATTATTTAAATAGTAAGATCGGTAGTATTATGAAAACTTTGTTGTAGATTTACAAAAAAAGAAATAAACTATTATTAAGTCAAGAGATTTATTTTAATTCGAGAAAGTGTTTTTTTAATTAATTTGTTGATCATAGATTATCATCAAAAATAATTTTAATATTGTAGACAGACTTTTGTTTTGTTTGAACGACTAGATGAAATATTAAGCTTTTCATTTTCATTCACTTTATGTTGTTCACAATCTTTTCTCATGTCTTTGTCAGACATGAAATATTCGAATTTTATAGTATTTCTTTTTAAGAACAAGATAATAACCAATTAATATCGTGTGAAAACACATTTAATGGTCATTCTTCCGCTAAAATAATTCAAAATATATCATTAGAAGTGTTTATCAAAGATAATTTTTTACTAAATAGCATCAAGAAAAATATTTCAAACAATGTTTTCAAGCAAAAAAAGGAAATGAGTAATCTACTGATATTCTAATAGATGTCACATGAATTAAACGTCTAGTAGAATATAATAAATGTAGAAGTTGTTATTGATGGATTCAATTCTAAATTTACGACACTAAGACAGCGCCTCGCATCATTATAACGACATGTATCAATACGTATGAGGACAAGTTCATAGCATACATTAGTCCCTCAAAAGTAATATAGGAAAGATTTATTCTTCGTCACTACCTAGCTAGATATACCGGACATACTTAATTCACACTCGGCTCTTCATACTTATTGAACAGAGATAAGCGATTTCGTCTTTTCGTTTTTTTTTCTCTCTCTTTCTCTTCAATGTTTTTACTATTCTATGTTACCTTTAATCCTCGTATTAACTCATATATTGATATACTTTATATTTTTTCGTTCGTTCGTTCGTTCGTCTCGGCTCATTACAAAACAACATGTATCAATACGTATGAACATCAGTTTATACCATCCATTTGTATCTCGTAAGTGATATAAGAAAGATTCATTCTTCTTCATAAGATCGACAGAGAGATTGGACATACCTAATCCACACTCGACTCTTCATACTTATTGGACGAAAATAAGCGAGTTCGTTCTTTCTTTGCTTTTTTTTCTATCTCTCTCTCTCTCTCTTCAATATTTCTACTATTCTTCATAACTTTTTTTTATCCTCATATGCTCTCACTACGCTGAATTTTACATTTTTTCCTTCGTTCATCTTGGTCCATTGCCTTTTCTTTTCCGCTTTATTTTTATTTGGGATACAATTTTACCTTTAAAACGTTAAGAAATACGTCTGATTATAACACTTACTATCATTAAGGTTAAGAGCCCAGCCTTGGGGTCAGGTGACAGAATTAGAAAAGCTGTACACAGTGCGCCCCGAGCATAACAATATGCGCTACTATTCGAATGGTTGCAAAACTTCATAGTATCACTATCCTATATCACTAACATCGCTAATAACGTAAAGTGTAATCAGAGCGTCTGAGTTTTTACACGATTCATAGAGATGATATCTTATATGTTCATTCATTTTTTCGAAAAAAGTAAACGATAGTTTGAATTTGCCACAAAATAGAATACCCCATTCGCTCAAAAAAAAACTTCTAAAAAATAAAATTAAAAGTTAATTTATTCGTTTCTTTTTTGAAGTTTATTGATATAATTTCAATGTACGACATACTCAAAAACAGCGTACAATAGATAACCCTACATTATAGTCTGAACATTTATAGTTCTTGCGAGAATATTCTTTTGATTATTTGACAGTTACGCTGCAAAGAAAGCATCTCCATGATCTGCCATCAATCAGAGATGCAAAATGCAGGAGACAACATACATGTACATGATTCAGTTAGAAGCGAAAAAAAAAGAAAACGAATGTATCTAAATATACTGAATAAAATTTATATGTTTCGAAATATATTAGGAGAACAAAAAATGTTTATATAGAATACACATATAGGACGATTATATGAAAAAGATAGAAAGAAAGAAATGATTTGCAAATAGTAAAATCATGCCTACATACCTATGAAGAAGAAGAGAGAGTAAATCAGAATGAGAGAATCGTACATCAATGCGAAACAAAAAAGAGAAGAAATAAAGACGAATCACGACAATAATATTAAGTGTATGTCATTATAATGAATATATTATAATGAATATATTATAATGAATATATTATTATGAATATATTATTATGAATATATAGTCATTCTCGTTTTATCAATGAACAATATGTCTTTCTATTTAAAAACATTTAGTGATCACCTTAGTGATCGTTTACATTGAAAAGATTAGAAGTTCACGTTTAGAAAATGTTGAAACACAATCCATTTGCTATAATATTGGTTAAATATGGAGACTCATGTAGATGTTATTTTTTAGATAAAATAATTCATGTCTAACTTACAATCAAAGTTCACTTCTTTTTTTGATAAAAGAATATTTTGTTTTATCGTAGTTGTGATCATTCTGGCAGCCATATCGATCTGTAATACTCTAATAAAACAAATAAATATTCAGATACTTACTGCCAAGGATTATTCCAAGCCTCCACCTCTTCCTGACTGGTCTTCTATCGCAGTTAAATCTTTTCATAAAGTTTTTGTCGAAACCGATAATAGTCGTTTATTCAATACATCCTTTGCTCAATCAAACCAATCATTATCGCCATTATCAGTAAACACTGCTTATAGTCTTCGATGGATCGTCGTAACTTCTATCAATTATCCGACTAAAACAATCAACAAGCTCAGTAAATTGAAAGATTGGGCATTGGTATTAGTAGCTGATATAAGCACACCAAAAGACTGGTCCCATCCTAATTGCGTCTTTTTAAGTATTGAAAGTCAAAGAAGACTTTTATTGGAAATTCACGATACTATACCTTATCGGCATTATGGTCGAAAAATAATTGGATATCTTTATGCCATTCGACATGGTGCAAAAATCATTTATGAAACAGATGATGACAATGAACTTATATCGGGTATAGAAGAACAGGTATTGACATTTCAAGAGATATCTACATCGAACAAAGCATATTTTCTACCAGCAACTCCTCAAGAAATGAATACGTTTGATTCTAAACCATTTTTTGGTAGAGCAGTTTTTGGCACATCTACGAGTGCCAACACTACAAATAATTTGACGGTGGAGGAGCAGATCACAGTGAACCCTTATCATTATTTTGGTCAACCTAATATATGGCCACGTGGATACCCTCTTCGACTCGTTGGAGATAATATTTCCATTAGTATCAGTTTATCAACTGTTCGACCGTTAATTCAACAAGGTTTAGCTAATGGAGATCCAGATCTGGATGCAATATTTAGATTGACACAGTCAGATCGACATAAAAGGATTGATATTCAATTTCAGGAAAAACCACCTGTTGCAGTTTCTCACGGGCTTTTAGTTCCGTTTAATAGTCAAAATACTTTATTTCATTATGACGCATTCTGGGCATTATGGCTTCCTGTAACAACCACTTTTCGAGTTTGTGACATCTGGAGAGGATATTTTGTTCAACGACTATTATGGGAACTAACGCCACAAGCCACATTAACGTTTCATAGTCCTTCGGTTCTTCAGTTAAGAAATCCGCATAACTACATACGAGATTTTGAGGAAGAGTTGCAGTTATATACACAGACAGAGCAGCTGATAATATTTCTTCGAAAATGGACATGTTCGCGTGGTGGTTCGCATCTTAGCGGTGCCAGAGATTGCAATATATTTTTTAATAAAATCTACTTTTTAGCAGTGGATATGGTTGAAGCTAATTTCTGGAAGATGAAGGATGCTTGGTTGTGTGTAAACTTTCTCACTGATTTGATCAAACACGGATATAGATTTGATTTAAAATATCAGATACCAATAATCAAACCTAAAGCTACTAATCAACAAAACAATTCAATAACACAACAAAATTATACTGTTTCTAGCAAGAATGTTCCTTCCACTCGCGTGGCTGTATGTGTTAGTGGACAGGTTCGTACATTAAATATGGTGATTTCGTCAACTTTACCTGTCATGACTGTAGACAGGGCAGTATACCGACCAAAAGTGGCGTGGAGGAAATTTAGATCTGGCAAACACACAACAGCAATGAACATTCAGAGTCTATTATTCGACCAGTTACCAGCCTTTGATGTATTTATGTTCGTTTCAACGAAAGAAAAACATCACAGAGAACCACATGTGAATGATACTCGTATTTGCGAATCTTTACGACCTCGTTCATCCAGTAATCGTCTGTTTTGCTCAGTAGTAAAAGAAATGGATATCACAAATCCATCTACAAATGTGACCGCATTGAATAGTTATACTTACGCGCAAAGTCAAGAGTTAAGGCAAGGCTTATTGCAACAACTTAACGGCCTGCAGCAATGTAATGATATGAGAAAAGAATATAGTCAAAAGAGTGGAACACAATACACACATTGGATCAGATTGAGACCTGACAGTATCTTCTTTGAACCGTTTCCGAACATTACATCAATACGTTTTGTCGATGAAACTACTAAACAGCCTCGAATCGTGTATGCAACAAAAAAAAAGTGTTGCTGTGGAAATGAAGATTGGTTTGGAGTAGGTGCGATAGAAACAATGGATGCATATTTTGATCGAATTAATCTTTTACATACGTACAAAAACAAAAATATATGGTCAGCAGAAGTCTTTGCAATAGATGTATTGACGGAAACGTTAAAGGCGCAACTCCTCGATAACGATCCAAGGATTCAAGTCTGTATTTACAAACCAAAAGACAGAAGATATACCGGAGAACCATAAGAAGATGGTAGACTGTGCTAATTAACCATTATATTTCACGCAGTAGAAACATTCATACTCGACTGTGACAGTTCCTATTTTTTTTTTTTTTGAAGAGAAATAAACGATTCATTTGCGAATTCAACTACTCCGTCAAATAAATCATAAAAATAATGCGTGAAAATGATACCATAGATCGAGGCATGCAAGCACGCGAATCGGCATACTATTGAACTTGAACGATGTGGATGAGAATGTGTATACTACTATGTAACGAACTACGACCAGTTTCGTCATTTCTTAAGGGACTCTTTAGGTAGTTAAGCACCGCATAATCTCATATATAGAATAATGAATAGAAAATACATCCTTACAATATTCTTTCAATAAAAGCATAGGCAAAGCAGAGAATCGTTTAACTTAATTGAGTGTGTACTTCATTAAATAGTTAATCAAAGTCAAAGAAAATAAAGAGATGATCTTATGATAAATGTGTGAACTAAGTGTATCGCAGTTCAACTCTAGTTTCAATCATCTGGGTGAATTATTTCGACTGCTCCTCTCAAAAGAATTGATCTGACATAACACTTCTCTTTCAAGATAATCGCATTGTTGTCATGCAAAGTGTATGCTTATAAGGATAATAAGAACAAGCTATTTGACTTTTCTACAAGGTAGGAAAAATGGATTTTGTGATTATATAGATACCAAAATCTGTTTTCTTCTCTTGATAAAATATGATTATTCGGACTATTAATATGAGATCACAAATAAAACAAATGCAATTGGTTTTGTCGTTGACAGATCCTAATCTATATTTAAATCTTTCAGTTAAATACAAAATATTGAAGGCAAATTTTTCTCCTCTCTTTATTTATTACTGTTCGTAGTAGAATACATCGACAAAGTCTAATTCTTATTGTTCATTTGGGACAATTCTTTGGCATAGGTAATTTTGAAATCCATTGATCATCATCATAGGACAACAATTCATTTACACCAAAAAATACATCTTTATCTCGAGCAAACGGTCCAAGACACATTGGTGCTGTAACAAAAAGTACACTATGGGTCATTAACCATCCAAGTAGTGGTGGTAAGTTAATTGGTAGATGTGCATCTATACAACATGCAATGCCATTGAGTAAGAAACAGGCAAATGTGGGCAGGACTGACGATATATCTTCAAAAGCAACAAGAGCAATATGAACATGTAGAAGGCCACTAATAATAAATGTTATTAAACCCACAATTGATCGAGAAGGTATATACAAATTGAGAGGTAGAAAAAGTGATTCTTTTAAAATTGTACCAATGATTTGATTGTATCTTCGACCCCAAAATTCACGTATTGATTGAGATAAGAATGGAAAATTGTTCAGCCATTGAAGTGTATATTTATCTCGAGTAATTATTCGTATAAAAATTGTTTGAATATCGATCACATATGAAAAAGTCAAAATTGATAAGAAATAAATGAATACTCTCATATAACTATCATTTGGTTCACATATCGATAGCCATTGATGCAACCACCGATTAAGTACAAATTTTACAATACCACATATCAAATATAATTTAAGAGACCGTTGCCTTTCAGTCGGTTGACAAGGTACAATTGGAAAGATAATCCATAGACATTTTAAAATGAAAGAAAATAAGGTTTGCGACTTATCGACTGAAAGAATAGTAAAATGAATGAGACGAATCGATATCATCCAATAGACTGCAACAATGAAAACAGAAAGAATATGATGCGGAGGTAGACTACGAGTACCAACATCGGTCAATACTAGACAAGGTATCAATGTTAGAATGATTCGAATTAAAATATAACGGATAGGACGAATGATGTAGAAGCATAAGAGAAGATGTACAAACCAGCCAATATTAACTAGTAGCAAATGTATCATATTAATAACTATCTAAATAACTTTTCAAATTCTAATAAATGAAATATGTTGATAATGATGTCCTTGTATATTCTTTCGAAAGAGATAATAGTTTATTCTTCTTATCTTTGCATTCTTTTTGTCTTTTTCATAATGGGATCAAACAGTGGACAAAAACAATTATTTTAAAATAATTCAATAATGAAACATTCGTCATTTGGATTCAATACTGAATATTGACCATAGTGTGTGATCATTTCTGATAAAAGAAACGTTAGTGCTAAAGATATGATACTTCAATATATTTCTTCTTATCTAGAATTGCGTCGTTTTCATACAAAGCATACGCTTATATACCTAACCCATCAAAGAGAACAAAAGGACAATAAAGTCTCATATAATATATAAAATAAGGACAAAATAATAATGTCAATATATCAAATGAGAAAAAATTATAAGAATAAAACAAACATCGTTACACACACTCCGTTTTTTACAATCCAGATCCAGTGCGGGTATTCGTTTTTATTCTAAAATTACCCCATGACAACGAGATCACACTCAATTCTAATATTTTTATGTGCTTCAAGAAAAAGAAGATTTAAATATTTTTATTTCATAATTAGCTTTTGTGACAAAAGAGAATGTTACCACCTTAGATTTTTTTGAGTAGGCTAGAATAGTAATCTTAGATATAATAGATCTTAAAATCTCTTCTCTATAAACATATGTTAATATTTCATATCAATTACATAAGTCACAAAGATGAGAACATTCTAATGAAATATCAATAGAAATACATGATGTTGAGGAATAATAAGGAGATAAAAATATTTTGAGAATGTCAATATAAGTATTTGAGTGAAATTCAGTAACCCAGCTGGATTAATAACTGAATCGAGTTTTCGTTGACAATCAATGTCTCAAATATGTTACATCACACGAAATCATCAACATTGATCTACGTATAAACATTAGTATTTAAGAGAATGACGAAGAAAATAATAAGAGAAAAGAGAAAAACATGTGTTAGTACTCTTCGAATAATCATTAGTTACATAAAATATGGTTTGTATTTTCATTTTATTTTAAAATAATTCGATATCTATATTTATTCTGTATTTCGCTATTAATTCTTCAAAAGAATATTTACATCTTCATGTTAATACGAAGTGAAGTTTTAGATTAGTAGACAAATCCCATTCTTTGATGAAGAGAGAAAGATAAATTATAAAAAAACAAAAGTTTGAAGCTAAAACTAGTCACTCCACAAAATGATGAAACCTCTCTCTGAATGTGAGATTATAGTACACGAGAGAAGTTCTTCTATTAGAGTTTTGCTCATATTCAATGTCATAATTTTGTATTACATATCATCAAAACTTTATTAAAAGATATGAGTTTATGTACGAAAGAGTAATATAAGACTTCTATTATGATTCATATATTTTGTTTGTTATTGTGCAATAATTTCACGTGGAGTAATTGCACAATAATATATACACATAAACTTGAAATTTTTTCTTAAGAAATCATTTTCTTTTGTTTTTTATTGTGCATAAATATTTCATAAAACTTTGTATAGATAAATAAGGACAATTAATTTTTAAAATCAAATTTTGAATAATTTTAAAAACTTGTTAATGGTATGATGTGAAATATAATTTGAATATTTCATTTGTTTTTCACTTATTTTCGAGTATTGAAATCTGATTATTTATGTAGAATACACATCAAGAATTCGATTCTAATGATGATCGATTTGGTTTTATTATTATGGATACAAATCAAACTTTGTTTGGTATATTACATGGGAATATTCGAGATATTCTTATGGAGTTTACAGTTGATTTACCAAAAAAGCGTAGGTATGGTGGTGCAAGTTCAATACGATTTGCACGAATTCGAAAAGAGAAAAAACTGAACTATGTACGAAAAGTATCTCAAATGGCTACACAATGTTTTATTAGAAATGAGAAAATCAATGTTAATGGAATTATATTAGCAATTGTTGCCCAATTTACTACTGAATTCAATGCAGACGATGTATTTGATTCAGTTAGTTAGATTTTTTTCTTTAAAAATTATTCTTAATATATTTCTTTTCAAAGCGTATTCAAGAGAAACTTATTCAACGAGTTGTAATTTCTTATGGTGGTCATCTAGGTTTTAATCAAGCAATTGAGTTAGCTAATGAAACACTTGTAAATGTTAAATTTGTACAAGAGAAAAAAATTCTTTGTAAATTTCATTGTAAATTAAATAAAATTTCAATATTTTCTTTATTTATTTTTCATAGCTCAATTTTTTAATGAAATATTCAAAGATTCAAATGAATTTTGTTTTGGTTTAAATGATACAATGAATAAATTAGAAAGTGGCCAGATTGATACATTGATCATTTGGAAAAATTGTGATTTAATACGTTATGTTTTACGTCATATTCAAACAAAACAAATAAAAATAATTTATTTACAAATTGATAAAGAGAAAGAAATAGATAATGAATTGGAACAACTTGAAAAAATCTCATTAATTCATTGGCTTGAAAAGAATTATGAAAAAATGAGTATAGAAAAATAAATAAATTAATCAAATTGATTTTTATTAAAATATTCTTTTCTAAAAGATATTAAACTCGAAATTGTAACAGACAAGAGTCAAGAAGGTTCGCAGTTTGTACACGGATTTACTGGGATTGGAGGTTCGTTACTCGTCATAAGAATTTATCTTTTTTATTTGTTAGTTCGACGTCTTCTATAGGTATTCTTCGTCACAAGCTTGATCACCAATCTTTAAACATCATTGAGAAAAATTGTGAAAACATCGATTCTAGTAAATAGATACAAGAAAAATAAAGACTTTCTTTTTTTTCATTTATTTTAGATATTGATAATGATGATTATAGTGCATTCTTTCTTGATTAATTGCAACGTTTTATGTTTTATTTTATTTCTATGGTTATTTAATTAAGATTTGTGTCTCAATTGTTTTCTATTGTACATATAATATATGTTATTGTTGTCTCATTTCTTCTATTTATTCAATATTTTCATCATAGCTACAAATGTAATGGAATTGTTCTATCTCATTAAAAACTTTGATATCGAAATAATTGTTAATGAACAAACAATGAATAATGATGATATCGTCTACATAAGATATTGTAATTGTAAATGCTATTTTATTTGTAGATTATCATTTTTGTAACTAAATCCTATATCTATGTTTCTGCTATCTATGAAACAAGATTTGTATATATAACAATATTTATTTCCATTCCATTTTAATTGATAATAATATAAAACAACATTTTCATCTTTGATGAGTGTCAAACGAAAAATAGTTTTATAACCTTTCTTACTATAAAAATGTTTCATCAATATATTCTTTTCATTCATATACAGTTATTTAAAGTAATTGTATGATTTACTTGGATGACAATACTATCTGGATGTGAGTGAGTTGTATATCAATCTCTCATCGATACTTTCATGCAATTATAAATAGTTAAAATTTTGATTGGAAGAAAGATTTCAGATCAATTATCATACCATTGATAATGACATACTGATAACAGCTATTTTTAACCACGAGTAAATTTAATAATAAATTGACAAATATTAGTTATTTTTAGTGGTGATGACGAAACTTGACATAAGTCAATTTTTGCTATTTATTAAATTTATTATTAAATTTACTCGTGATTAAAAATAACTGTTATTACTATATCGTGTATTGTGTCCTGTAGATGAGTATAAAGTGCTCGAGAAATAAATCGTATGCCAAGTTTCAACATTCCCACTAAAACAAATAAGAGAATAAAGTCTAATCTAACGTATTTCTATGTAAATGAAATTTAATTCTCTACTATTGTTCTAATCCAAACATGAAAATGAAGAAAATAATAACATTCTTGAAGATTAATATAATTATTCTCTAATAAATCTATAGTTCATGGAATTTGTTTTTCTTATTTATTTTCTAAGAAATTTTTAGAGATAATTCTTTACAATTCTGTATGATTGTTAGACAATGATAAATGTTCGAAAGAAAAAAGTTGTTGATCATCATGAATATATTCAACGATTTGATCAAGACTATGATCTATGAGTGATTGAGCTGTTGAACTTAAACATGTATTATATTTATCAATTAAAATAAGACCAGGACTTATAATTTCATTCAACATCCTAAAACAAAAGTGTAAGTTTATTTAATAACTATGAAAATAATAATAAACATACGGTGTTAATTGTTGATTAAATTTATTAATTTGATCATTTAATTTTTGATAATTATTTGTTAATCTTTGTAAATGTTCAACATGTTCAAGAGTTACTTTTTCTTGTTTAATTAAATTCATAAGTTGATCAATTTCTTTTTTAAGTTCTTCGATATCTATTATAATATGATTTAATTCTTTTTCAATTAACGGAACATCTTTTAACATAATTTCTGTTAAATTTATTGAAAGTTTACTCATCTTAATCACTAATGATGTTGATAGACAAGTTTCATTTATAACATCTTTGTATTCCTACAAATAAAATATTCATTTTCAATATCATTATCAGATAATTGATACTATGTGTTAGTCTTAAATACTAATTCACAATTTGTCATATCAGAAATAATTTTCTTTTGTTTCTTTTGATGAGTTAAGAGTTAAATATGATGATAATAGTTGATACAAACCTGCATTTTCCTATATTGTTCAGTTGTTCTGATAATAATGGATTGCATTTTTCTAGATGAACGACGAATTGTAGGTAAAATATGATCACGTAATTCATAAGAAGTATTCGCATGAACCATTTCTCTCAGACTTAAAAGTGCTGATTGTGTAGTTAGTTCTTCTGTTGAAATTAATTTGTTAGTAAATAAGAAAAAAAGAAAATAAACAATATGAAAAGACAACATATTATTCTGTATTTGCCAACAGTCTGAATGAATTGATATTTCAGAATAAATTATATTTCTTTCTTTTATATACAAAATATAAAAAGAGAAGAATGAGCAGAACGGACGAGAAAAAAAATACATTTATGCACTTTTCTTCATTTGTTTTTGTCGTTACTTCATACATTATATTCTATTTTCACCCTATCGATCTCTGTCTCTTTCATATGCTTTTCTTCACCATCATAGACGAATACAAAACGGAATATTTTTATATAAAAAAGAAACTATTTTATATTATGTCAGTTACAATGATACTCTTTCTTAGATTTCATTCTCTCTTAATCCATTTATTTAAACAGATCCTTTTGTTTTCTATATGTTTGTAAATCAATGTATTATTGATTAAAATAAATCATCTTATTTGATCTCTTCTATAATTATAATATATACGATTTTACTTAGACTTAGTCTTAATACAAGTTAATCACAAATTATAATTTATAAAACAATTGAAGATCTTTGTGTTATTTATAATCAATTTCATTCATTCTAATATTAAGAAAAATAAGGTAAAAAATCGTAATGTTCTATTAAATGTTAATATTTTGTTTAGTATTAAAATAAAACCTGATGTGAAACTAAGAAAGAATGAATGAAATTGATTATAATTAACACAAAGATTTGATGGATGAGAATATATGTATAGAGTAGACATCGTCGATTTGATCAGTTTGATATTTCATATTTGACTTGTTTTATCAATAAATAATCTCTATATAATTTTAATATCGTATAATATGATTGAATAGTCTTTCTTATTCTATTAAGTATGAAGATAACTTCTATATTCTTTTACAAATTTTCTAATCGAAAATCATAGTATTGATATTTGAAATAATTGGTTGAAATGATTATCTCAATATTTGATTTTTATGTTATTAAACAGGAATTTTAATGTAAAGCATTCTTAGCATTTCAACAATAAAAGAGAAAAATATAAGAACGAAACGATCGATTAATCATCAACTATTTCAAAAATAGCTTTCTTTCAAATTCTTTTTCTTTGTCTTTCTTAAATTTCATAGTGAATTGGAATAATTTCATTCAATTTTCATTATTAATATTATGTAGGAATATTAAGAAAAAAGAAATAGATATTACTTAATCTCGATAATCAACGTTTTCTTTCTAAACTAAAATTTTCAAAATAATCATAGTTTATTTTTACTACAGGAATGATTATTTCTTGTAATATAAGAAATAAAAAAAGTATGAAATGTCAATGATTTGTTAATGACCAAAAAAATAAAATTGACTATATTGAGCACCATCACTTTCATCACGTGTTTTCGTGACTAATATTCGATAAGTTGAAAACCATTTATCATTTAGAATATGTTGTTCTATTCCACATGAATTTCTACCTGGATCGATTTCAAGACCAGAGGATCCATTATAAATGAGAGTCCAATTTGATCCAATCATTGGATCAGTTTCATTACTTCCTTCGATGGTTATCATCATTGGATCACGTTCTGGAAAATCATTTGCTGTACAAAAGTAAAATCCAAGTGCACAAGTAATACCACGACTAGGAGTGACAAAGAAACCTGCCCGAAACCATGCTTTCTCATCAAAATAATGATCAGTAGCATATTTACCATAACAAAAATATTTCGTTTGATTATTTAAATCAAATATATTTTCTGGTCCTTCATCAGGAGGAAATTGTCCGATTTGATAACCTGGGGTAACTGGAAAACTCTCACCACCTATTTCTGTACACCATATTGCATAAATAGGATCAGAAGGTCGAACTATATAATCAATCGGAATGACTAAATATGAAAATGAATTCATTTATAACTTATAATTGAACAAAAAAGAGACGTACATGGGATTGGCTCATCTGTTGTTGTTATCTTGTCTAAATAAAACATAATATTATACTGAGAAGATAGATTATTCTAATGATGATAATATCAATAAAGACAAATGTAAACTGACCACTAATTATCTTCTTCAATTCGAAATAATTGAAAAAAAAAAGAATTTTATATAGATTCATTGATAGAAAAAAGAATTATTCATATATTTGATTTTGACTTTTCAACTTCTTAATTTTGAACTATCAACTTTGAGCTCTAGAAAAGTATATTTATTATTGTATTTCTATTGAATTTGTATGTACACGAGAATTTAATAAAATAATAAAAAGGTTGATAAAGAAACTATGACTTACTACGAGCCACAGATTGTTGTACATGATTTGGTACAATCCATGTAACAGTTGAAGGAAGAGGTAACCATGTCTTTTGTTCCAATGGAAAATAATCTTCAAGAAGTACTTCAGCTCCAGCCATTTCTCGTGTTGGCCACGGATTAGCAAGAGAAAGTTGTGCAACAGCATTAGCTGATATTCTATTGGACGCAGATTGAATTTCTTCATCACTAATCAATCTATGTCGATGTGGCCAATCTGGACGATTTTGTAAAAGTGCACGGATACTTTGCAATTTTTCTTTGAGTGTACCAACATAATATTCATAACTACCGTTTAAATTAGAAAAGGTATTAGCCACGTGAACACTCTCATCGATAGGATTATTTGTTATACGTAGAGAACGACCATGTTGTTCTCGTTGACGAAGACGAAGCATAAAATCTTCATAATCAAGAAAATCGAAATAAGTAAGAGGTTTACGAATTTGAATTCGTGAAGAATCTTGTTGAATAAATAGACGAGCAATGTTTCGAGATAGAGCCATTGCAGCTTTCATACCGGAATTCATTCCTCTACAATATAATATATTATTATTATTATTATTAAATTTTAAATTTCACTTCATATATTCATTTATTTCTATTAATTTTATCTTTTAACAAATAAAGACTTTTATCTAGAGTATTTCGATTTCTGAAAGATAAACTAAAAAGAAGTATCACTCAACATAGCTTCTTTTATATTTTTTTCTTAATTATTTGTTTGTCCATTACTAGTAAATTTTAATTTCATATAATTTTATGTAGATGTTTTAACTGTTGAGACTATGCAGAGACACGAAATAAAATAAGAGTTAGAAAAAGTTCTTCTAACTCAATGATTAAGTCATATTCGACGTATCCTATCAAATTATACTATATTTGGGTGTTAATATAGTCAAATATAGAATAATCTTTGACAAATAAGTATGACGAGCTGACTAACTAGTAAAAATATACATCACGCAAGTCTTTTGTTCACAATTACCTTCCAGGCCAAAAATGAACAGCCATAGCTGCATCACCAGCAAGACATACTGGAATCTTCTTAGTTGTTTTTGTATCATTATTTAATGGAAATTCAAATTCTTTTACGACTGATGTTGCATGTTGAACATTGATTTCGATGGGTAGAACTCGAAAAACAAATTTTTGAGGAATTTTAAAATAATCGAGACCTTGTCTTATTATAGTCCAGACAGGTGAATTAGGATATTTGTCAAAATTCAAAAGATTCACTCGTTCATTGCGTTCATTTCTTTTCAAGTGTTCTTGTAATTCATTATATTCATCAGAAGTTAAACGAACATTCAAATATCCACGTCGACTAGTTGAAGAATTAACTAAATATCGAGTTTGACCAATAGTAAGAATACAATTAAGAGCTTGATGAAGAGGTTCTTCATCTGAAGAAACTTCAATTGGTATATTATAAGCAACACCACAAGCATATTCATTCGCTGCACGATGTAAATCAATCTTACAATAATTACGAACAAAAGAACCAACACCATCACTACCGATTAAAACATCAAATTGACCTATATACAATTAAAGAAAAAATATAGTTAACAAGAAATATCCGTTATGTAAAAAAAATATTATCAATGAAATATGAAATTAGTATTTGTGACGAGATGCACTTACAATTTTTCCTTATACTTTCTAATCTTTTCGATTGAATACATTTGAAAAATCTTCGAACATCAGACTCTAAATATTTCATTAATATTCTGTTGAGTTTTTAAAGAAATAGATTTTTTTATCGAAATTGTCTCAGTCAGTGAGAATTTAGACTTATTTGCTTATAGAATGTTAAATGAAATTTAGAAAAATTCTTCTATGTTTCATATTCGATGAAATAAAGAAGATGAAGATTTACCATTTAAAAGACGATCACTTTTTTCGTTTAAATTTTCAGGTACTAATACAATTTGTCCACTTTCAACAAATGGTTCAGCTAAGACTAATAATCGATCTTCAACTTCACGAATAGGAATATTTCTTGATGTTGGCCATACACGTTCATTGATGTTAGCAAAAAGTCCAACTTGTATAAATGTAGGTAATTGATGAATAACATGATCTTGTAGAGTAACAACTTGATCTCGTCGATTACGACCTTGTTCTTCACCTTGCCATTTCATTTTTCCATCACCATCAACATACCAACGTCCTTCATAAACATAGATTTTCGCATGAGTTTTCATCATTGTTGATAACGATAAAGCAAATGTCATACCAACTGGACCTCCACCAGAAACCAATACGATTAATTGCTCAGAATTTAATTGAGAAGTCATCTTCTAGAAAGAAAATTATTATTCTTTAAAAACATAGTTATTAGAAGGGTGTGGATGAAGGTTAACAAAAACTGCATTCACATCCATGAAAATTCTCTCAAATCTAAAATCGATTTTGGAGGGATGACGAGATCTTAATATTAAATTATGATAAAATAACAATTCTTAAATTTAATATTACGAGCACACTATTAATATTGAATATATATCAGAAAAACAAATAGCTTACCACAAATCAAATAAAATGATTTTGAATGACGTCAAACGAACGACTATATGTATGAATATGTATGTCACACACTACTATTTCTTTTTTTTTTCATAAAATAACACGTTTTTTTCCCGTTATGATATGACAAAATCTTACCTTGTTCTCTCTTTCTTTCTTTCTTTCTTATTTTCGAATAAGACACTTATTGATGGTAAACATATATTAAAGAAAATGAAAAAAAATACTTTTTCTTCGACAAAATAAAGTATGTATTTGCAAAATTATCATATTTAATTATAAAATTAAAATATTCTTTCACCTTGACTTCGACTCCACCCTATTGAAATAAAATTTTTAACATAAGTCCAATTTCCTAGTTATTGTTTCTACTTTTCATATACTTTTCAATAAATAATACATATATTCAAAAATGAAGATATATTTAATGAAATAAAATTGATTTTTCATCTTAATATGATTAATATATTATGCATAAAAATTAACTCTTCCGATAAATTTAAGATAATAGTATATTATACATGAGAATAAGATTTCGAATGAATCACACTAGAATTATGAATAATTTTTTGTATCTCTACTCTAACCATTTATTCTTTTATCGAATTGAAATTCCAAATTAGTTTTTTCATAAAATAGATTACTTAGAAAATTTACCATTTATTTCTTTTGTCGTAGAATCGACAAAGATAAATTTGAAAAATTCAACTACAGTATTCCGTATTAACATACATCAAGTAATTAATAGTGGATTATAAAAAGACTATTTCTGAATTCTGATCAACTATATTATAATAAAAGAAAATCTCTTTGATATTTATACAATATTAATATAAGTTCATAAATATTTTAATTATCTCTCATATTAAGAGAGAAATTATATAGAAGAGTTGAAATCAATAAATGATAATATCCTTTGTCTTTGTTTTACTTTTAACAGCTACATATGGAGTTTTATCAAATATTGAAACGAATGATAATAATAGAATTAATTTAGTTAATCACATACTTGCTATTGTTAGAACTATTAACTATATACATTCAATGATAATTATGTGAAGTAAGTCATTTCACTGTTCTTTTTCATGACAAGTATTTTTCTAGCTAGAATCTAACTTTATATTAGAACTAGAACTGCTTGAACAAATATCTTTACGTCTGATATGTTATTTATTGACTAATGTATTTCATTTACTTATTAAAACACCAATGAAATAAGGAATGAAACGATTACATTATCTCGTAGTGTACTATCTATTTCATAAGATCATCACATCGGTGTTGAGTTTAAAACTAATGGTAATAGTTACTTTCGAGTAACTAATCAATACGATTATATTATAAAAAGCATAGTATATTCTATTAATTCCATAGAAATGACAAAGAAATATGTTATGTTCACTATTAAAAAGAGTAGATGAAGATGTATTGAATCATACATAGAAAGATTTTTTTAATTACTTTTTTCAGGTGAAACGATAGATTGTCTTTGCGGTATTTGGGATATCTCATTGGTAATAGTAAAGATTATAATCTTGATATAGTTTTGTAGGTCTATTAGTACACCTCTGAAACTCAATTAATTCTTATTCTGATCATGAAAAGCATATGATTTTTCTTGAAGCTTTATGTAAAGCATTTATAAAAGTAGTTGGAACATTTGTTTTTCTGTCTATGATTTGATACATGTTTATCTACTCGTTTCAACGATGAAGACCGTGTGTCTCTATCTCATTTCTATAAAAAGTAATTCAAAAAATGGACAATAATCATCTATTCTCTATGCTTTATAAAAATCGATTAGATCTTTTTTCTCATAAATTTCATACGACGGTATCATCTGAAATTATTTTTCCTTATTTACGAATATTTTAATTTTTAAATTTTCCTAATATAGAGAATAGAGTCAATTTTAGATAATTTACCTTTTTTCTTTGGTACTTGTAAATGAAACTAAATGTTATATGTTAAAACTTTCTTTGAGGAAAGCAAACAAAAGATAGTTTAGAAGATCTTTTATATGAAAATGGATTTTTTAAAAAATAATTTTTATAAAATATTTTTTTAGCATTTATATACATGTTAATATCTAAAGTTTTCCATCTTGCGGAGGTCTATTTACAGCAAAAATCCATCGGACGGGGGGCTGAAATATCTGTTTAAACCGGAGGTGTTTATTAATAGAAGTTTCGCTGTATATATATCGATAGTCGAACAATGATAGAAGTGAGACGAAAATTGAATTTTGCTCATAAGAACTGGATAATGAATTTTTAATAATAAAATATTGATTTCTTCATTTCTTGGAATTATGAAAAGATTGATCTACTAAAGAAACTTCCTATGATTTAAACATCCAAGCTTTGATTTTTGATTTTCTTTAACTTATTTAATTAGATAAAATAAAAAAGAAGGAGAAAAAAATTATTTTTCATTCATTGTATATGATTATTTATCTTAAAAATTCGATATCTTTTTTATGTTATCAATAATAGAAGATCCATAAACTGAATCAACTCTCATTTTCTGAACTCTATATTTATAATCTAGGAAACGAATAATTGTATACTTTGATAAAAATGATATATTTCGAGAATATAACTCGTGCGTAAACAGACTTGCTTCTATATCTGATAAAAATCTTATTAATATTTTAGCTTTTTTTTGTCATTATATAATCGATTTCATTTAATTTTTACATTATTATTATTATTATTATTGAAGAATATTATCAGATATAATTACTATCTTAATCATAAATATGGATATGGATTTATATTAAAAAAAGAAGTGAGAGTTTACTTAGAATATTCACAGGTTTCATCATCAAGAACAACTTTTCTTTTTTATCATGTATATAAATGACGTTCATTCTTTTCTAATTATATCATTCAAGCAAGATCAATTAGTAATGTCCTTTAAAATGTGATTCTATCTCGTCTGAAAACTCGCTTGTCAGCACTATTTAACATAATAATTTTATACAATAAGTCAAAGTAATCATTCGTACATGAACCTTTTTTCATACAAAATCACACTTTTTAAATTTCTCACTTTATCTTAAACAGATAAAATAGCTAAATCAAGTTTTTCCTCACATAAATTATTCACGATTTCTGTCATATAATTCTACTAAAAAATTGTCGATTATAGTTCTATATTATAATTATAATTATTATGGAAACTAGCATAAATACAGTTAGCTTCATATTTTGCATTAATCTTGACAAAAAATCATACAAATAGATAGAAAAAACTACCATCTTGAAATTAAATTTTGTGATATATGATTGCTAATGTCTTTGGAAATAATATACAATAATAAGTTTAAATTTTCACAAAAAGAAGTTAGAAGAAAAGTTTTTCCTGACTTTCTAATTATATTAGAACAGATTTCGAAATCATCTGAATATTTTAAGTTGGTCGAACATAATTCTTACTTTTGCTAATAAAAAACTAACCGTTTACAGTATTTGATTTAAATGATGAATTCAAAACAGTTAACACTGACGTGAGTAATAGTTTTCTATCATTTGACTTTTTAAAAAGTAAATTATTTCAAATGGCACTTTTGTTTATCAAGAGATATTTTCGATATATTTAGAATATTTATTCGAATAAAAAGATTAAATGGTTAAACAATTTCAATAATAAATAACAACAGAGTTACAAAAACAACATTATATAAGCATATGAACAAAGAAATTCAGTGCAACAGAGTGAACACTTAAAAATTACATGAATTTATTCCATTTCTTGAATGACTAGTGTAGTATTATATATTTTGGCGTATATTTCACTTAATTCAAAGATGCTTAGCTCTAGGCAACTAATGGACGGATAGTATTTTGCTTCACTTTACAGATGATCAATGCAAAAAGTTTTTCTTTTAGCCCGGGCAATGTTATAAGAGTAGCATAGGGTAAAACCATAGATGGAACGTTTGCTAGAGGAAAAACATATGTATACGTGACATCGATGCTGAAAGTAGAAAATCTCAAAGCTTCGCCGAAGTAAAAAATAGTATAAGGAAGATTAAAGGTAAGATAATTAATAGAGATGAAAATAAATTGTATGACCATTTTCCGATATTTACGCCATCCATTTCCTTGCTGTAAACGACGTTTTTGTATAATAATACGAAGAAGAAGAGCAGCACCAAAAACGATAATAATCACGATTGGTATAATATCATGAGCAATTAACATATACTGTGCTAATGAATCAGATATTGAATCCCAAAAACAGGCATTTCCACATAGAGTCTTAGTGCCATCATAAATACGATCACAAGGATAAAAAAAGATCAAATAAACATAGAAAATTGGTGCATAGAGAGAAAACAATATAAGTGGGATATAGTGAAATAATAAACGTCCACGCGCTGTAGCAACTCGAGTTGAATGAAATATTAAAATATGTCGCTCGATCGATATCCATACTAATGAAAACGTAGCGCCATACCAAATTCCATAGAGTAAAAATTGATTTGTCAAACAAAAAGCAGGATTTAGTGGTGTTATGAATCCTAGTCTCAGAAAGTTCATTTGCATTGACACACCTATTGTGAGGTAAATAAAGTTGAAATATAATATGACAATAACAGCATGGTTGTAAAGAACTTTGCGTACAGTTCGATTTCTCATTAGATGAAACAATACGAACAAATAACAAGGAACCGATACCAGTTGACCAAATAAGAATAGGCCGAATCTAGTCTCTGACCAACTAGATGGGGAAGAGACAGTTTGAACGCTTATATTGCTCATATCTATGTAGTTAGTTGTCTGTAGTAGACGGAAATATTATATCAGTTAAGAATTTAGTGATGTGAATGTGTTGAAAGAGAAGTGGCATTCTCTTCATCATGTTATGGTAATATGCTCGAATGCACAATTCGTTTCTCTTTACGAGAAGAAGAGAAAGATAAAAAAGTAGATTTATCATCCAATGATAATCATTACACAAGTAGAAGTAACCAGTATTCAAAACAATTAAAACTCGCATCCTTTTCTTATTTATGGATTTTCATACATTTTTACAAATGTTAGAATGTGAACCGTTGTTAATACCTGATCTAATGATGCACATCGTTTTTGATAATTGAAGCTAGACAGCTATATGAACATGTCATGAGAGACATTCATTCTATGTATTCAACAAACTAATTGTATTCTCTAAATGTAGAAAAACTTTCTATTATGATTATGAGCATCTGTTAGGTCAGCTATATTGAAGATGTGCAAGAATCGTTAGAAGAAAAAAATAAAAATGCGTATCAATCTTAAAAGTGATTTTTAAATATATCCTTTATAAGTTCTTGTTTTTTCTGATAAAACTGAAATAATAGTAAAATCTAATGATGTTTACAGTTTTCAGTAGTCAAATTTTAATAGATACAATCATTGAATACTTTTGATTTACTTGATTATTTTTTATTTCTATTTATCTGATAAAATTACATTTAGATTATGTAAACATACAGAGATAAATTCTATGACTAGAATTTGAAGAATTTTTGATAGAAAATTAAGAGAGCCTTGCGATGAGGTTTGAAAATGTTTGTCTAGAAAACGTTTCCGAATCTCTGTCGATGTATGCAAGATTACAATTTTTAGACTATTCTTTTCAACAATTCAAAGATCTTTTTGAGACTCATAATTTTGACCAGCAGATCCGACCTTATCCTAAAATAGATGAAGATAGGAATGATAAGTCATATTGAGTCGAGTAATAGTATCTGTCTTCAATTCAAATATAATTCTAAGTCATCAGAGATTGTATTAGTATTATAAGTAATAGATTGAAAATAATAGTTTGTTATGGGAGCATCATCATAATTTCAAATAATGAATTTGATACTGAATGAGAGTCGGACAGCGTATCTTTAAAACAAAATCGAACTATGAGCACTGAATTAGAAAAATAGGTAGAATGGCAATGAATACGACTAGAACATATGCAATACCGTTTATGAGTAATAGATCTTTTCATATGTCACATTTGTCAGCATCATCAAAGAATACAAATAATAATAAATCATATTGTATTACTTTTAATATTTTCTTCATTTCTTTCTCATCAGTAATTCGTTACTCATCTCTTTGAATCCATTTCGAATGTCAAAATTCAATAATATTTTTATAATCAACTAAAGAACCTTTTTCTTTCATCTTTACAACATTATTTATTTTTTGTTGTTCATTTTTCTTTGATTGGATATATATAACTTACACATCTCTCTTAATAATCCTTTATTCTTTTGTATTCCTTTTCTCCTTTCGTTTTTTCGACAATCTTTATTTCATTACACTTTTTTCTTACCTCTGTCTCTCTCTCTCTATATATATATCGTTTGATCTAATATCACACTGATTATTCACTCTTTTATAAAAAAAAAAACCATTCATTTGACATCTTTTCTTACTGAAATCAAGTAAAAATAATGAAATTCTTCTTTCTTCTTTGCATCTTCGTGGTATTCTTGATTGAATTTGCAACCAGTACTCGTTGTATCTGTAAATGTTGTACATCTAGTGACTGTAGCGCTTCAATCTATAGTGACTCAACAACTAACTGATTCGATCTAAGCATTGTCTGCTGCTAGTGATGTTGATTCAACATGTGGCGCAACAAGATTAGCTAAGTACAGTATGAATATAGCGTTAGGTGTGATGATGATTGCAATAGTTATGAAGATCATTTAAGCACCGCGTCGGTCCTGAGTTAGGAAAGTCATGAGAAAAAAAACTGAGAGAAAAGAGAATTTAATAAAAACAATGTTTTTCATATTATAAAGTGTCATGAGATCATTTTAATGCTGCTTTGTAGTGTGATGTGAAGAAACTTGTTAGATTTTCTTCGCGAAAATATTCGCTAGAACGGTCGTATGAGACGTCACAAACGTGACGCACATTCAAATGTGCTGTAGATGAAGAGATTCTTCGATAAAAACTCATTTTCCATTACTGCATCCTTTGTTTCGTTTGTACATCTTCTTTTAGAAATGTTGACACGTTCTTATCATAGAAGATCTCTGTGAACAACGATATTCATTGAAATTAGTTGGAAACTACTAACTAAGCTGGTGGTACATTTCATTTTGAATCGATTCTACTTTTATGAGCCAATCCTCAACACAAGCAACTAATTTAAATAGCTTTGACAAAAAGAAGTTTAATTTTCTTTTTTTTTGACTTATTTATAATCTCTGATAAAGATCTTTTCATCTCATTGTTTTTATACAATGTATGATAGTGTAGAGGTAAGAAGGATGAAAGCCTTTTGTCCAAGTACATAGTTATACAGATTATAAGTATTATCAGGGATATATCATATTCCTCAGAGAAATAGTGCTGTTAGAAATCATACATAGGTTTAAGAACTATTCTTCTAAACATGTCGACCACTTTATATTTTTTCTGATGAAATAAATGTTTCGAGAAGTTATCATATTTTAAAATTATCTGCCGGGTTCGAGTACAGGATTCTAAGATATAAAAATAAAAGTAGGTGGACCTTTCAAATACACTGTCATTGCAAGGACATTGATGAGGAAGAGTAGTTAAAACACCCCAACCACTAATTTCATTTGACAATGATCGGATATGATAGAGCACAGAGATCGTGACATAGCAGGGCCATTTTGATGCTCTGCTAATTTTTTTCATAAACATGTTTTTGACGATAATTTTCTAATGAACTATATTAATATGAAGAGTAATTAGATATTTATTTTAGGAGAATACGATCTCATTTCTAATGTTTTTCATTCTAAAATAGTAAAAAGAAAATGTGAGGATTAAATAAATGTGTTAGTTTATCTATGGTTGACAGAATAAATCTAAATGTAATCTTTACGTTTAGAAAATAAATCTTACGTTAATCAGGTTTTTTCTTCAAAAACAAAAAGATAATATAGAAAATGACGAGTAAACGTTTTTATATCATAAGTAAATAGACAAATATGTCAGTAGGATATTCTTATTCATCATTAAAATCACTTCGATACGTAACATTAGTCATAAATGAAAGGGAAAAATTAATATAATAGATTTTTTTGAATATTTTATTTGTATTTCAGATATTGTAAATTATTGTAATCTGCTTGATAAGTATTAGAGATTAAATTTTCTTAGAAAGAAATTCTTTGTTATTTATTTTATAAAAACAAATCAGAAAATGATTTTCATCGTACAACGAAAAATAAAATCTTGAGCGATATTCCATATTGAATTAAAGAAAAAGCTTTTATCAACATATCACGATTTTTTAATAGAAAAAATCAAGTTATACGCCCTCTAGGACAAAAAACATTGCCTTGTGACTGTCTCTGATAGAACAGTCTTTAATACTGTAACATCTCTATGTAGAATATTTGTAATGACTAAAGACAAATAAAATAATGAAAAGAATTTGTCGATATATATATTGTTGATTAGGATAAAATAAAATAATTTTGTTATAATTTGATGTATTAAATAATGTTGTTATCTAATTGAATAAATGAAACACGAAATGATTAGTGACGTGGTAGTCTTTATTGATGTTTATGAAAAAAGAAAAGGATTTACAGAGTATATTTTTCATCTGCACAAAACTGTTCTTACAGTTGATAAAAGTGTAGTTTTGAATTAGTGACATAGTTTAGAAAAAATATAACTATTATTTAAGTTAATTTTTAGAAAAAGATCAAGATAAAGAAATCTTTCTGATCTTCAATATAACACAAATGTGGCTATGAATAATATTGTCAAAAAATCAATTAAAAATTCTCTCATCAAAATATGCGTCACATGTTTATGAAGAAAAAGAAAAACGGAATACACTATAACGAATAGAATTCGACAAAAACAAAATAGATACGACTAATGAAAATATGGATTGACTAAAAGATTTTTTTATTCTCATAGTTTTCAGCTTTTGAATATGTAAATACGCGGACATCTTTTTTAATAGATCGTTGATTAATAAAGATTTTCCACATACGATGAAATGACATTAAAATTGGTTCATCATTTATTCGAACAAGATCAGGATAAATATTTCGAAAATGAATTGTTGCTTCTTCTACAAAATTAAAATAAAAATAAAATGATTAAAAATCAAACTAAAATTTGTCTATTAGACCTAAATGATAATGTGGTACTTTTGTAAAAAGATGATGAATTTGATGTGTACCAATTGAATGAATGATGGAATGAACATGACCATAATGACGATCAACTGTTGATAATTGTCCTTTAACATTATTCCATTCAGAATCTCCATACCAAGGTACATCACTAAATAAATAAATAAATAAATAGATAAGATATATTAAATAGATTACATTTCTGTATGATGTAACATAGTTATAATAACTATATAACATGCAAAAATAAATACGGGAATCAAATGATAAAGAATTAAACTAATAAAGCCAATTGAAATTGCATAAAAATACATGAGATAACACTAAAATAATGAAATTAGTTTATTAAATTATTCAAATATAGAATATATCTACCATTCCTATATATGCACCAAGTGTGAAAGAAAGACCAATTAAATGTTTATTATAGAATAATGGTTCAAACTTAAATAAAAACAAATCTATTAAAGAAAAGAAAAGAAAAGAAAAGAAAATGTGTTTACTGGATTAAAATGATTTATTCCTCTTGGTCTATATCCAAAAATTAAATAATGAAACCAACCAATTCCAGGTAACCAATATAAAAGATAATTTTTAAACGATGCTTCATGTACTGCACCACGTTGAGGATAAAATACTTCATCTTTATCAATATTATTTGTATTTTTATGATGTTTATTATGTGTTACCTAAATTAATATAAAAAAAACACGAAATTATCTTTTATATTCTTTTAAAATAAAATATAATTTACCTTCCATGTATAATAAGGTACTAATATCCATGTATGTAATATTGTGCCTAAATAATAGAATAGAAAAATATCTTTCCACCTTCAATTTTTCTTTCATCTACATACCAACAGTATCATTCAATAATGGATACGAACTAAAACTTGAATGCCCACAATCATGTCCAAGTATAAAAAATGCTGTATAAAGAGTTCCTAAAATAAAATTCAAAGTTTTGTGAGCGAGGAAAGGAAGTAAATATGAACAAACCTTGTATATACCAATAAATAGGAAAAAGTAGATAACCATATTTAAATGATTTGTCTATTTGATACATAATAGAAAATGTTAAAATAACATAAACAATATCTTTAATAACATAGCTCATTGATCGACGAACACTTGAATGAAAACAATGAGCTGGAATTTCTCTTTTGATTTCAGATAATGTTGGCAATTGACATGGTGTTGTTGTTGTTGTCTCTTGTTCCTCACAAGAATTACCTTGAGTAAGTCTATTACACTCGGCTTTTTCCATTTATTGGTAAAGGAACTAAACAAATAAGAAGAAAATATCTACACTTGTTACAAACTCACAAAACAAAATATATCGATAGATGTAAACAAGAAGAAGAAGAAGAATAGAATATAGAAAAGACAGAACAGGACAGGACGACAGAAAAAAAAAAATCTATTATTGGCACAATGCCATAGTATTATTATTGAACAAATATTCGTTCAATAATATGAGACGTCTCTACCAATAATATTTTTTTTCTATTCTCTTCCCTCTTTTATTCTATATAGAGATAGTGTTCTCTTTCTAGACTTAGACTGAATCATTCTCTATAAACATGTAAACATTTCTAATAATAATAATAATAGATTGTCTAACAATTATTTTCATTTTAATCAAATATATTCGTTTCATATCTATGACCTTATCAGGTCAAAATAGAAGAATTTAACGAAAGAAAGAAAGAAAGGGTAGGTGTAACATTTAAGTACTTCCAAACAATATCTATATATGAATATACTAGTCGTTGTCTGTTTCCATCGAAGATGAAAAGAATAGGGAAAAAAATGTATTGGATCGTTCCATCTATCAACTAAGCAATTACGAGAAATAGATGACGCAAGCTGGAAGTTCCATAAGAAAATAAACCCGTTTAAACATCAAATAATTATTTTGTCTGTCTACGTTAGTATAGAAAATTGAATGATGATAAATAAATTGACATTGAATATGGATAATAATCATTTACTTAAATCTTTTTCTACACTTGACTTTTGTAAATGGAGACAATTAACATTTGATACGAAGAAATGCATCGAATTCTATCGACAGGATGTCTTCATTAGTTAGACTTTGAAATAAAGAGTGCGTGCAACGATAAAAACAATTACTCTTTCCAATCATATCACTCAAATTATGATCGAATATCAAATAAATAATTGAGTATTATGTCAAAAATGAGATATTTTATCTAGAAAATGAATGACTCCAACATACTTTTTCAATGGAAAATTACCCAAGAGATTTTGACAAGTTAAAATTATTTATATATGACAAAATATCTCCTATTTATCTTCAAATTTCATATATTTTTATATTAATCAATAAAAAAAATTGTTTTTCGATAGACATCGAATAAATTGAGATGATAAACAATATATATATAACAAAGATTTGCTTAAATAAAATCGAATCTTATCTTCTTTGAAATCTATTAACCTTTTTTTAAGATATTATAAAAGAAAACATTTCTTGTTTATGATTTCTATTTTGTGCAAGATTGATAGTAAATATATTTTGTAGAGAAAATAAATATGTAAACCGATACGTTGATTGTCGGGTGTCGATGTGGATAATTATTTCATTCATCATTTACTCATATTTATCAATATAGAATTTGTTTTTCTATGAACTCTTTTAACTATTGCGTGACGCACAAATAAACTACAAATATCATTAATTCCATTGTTTTCTTCAATACAAAACCAGATATTATTATTATTATTCGACATTTGAAAAGAATCTCAACGCATTTTTTCTTTACAATGTCTTGAAATACAATCACAGACAAAATTTTAATTGGGTCTCAAATATTTTTTTAGTCGCGTTAACATTCAATCATTTTTCCAACTGTATTTATACGTCTTGATTAGACATGATTTGACTTGAAAAAATTGTTGCTCTAAAAAAAGTTAACTGCGAGATCGAGATATTTTATTCATCTAAAGTTCATTAGAACTTTTAATAAAGAATATATTAGACGAAAATAATCAATATTTCTCTAAACGTTTTTTATGAATAATAATCAAAGAATATTGTCATAGTTTTCAAATATACAATGTCATTTTTTATTAAACTGGTTTATCTTCCTATTTGAATAATATGATGAAGAATTTTTTGTAATATATTTCTACTAAATAGATTATATAAATAGAATAAACAACAAAAAAACATGTAATATTAATTATGTTTAATCGACACGAAAAAAAATAAATGAAAAATTATTTTAGATATTCATATTTTAACTTAAAAGAAATAATATATTATTAAAATAAAATATTTAACTGATGAAATTTCCATTCAAATATAATTTTGTTTTTAATGAGAAAATATTTCAACTTCTATTTTATTCAGGAATACCACATCATCCAAATTGTAGTTTTGTTTTCGAATAAGTATTTTAAATTTTATAGATAGTTTATTTTGAGTTGTTTTTCTTGTATTATTAACTGTCTCTTCTTGTAATGAATATTTTCTAATAGTGTTACATTTAATATTTATGAAAGAAATCTATAAAGAGGATAATCAAGTTCATAAACCTTTTTTATTAGAAAAAATATTAGTTTAAGCGTCGAACAACTTAAAAATTGTTTACCAAATTAAGACAAAAGAATTGTCGATAGCTAAGATTTTGATTTGACATCTCTGGGTTTATCTCAATGCATGATGTAGATGAACAACTTGTGATGATACTCGGTTATGCTTTTCAAAATTTTTAGGTTTTATATCAAACACGTTGGAACACAAAATTATATTATGAATACAATAATATGCGTTTCAAAAAATCAATTCTTGTCGAAATGCTTAATTTAACTCACTTGAGACATGTTTACTGTTAACGCTTTGCACGCAAATCAAACGCATCTTAAAGCAACAAAATATTTACATGGGAGACAAATCGAATAGTTTTTCATAAGAAACACACTCCTATTCATCACTAGAATAAAACAAAAGAAAAAAGTAAAGAAATTATTTCTTAACCTATGGAGACGTTAAAATAGTTAGAAGAAAAGAAATATGCTAATGAAAAACAGGATGCATGTATATCACTTTACAATATGAAAAGAACAAAAATACATATGTTAAAATAAATAATCGACAATAAAAATAAAGAAATTGTAAAACAATCATATTTATTAAGATTAGAGGAGTTAAATTTACCTCTTTGAACAAATTAAATTTAAAAAAAAATCACAGATTTTGCTTCAATTTAATTAAATTAGAATATACACGATCCTTGAATTCATTTTCCTAATATAAATGTATATATGTCTTCCAAGATGAAAATGAATAAGCAATGAGACGAGAATTCTTATTTCGATTAGATGTTAAATAATATAGTACATTTGAAAATATTTTATTTTAGAATGCAAAAGTATCCTCTAGAAAGAAAAGAAAAGAAAAGGGGGGGGGGGCGCTGGCAAATACTTTTTCATTCTGTCTCGTATCCAAAAGCAAAACACTCGAAGAAAAAAGGTTTCATATTTTCCTCTTGCAGAACCGAAAAATGTTTTCTAGATCTTCTTTTTTTAAAGAGTGCAAAATTTGTGAATAATGAGATTGATGTATTATATAAACAATAATCCACCATCTTCATTCTCATTCTTCATTTTATTTCTTTGTTTAATTTTCAAAGAATTTCATTCCTATGAAAATTTGATTGTTTAAACAAGAAAAAAATTAATAGAAAAATATTTAAAATTATTTCAACTTGAAATTTTTGTAAAATCAATCATGTGATATTGAAAATTTATCTTTGTTGAAAAATCATATTATTTTATTGACAAGTTAATTACTCTAAATTGATCTACATTTCATTTTTATATAATGTTAATATGATCTGTCACAATATATCGTTTTCTCCAGTAATTTATCGTCAATTGTACATCAATTTTCTCTGTACGTTGTCCCAGAAGAAAATAATATTACAAGAAGAAAAAAAGAATTTACATATTTATTCAATGACGAAATAAATTTTAAGGAAAAAGTACAAAATAAAGTAAAGTGTATCATGTTTAAACATGCTAAATTGATCTTATTGAAAATTTCTATTGAAATTCAGCGAATACCTTTTAAAAAAGAACCTATTCATAACAGACAATTAAATTATTAATGTCACGATTTCTTATCGTTCCTGATATATAAACCCACATAGATCCTATACTATTTGACTTTGTATAATTGCACATAAATCGAGAATATACGGTTTGATAAACAACATAAGAAACCATAGGTCAGGTCATTTGTAGAGTTTCTTTTTTTAAACATCTAATCTTATTGATCAAATCTTGATATTGAATTCAAACAAATTCTCAATGACAGACTCGACAATAAAAAATATAGCAACGGTATCTCCAATAACTGCTGAAGCTTTAAAACCAGAAGGAAAGTCGCAAGAAAATCGTATTATTATTAAAGATTTTAGTTTAAATACATCGACTCATGGTATTCCAGGTATTGCACGTAGTGAAAGTATACCAAATCGTCTATTTTGGTCAATTTCTTTTATTTCTTTTTTGGGAATTATGTTATATTTTATAAATCAATCAATTCTTACATATTATTCCTATCCAACCCAGACTTTAGTTAGTCTTAGTGATGAATGGCCACAAGCTTTTCCAACAGTTACGATTTGTAATTATTCACCATTTCGTTATGATAAATTTATTTCATCTTTTTTAAATTATACAAATCCATTTAATTTAACAAATACAACTGATACAACAATATTTACAGAGCAACAATCACTTTCTATTCCTGATTATCTTCAATATAAACTTAATCGAAATGAATCTTTAACTGAATTTTATTATCCACTTAGTTCAATGCTAATTAAATGTGTTTATAATGGTGAAAATTGTTCATCTGCAGATTTTGTTGAATTTATCTCACCAACCTATGGTTTATGTTATACATTCAATGCTTAATCATCTCATATAAATAATGGTACAATACATTATAATAATGAAAATGGAGATAGTGGAGAACTTCAATTAGATTTCTATATACATAGTCATCAATATGTTCCATATTTAACTGATGGTTAGATAATATTCATTTCATTTCATCTCATTTCATTATATTAAATATAAAATATTTTATTTTTAGCTGTAAGTATTGTAACTATGGTTCATGATAATACCCAATTATCTCTTATTGAAAGAGTTGGTATTCAAATGGTACCTGGACGAAAACATAAATTAGAATCTAGTAAGAAAACGAATAGTTTTTTACCATCACCTTATACAACATGTAGTAAAATTGTTACACCTGGAATGCAAGCGATGTTTGATCAATTTTCAGGTGCAAAATATGATTATGGATTAAAAAATATGTTTTATAGTTGCTATGCAAACATATACGTATGTAGAATAATTCTTATTTATTTTATTAAAAATCTATTCTCATGATATTTAAAGATATGATCAATGTGATTGTGTTAGTCCTTATCAATGGTCTGCTCGTTATATTATTCCACATGGTGCAAATAATATTATTTATGCTAATCTATGTAATATATCTGATTCTTGTTATTCAAATGCAGCTGATAGATTTCAAGGTTCATTATCGATATCAAATGATTATGCTGCAAATTGTGGTTTAGAATGTAATACAAATGAATATGTTCTTCAATTATCTTCTGGATTAGCTCCAAGTTTATGGTATATGAATAGTATTAAAGAATTTGTTGAATCATCATCTATTCCATTACCTTTAAATTGGTCATCAACATAGTCAAATGAAATTCAAAATAATTATGTTAGTCTTGATATTGTATGTGGATCAACTCTTGTTCAAAGTTATACACAACAAGCAACACTTCAATCTGTTGATCTCATTTCAAATATTGGTGGACAAACTGGACTTTGGATTGGAATTAGTTTTCTTTCATTAATGGAATTTGCTGAAATGATCTTTAGACTTATTCGACGGCAAGTTTATCTTATTAAAGATAAAATACAAAAAAGAAGAAATATTTATGACACAAAACTATAATTCTGTTCTATAATATATTTTTTCTGTATAGATTTTATAGACAAAAGCTTTTTCGTGCATATCAATTCATATTTTACTTTTTCTATATCATGTCATTCATTTTGATTATTATAGTATAAAAAACAAGAAATAATGTGTTTCTTTTTTTCTTTTTCTTTGATAAAAAAAAAATATTATTTATAGAGTGTATCTTTAAATTGTAAATATTTCATAAAAGCAACAATTAACTACTTCATTTCTATAGAAAACATCAAACCTAATGTAATAAGAATATTATTGATAAAATCTTCTATTGAAATATTTACTTTATTGCAAAATATCCATGAAATAGACTTTTCAAAGCAAATGTATAGAGTGATCTGCTTCTATTGTCTATGAGATATTTTCAAGGAAATTTTCTTAAGAAATATTTCCATAAAAGAACTAAAAAGAGGAATAAATTGTTTAATCATATATAAAATAAACCTTTATTAAATCATTTTATTTATTTGATAAGAAACTATACAAGTACGTACATCTTTGAAAATCTTTTAATAAAAAACTAAAAAAATATGAACTCTAGTAGAGCTTGGATGTAAATGATAAGTATTGTTTTTTGTTAAGCATAATAACTATGTGAAATAAGTACATCGGCAAGAATTGCCAATTGATCTTCTGTAAATTGTTGTCGATGTTCATGCCATGAATCATGATGAGTACGACGAAATTCAGATAAACATTTTTTAATTGATTTCTAAATAGATTTAGTTTCATTTGATTTAACATTAAATAATACTCAAATAGAAATACTTGAATTAAATCAGGATCATGTGAATGTTCGCAGAGAATCATCAATGCATCTGGTACATAAATTGGAATATCATATGGACTCGAACTAACTATCGCACAAACTCCCAAAATACCTACAACAATCATAATCCAATTTAATCGAGCAAAACATATCGAATAATACTTATACTAACCTCCATGTCGTTTGACAATATTTTTCTGTAATATCACTTTTTTGCCGTTGATTTTTGTAAAATAAATCGTCTTGCTTATTTCACGAAAATATTTCTTTGATAAACAAAAGTGAATTTTAATCGAAGAAAAAGTGTTTTCTTACAAGATATTCATGAGTAACTTGAATATAACCACATTGATAGAAACCAGATAAAGTAAGTGATGCAGCAATTCTTACTTCAAGTTGTTCATCAAATAAACATTTGAGTACAATTTCATGGAATTGTTTAGCATAGGGACGAGCATTAAATAAATTCGAAAATATCATATTTTGAATAAATTCAATAGCTGATTGACGTGCATGCCATTTGGAACTTGTAGAAACCTATAAAAAGAAAAATATTCTTATCTTTAATTTAATATTTTCATGTAATATACTTGAGTTAATTGTTGAATGAGTCTTTCTAAATATTCTGTATTTAAATAACTTATAGCAGTATATAATCGACTAGTTGTTAAGTTTTCTTTGAATGTATCATCATTAATTGGAATATTTTCAATTTCACAAAGCTACAAAGATAAATAAACTTCAATGTCGAATATATACATGTGTACATACATAAGCAAATAGTCGAATAATTCCATTTTTAATCGGTTGTCTAGACCAAGAGAAGAATTGTGAATGTATTTCAACCACTAAATTAGATTGAAATAAAAAAGAAAATGTAAATATATCCTATAGTTTTACCTGATTCAATGAAATTTAATGCTTGACGAGTTTCAGAATCAATGTCAATGACATGATCTGAGAAATTAATTAACAATATGATTAAATAAAAATTTATAAAATGATAAAATTTCATTTTACCCAATGGTGTTTTTTCGTATGTTTCAATTGTTTTTTGTAATCGTTGACATATGAAATCAATCAATTGATCAACATTAGGTTGACGTGTTGATTTGCCATTAAATAATGTTATATCAAAACTAAGTGATATTGATAATACACTAATACACAAATAAATATTTTCATTCTCATTTAATATAAAATAAAAGTAAATCTTACTTAATAATTTGTTGTCTTACACCTTTATGTGAATGATCTATTAAGAATTTCGCATGTTGATTAATATGCGACCAGACTGATGGAATACGCCATTGAAAACAACTTAGATTTTGTATTAAAGACCACTGAGCTATTTCAGTAAATGTACTCAATATTATTTTATTATCAATCAATTTAGAAATAAAATTAATTAATCGATACATTCGACGAGGATCTCTATTTTCCTTTTATAAATACACAAATTATTTTATTAGACAAAGAGAAACTAAAAATAATTAACTAACCATTGAATATTTAAAAGATTTATTCCAATAATTAATTGTTTCAAAATTAATATTTAGAAAAAGTTCATTAAGAAATGGTGTAAGTTTTATCCAAAATTCATCGAGCTAAATTGAAAATACTTTCTAAAATAAATTTCTTTAAATTCTCATATCTTTTTCTTCACTTACCATTTCTAATGTCCAATGTTTTGATCCACGAATCATTCCAGCTACAATTTCAGCTGCTATTCGATGACTTCCTTCTTGTTTTTCTTTTCTTCTTTCACGCATTAATATATATAATTCTTCCATAAAATTATCGAAAAATGCAAGACCAAAATTACGAAATAGACCCTATACATACATACAAACAATTATTTACAAACTACATTCTGTATATATAGATATCTACCTTGAACATGGAAAATCTCATTTGATCAAAATCCATCTCATCTTTATCTTCGTCTAAAATCATCAATTGAATAATTTGTTTAATAAAATTTTTGTCAATAAATCGATTATATAAAATAGCGACATCATCTGGCATATTATTAATTGTATATCGTATTCTTTTATTTAATGAATATTTAATAATTTTTGGCCAAGAGAAATATCCATAAAATGATTTATCAAGAAAACATGTTTGTTCCCATTGAATTTGTGTTTGAGGTGGTTTATAATCATTAAATGTTAACCAGAAATTATCATCACGATCACCAGGATGAGATGCATCATTAGTAATAATTGGTATTGGTTTATTTTCATTTTCAACAATTTCTTCGAAACATTTTTCAACATAAATACGTGGTGGTTTTTGTAAACGACAAATAGCTCCTATGAGTTTTTCAGCACACTATGAAAAAATATGGATTTACAATATGATAAATTTCTTTATTTGAATTTGTCAACAAACTTTTCGTAATTGAATATTATCATGAAGAAGAAGATCGACAAATATTTGAATACATGATGATCGAATTGGTAGATATTTTTGAAGAAGAAGACATAATAATGATATTGTTGTCTTTTGTTGTCTCCATGTTCTAAAATTTGATTAAAAAACTAAAAATATTTTCTTATATAAACAAAAATAAGACTTACATTGATGTATCATTTTTAAGAAAAGAGCAAAGTCTTTCCATTAGATTATTATAAGATTCAATATCATTTTTATTATATTCTTCACGTGTTTTCATTTCATTTGTTTCTAATGGATGCCATAGTAAAGCTGCTGCTTGTATTGATAATTCATTCGTATTTTGAATAATAACTTCCATAACAAATGTTTTACAAATTTTTTTTGTAATATTTTCAATTAAATGTTGAATAGTAGATTTATTTGTAGGTGCCATTTGTGCAATTGATAACCATAGTTTTTCTTTCATTTCCCATGAATATTGAGTAGGGAGAAAAAATGAATTATTACCAAGAAGAATATAGAGACAACCCTAAATCATATTTCTCTTTCTTAATCAATTCAAGTAGAAGAGAAAGAGAAAGATAACATACTTTGATTTGATCATGATTATCTTCATCTGATTTGTTAAGTAATTGAATAATTTGATGAAGAATTATTTGAAATGAGAATCGATAAGATTTAAGTAGACAAAGAAGATCATTTTGTGCTTGACGACGTATTTCACTATATCGATTTATTGACAATTTAAATAATTTTAATATTATTTCTTTATCAATATCAGTTAAGATTCCAAAATTATTTAATTGAAATTCCTAAAACAAAATCTTTCTTTTTCATTTTATTTATTTGAATATTTTTGATTACTTGAATTTGTAATGCCATTTTGTTAATTGTTAAAAAACGAATATTTTGTCCTTGATTACATAATTTATTTTTTAAGATTTTTTCACGACATATAAAATTTTTATGTAAATCATCAACAACATCTTTGAATATACCACAATAAATAGATATCAATGGATAAAACTACAAAATTAATATATGTACAGTTGGAAATAAGACATTGGAAATTTACTTTTAGTGCACTTATTATTGAATAAATATCATCGGAATGATTTTCTATTAGTATATCTAAAGAGAAGAAAGAATCAAATATTTACATCTATTGATTATTTCTGATTAAAATATTTACCGAGTAATTTTCCAATATCAATAAAAAGACGCATTCGTAAATTTTCTTTAAGTTCTAAAAAGAATGAAAAAATTCAAATATAATTATGAAATATGCAAAAATAATTTTCGTTACTCAATTGTTTTGAATGAATTAAATTTTGAATTCGATATTTTGAATCATGAGGAACAACTGATGGTATACTATTAGATTTATTTGATTTAAATATTTATTTCGATTTAATATTTCTACTTACAGTTGATCTATTTGTTTTGTTTCAATTCGAGGTATCATAGTGAAACATCCAATAGCTATAAATTGTATAATAGTTAATGATCTTAATCGTTCATTATTTGATAATTTTAAAATTTTATTATTTAATAATGTTAATTCCGAATAAATAAATTTATTAATAAATTCACATGCAAAATCCATTTCATCTTCATTTGGAATATGAAATTGAACTTGAAGTTTATCAAAATCAGTCGATTGTCCCCATGACTAAACAAATTATATTACAATTTTCTTATTTATCTAATAGATTTTATTAAAATTTACTCTAATAGGTAGAAAATCGTTGAATGATTCATCAAGATTTTGTGTTGTTAATCTTGAATGAATTGGATAAATGTGCGTAAGTGATTCAAGTAAATTTTTAGCAGCATTAGCAACGGTTTCATATGAATTTTTATTAATAATATGAATCGATTGATTAAAAATTTGAATAATTTCATTTTTATAAATAATTAAAGTATCACCACGAGCACGAACAAGATCAGAAAAAAGTGTTAAATACCAAATAAGTTCAATATTATCTTTGTCATCAATTAAGAATAAATTTGATTGTGAATCATTTAAAATATTTTCAATTGATTGACATGTTTTAGGTAAAAGATATTTAATTGTTTCAATTGGATTACCTTTAATAAGTCCTTGAACAAGACTAGAAATAATATCTCGAACTTTAGGTGAAAGACATTCACCAGTTATATAATTTATTATTTTATCTCGAACTATCTAAACATTTTCAAATTGATTCTTCTAGAAATAATTCAAATCTCGAGTTTTGTGTCATACTTGAAATATTTTATTACTAGAATGTTGAACAATATTAAATATAATTGATGTTAATTTTGATTTAATTGTATTATCAATAGTATTAATATCTGTATCAATAATAAGAGCATCAGATATATCTGTAGATAAAATATTAATCATTTTAAATATTCGATTAAGAAATTCAATAATAAAATCTTCAAATTGTTTTGTTAATAAACAAACTTCTTTTTCAATCTAAATCATAAAATAAAAGAAAGAAAAGAATTTATTAAAAATAAAACAAATTTATTTAACTTCTGTTAAATCATTTCGAGTATTGATTGCTGATGAACAATCAATACAACTAATAACCAGAAGAATTGTATCAAGAAATTCCAATGTAACTGACATTTTTTTAAAATCATTTAAATCAATTCCAGGTAAAACAGAGAGAAGTAATGGTAATACATACATTTGTCCTTGACAATATGAACATGTTTGTCTTACAATTTGACGAACAATACATGTTAAACATTTTACAATTGATGGAAAACGATGTGGTTCATTTATACTTTCAATTGATGAAAAATGTCTAAACAAAAAATCAATTTAATTTTCTAATAATTTAATCTAATATAAAATGAAACTTTTCAACAATTGATGGTATAATTAATTCTGGTCGAAGTATTGAAAGATATTGACAAGCTTTAGCTGCTTCTTCAACATGATCTTTATTAAATATTGAAATAAAAGCATATTCTTTGATACAATTAACAAAATCAATAATATCTTCTTCAGTAAGTCGATGAGATTTTAATGGAATAAAATACCAAACAGGATCAACTTTTCGTTCTCTAAAATATTTCTTTTCTTTTTTTAACAAATAAATTACATATTGAATATAATATTAAATAACTTACAAATGAACACGTTCAACAAAATGTTCAGCAAGTTTTAATATAAAATGAACAAGATTTTCTTGAAATTCTCCTGTATTTGATGGATGATAAAAAGTTTTCATACTGAATAATAAATCTTTTAAATATTGTAAACATAAACTTTGATTTCCTATCATTGCAACAATCCATTTAGCTGAATCTGATACAATATAAGTATATTTTTGAGATGACATTTGCATTTTACCAATTGGAAGTGAAAATCCTCGAAGAATACGAGTAAAAATCTAATAAAAAAAACAATTTTTATATTAAAAACTAAAAAGAAATTTGTTTATACTTGTGGTAACCAATTTTCCCAATTAATATAACCAATATTATTCCAAGCTAATGATGAAAAGATATCAGTGACACGCTAAATTTTATTATTAATGATGATCTAATCCATAGAATATAATTTTTGAAACAAACTTACTAATTCCCATCCGGATTTATTATAAATATTTTGCCACATATGAAAAAATTCAGGTAACCATAATCTAATGAAAAGTATTTATGAAAAAAAGAGATGAGGAAAATAAATAAACAAACTTAAATCCTTGATCATGTAAATCTGGAGGTAAATTAACAGGAAGAAAAAGTTCAAACATTCTCATTGCATCACAAAATCCCCATTCAATCGGACACAATTTTGGACGTAATTCATCAAGAATTTCTTGAGTAGCTGTTGCGGAAAAGTATGGAGAACAACGACGTACACAGAGAAGAAATGAAATTGGAATGTATCTTAATGAAAAGAAAAGAAAAGAAAAGAATAGAATTATTTTATTTTCATTTTTAATATTAAAGTCAACAAACTTGTGCATTGAGACTAATGAATAAGTTTTCTCATGATTATTATGAATAAGTTGTGCCCAATTATAAAATATTTTCCAATTTATTATTAAATCATTTCGAGTGATCAGACGAGTCTTTCTAAAACAAAATTCTTTTTGTTAATATTTTCAATTTTTATTTAAAGAAAAGAAAATACAAACCGTAAGAGTTCATAGAGTATATCAAAACATATTTGTGCATGTAAATAATTGAGATCAGAATTAGAAAGAATAGATATATAAAAATGAATTAATTTTATATGATTAATTTTAGTAAAATGAAATCCATAAAGTGAAAGAAATTCTTTCAATTTGTTTGACCAAATTGAAAATCCTGGTTCGAATTCACTTAATTGGATTGTACGTGATAAATTTTCTTGAATTTCATTAAATAATACAGTAGCATGTTCTTTGATTAATTCGTGAAATGGTGAATATTCATTGTAAATATTAGGTTTTTGAAGATTACTTTCTTCGTTATCATCTGACTGAACATCCATTTAGATTTCTTCATATAAAATATAATTAGATCAATAGTATTAGAATAAAATCATCAGATATCATATTCATAACTCCACTTCTTTTCTTCTTTTATACAAAATTAAAAATACGAATAACATTTTACAATATTTCATTAAATATTCATCAAGACTGACGTTAAGAAATAGTGAATTTATTTTCTTAATGTACGCACGATATTAATATGTTTCTTGATGATTTCATTGAAAAGAATAAAGATTGTGAACTAACATATTACTGTATTTTTGAGTTCATTAGATAAAAAATGGTTGTTGAAATGCTGATTTTTGTATTATAGAATATAGAATTAAATTGTCTATTTAGTTCTAATAATCTAGTTATTTCTCCTTCATCTATGTTATGTCTATGAGTGGATACTAATTTCTCTCTCTCTCTCTTTCCCCGTCTATGTACAAGATTATCCAACGCTTATTTTTTTTTCTTTCTTCATTGATGGACAATTATCTTGTGCTTACCATTCCTCTTTTTTTTTACTGATGTCATATCTATTTGTCCTTGTTCTGATATCTGAACTGACATTCTTGATATTTTCTTTTGTATCTATATTCTAGTATTTATCCTTATAGGAATTTGTCTTTACTCTTCCTTTCTATCGATGTTTATGCCTAATAGATTTGTTATGGATGTCGTAGTATAGAAGAAATATTCTATCAATATGATTTTCAATATACAAATAAAACACCATCTATTATCAAAAATCATTAATTGAATCTTTAAACTATGTGTGAAAAAATGTAATTTGTTGTAAATCTTAGTTATTGTTTAATCAAATCATATATAAATAAATATATCTTTAGAATACATTAAGTCTGAAATTTTTGAATTCCATTCGAAAATTAGCTTCGAGGAATCATTATTTATCTTTGAAAGTTAATAATCATTCCACCTTTAAATACTCTACTCAAAATCTGCTCGATAAGGATAAATTTTGAACACGAATATGAATATTTTTGGTTCCGATGAAGATAGGATAGATTCAGTGCAAAAATAAAAATCATATTTTCACGTACCTCGAATTGTTTTGTGTTTGATGTTGTTAAGTTTTTTTTCTTTATGAATGAAAATATGTTTTCACTTCGACATGTTGTTGATGAATTTATTCGTTCTTTTCTTTTTTTTTTACTTCTAAACTTGTAAAATGTATGTAATTCCATGTAAATATTGACGAGATTATTTTTAACTTATTATTTTCTCAGTATACTCTTACTATGTTATGACTGTTAATTGAAGATGTCAGTGTGAGTGTTATAACAGATGAACCATATGTTCCATCCGCACTCATATTTTGTATAATCCCACTTTAGTTCCACTTGAAAAGTTTAGTATAATGCTTTTTCTAGATAATAAAATAAAGAGTTAATTACTTAGAAGATTTTAAAAAGAAAATAAATTCAATCGATATGATATTTTCGTATTTGATGATTAGTCATATCTGCCATATATAAATAGATGGATGGGTGTGGGTGTAAATACTCTAAGAAGTTCTAACATATATGTGTACGATGAAAAATCGTCTGACGGAAGAAGCAAAAGGATAATTCTTTTCAACCATAAGTGTAAAAACAATACGTTTGTCATTGTCTTTTCTATTTATGAATTTGTGGAGTGCTGAAACTTTCGGTTGTTATAGATCTTGAAAGATAAACATAAACTTGAAAATATCTTTCATATTGGAAGCCACTCTGTACGCATTGAATTTCGAAGTCCACTTATAGTATTCTCTAATTTCATAGCTAAAAATTCGAAAACTTCTGTTTTTTATGTATGATGTGGATGTACACTCCCTCATACATCCTCCCCACGAGAGTAAATAATACTTAGGATATACCAGAAGTCTTTACGAAGCGGAGCTATATAGGCTTCTTATAGAATGTTGTAAGCAATTTTACTTTTCTATATCCTAATAGTAAAAACAAAGCTTTACATTTCTACACTATTTGATCATTATTCATCTGACAACATGCAGTCTGAAAAGTTCTACAATTTACATAAAAGAGCCTATTTTTTAGTTGTTCGTTTTCTTTTCAAAATGATCCAATGTTACAACGTGCTAAATGATTACAATTGAAATACAAAGCACAGTTATTAATATGGCTTAACCGTTAGTTAAGTTCATACAAAAAGAATTTTCGTCGCAATTTTATTATTATGATGCCAGATTACTAATGATCAAATAGTGTAGAAATGTAAAGCTTTGTTTTTACTATTCGGGTATGGAAAAGTAAAATTGTTTGGAACATTCTATAAGAAGTCTATATAGGTACGTAAAGACTTTTGGTATATTCTAAGTAATAGTAAACTTTTCTTTCGAAGAAAATATTTTGGTAAATAAAATGAAAAAGAAATTTGAATGATTGTCATATCTATTTTTGTTGACTCATCAATGTTGGCGTCATTGTTGACAAGAGACACCAAAAGAAAAAGCAAAAAGATAGACGTATCTATCAACAATATGCGTTCTTCGTATTTTTTCTGGGATAATGTATTTTTTGTTGCACACCTACTTTTCTTCCATATGTAGATATCGGTCAACATCAACTATCATCTTAAAGATATCAACATTAATTGAAAGAATAGAGAAAGAACAATTCTCAGCAAATGATACTTGAAAAAAAGAGAAGAAGCTTCTCAATTTCTAACTATGCGCAATATATTTGTAAGAAAATATTATTATCTTTCTTTTTCTTTCTACAAATTTCTTGTCGTAGGTGGTTTTTCTTTCTATAATTATATTATTTGTACAATTACTTACGAATGACCAAGTATATATACACTTTCTCTGTCTATTTTCGGACAGTATTTTCTTTTTTTTTTCTGCTTCTTACTACGTTCTATATTGGTATTTATTTCGATTGAATTGAAAAGATATAGAATACAACAAAATCTATTTCTTATCAACATATTCATATAGATCAATCGGTATTAGTTATGATGACGAAGAATCAATTTTTTTTATAGTAAGTTCATATTAGATATCTTTTGAGAATGCATTTTTTTCGAAGAATAATTCTATAATTATTCTTTCTTCTAAATAAACAGATATTTTTATAATTCAATGTCATAATACCTTATAACTACAAAATTCAAATGATGTTTTACCATAATTAGTATAAAATAGTTCAATAATCAATACAAATTATTCATTAACATTAACAATTAACTTCTGCAATTTGTGAATGAAAAGATTATTTAAAATATTGATGAATATATTATATTGTAAACACATTTTACTATTAATAATAAATAATCTATTAAAAATCAACATTTAACTAATTATTGATTATATATCATTTTATGAAATGAAAGAGTATGAACATGTTAAACATAGAAATAATATGATTACAAAATTTCGTTTTTGTCTTAGAGAAATTTTCTTGTATTTTTCTAGATAAAAAACACGAAGTTTTAAGTGAACAAACTTGAAATTAAAAATTTTAGTGTGATATTTATCATGAATCAACAACAACAAAAATCTGTAAGTTTTAAACTTAAGCTTGTGAATATACTTACACTAGTTTAAAACAAAAGATATGAAATAGAATGTTTTCTATGATTTATATTGACTGATAATTATGATTATATTTTTTTTTCTTCAAAGACTAATGAATCAAGTGATTACGACAATTGTCAATCATCATGTTCACCATTGAATACTGATATAATAAAGAAAGATATTCCACAGAGAAATTTATCATTATTATCAAAACGAGTTTTTCATATTTCAAATTTACTTCCATCAGTAAATAATTATGAAGAAGAACGCGAAATTGCAAATTGTATAAATCAACGTTTACCTATTGGTCCTTGTAGAATATCAAGGAAAGCAGTTACTCTTATTGAACGTACTATTTCTAATGATATTCCATTATTTGATGAAACAAGTATTACTCTTAGTCAACTCCGTCGTTCTAAAACACCTCATCCACATAAATATAAAGCATCAGCTAATTTAAAACAACAGTCAGGTGGTCAACTACACACTAGTACATTGGCTATGTGTGGTTATAATGAAAATACAGAAGAAACACCAATTAATCTAGATCATCTACGTCGACAACAATCAGGAGGAATTAAAAAAACAGCTAAATCGATTTCACAAATAAATCTTCTTAATGATTATACAGATCTTGATGAAACTGCTATTCTTATTGGTCAAATTTATCGTCTTGATCCACCACAAATAATTCAATATAAATCTCCTCTTCATATTCAACCATCAATTAGTTATACAAAAAAAAACAAGTTCTGTTCTTAGTCAAGAAGAACCTGCTGAAGAAACATCTGCTAATATATATCAATTGAGACAACCAACATCAAAAAAAATCTCTACAACTAATGGTGATCGTGAATGTCATTGTAGACTTATTTAATTTATCTATTACACATACTCACATTAAAACATTTCATTCTTTCTCATACTCATGCACACTTTCAAGATATATTACATTTTTAGTTAGTGAATCATATTATTTTATTACAAATCGTTAAAAAACAATTCTCAATACTAAATTTCATTGAATTATTTAGAAAATGTTCTATTTCAAAAATACTTTGTAAATAATTTTATGAAAAGTTTTCAAATAAAATTCTTTCATTCTTTGCTTTATTATATAAAAGAAAATTAGATTTAGGAAAAGAAAAACCTTTTTTTTATCATAGTACATATTAACACAACGATTCAACAAATTCATCGTTTGTTATTTTAATTGTACAGTTTTTATATGACTAATCATCAGGTAGACACCAAGCAATTAACGTTAGAAAATGACACATGTTATTCACGAAATCAATGATATATTTCGAGTATTTTTCATCAATACAATACGATTTAATATGCTTACATAATCGAAAATTTAGTTCATCAATAATACTTTATCGAGAATAAATAGTGATAGTGGAAGATGTTGAATACTACGAAAAAAAGATATAGAAAAGTAAAAATAGTTCTTTCTAATAGCATTTTCTTTTAACTTTTCTTAATATATCAGCATTAATTGTCGAATTGTTGACATAAATAATATATTAGAGTTTAGCTTAAATATCGAAATAAAGTACAAACAAAAAAAAAAAAGTAATGAAAATTTTGTTGAATAGTTGTAATATTAATAATATTAATAATGTAGAGTAGCCATTTGTTTTTGTTTTAAATGTTCATGTACCGTAATTGTAAAATATTTTGATTTTGTTAATGTACAACTTTTACATGGTAATGTTTCAATGCGAGTATTTAAATCTAGTCCACTAAGGAATACAATAGAATATCTTAATTGTTCTATTCTTGCAACACGATGTTTAATAGATATCCAATAATTATTTGTCCATTTTTCAATAAATTCACCACCAATTAATAATAAACTATTTGCTTTAGGATCAACACGAAACCATTTTCCATTCATATTTACTTCTAATCCTGCGAAATAAATGAAAATTAAATTTAATAGAAATGAAAATGAAAATGTTTGTACCTGGTACATTATCATTTTGTAATAATGTAAAACCAAGATAATCTTGATGTTCTCCAAATGCTAATTCTTGATCATTTTTATTTGGTAAATAACGAGTTAATCTTAAACCATATAAAGCATTATCATTTGTATAATTTCTATCAAATGTATTTTCATTTAATTCCAATGCAATATCAGCAATATTATGAACAATAGATATTAATTTTCTTGATTGAAATATATATTCTGGTATAACATCGCGAAATTCTTCAGGTAATTTATCAATAGAAAAACCAATTGTTTTCATTGAGATTTAAAAAATGTAAAAAACGCTTCAATAGAATCAATAGATGATGTTTGTTTTTCTCCTCTATAATTTGAAATAGATTCAAATCCTAATGGTTTATATCCAGGTGTGTATAAACCTGTACTATTCAAATAATATTTCATTTTCATTTTTGAATCTAATGAAAAAAATTCTTTGGCTTTATCAATTAATTGTGATGTTAGATTTGTATTTATTAATCGAATAAAACCATATTCATGAAAAGTTTTATCAGATAATAATCCAATTTCTTTTTTTCTCTTCATTTCTACCACTAACAAACTTTGATATATCAATTTCATTTACATTTATTGAACACAAATTATCACATTGACCTTCATTATCAAATCCACTAACATAGATTATAAGTAGAAAAATAATAAGATATTTCATCTTAAAAATAAAATTTATCTAAAATAGAAATAATATTAAATACGAACGTTATATATCCACTCTCATCGGATATTAAAATTAATAAATACATTCATAGGATTCACAAACGAGAACTATTTCCAATCAATAAATGCTCGCTTTTATATACTAGGAGCCTATTGATTTGACGAAAACAATAATGAATGAGTGTAACTTATACATGTAATAATAAATGACCGATTCATGTAAACATTATTCATGAAGATCAACAAGAAAACAAAGAAACGTTATTGGTGCATGTTATAAACATAGTTACAGAATAAATATGTATATATATTGTAAAACAATTTAAATACTGCGATGCAATAACAATGATATATACGTTCACAAAATTAGTATTCAATCAATCTCAATGTTTAAATTTAATGAAATATGACTGAATAGAAATATCGAAAAAATATTCGTTTCTTGATCAAACATTTCTTTTAAATATCGTTTCAAAGTATCTTTTCAAATTAATTTTAGTAGATGAATCTTCGAAAAAACTAACAAATTTTGAAGAAAAGTGTTTTTTTCGAATTATTTCAGTTGTTTTATGGTCCCATGAATCTTTTTTGAGAATATTATGTAGAATAATTTTAAAGATTTTCTTTTAGAATATTTCAACGAGATCAGTGCGAGCTACAAAAACAGCGAAAAAAAATGATACTTTGGGAGAACATTTCTCATGCATAGACATATACTCCTGACTATCTTCTACTGAATGGTGAAAACCGCAGGTTCATATGACTTTCCGTTTGAAGAGTTGTGAATTTTTCTTCCATGCGTCTTATTTCAAAATTCTGATAGTAATTTCAAATGTTTTCTATGAGTTGTATGCCATTTCAATGTTATTTTACTGTTCTTTTATGTACTTGAATATGTACAATAAGATTAGCTTTGCATTTTCTCTTGTTAACGTTCACTTTATTTTTTTCATTCTTTTTCTCTCTTTTTATTTTTTCATTCTTTTTGTGCTAATGTAAAGGAGTCGTGCATGTTTTTTTTTTTGTACTATTCAAACAAAATTCTCAAGTCAACTGTGTCCTTTACATTGTAATTTTTTTTATTTTTTTTTTGAGAAAATCCATTTTTAAATGAACTGAAGCATTTTCAAACTTATCTAACTCGTTCATCGAACTTTAAACAATCGAAAATTGCTTGCTTTTCTATGTTGTAGAAATCTAATTCGAAAATTAAATTTCTTATTGTCAAAGAATAAAAAAATCATTGATGATTTCACATAGTCTTTGCTAGAATTCCTTCATTGAACCCTAACTTATTTTGTTGTTTACAGTATATACTATTTCACTAATCATTGACACTGAATCTATTGATGTACATCAGCCCTCACTATCGATAATAAAAATATCGAAGTTTCAGTGTTGTCAGTAGGACATCATATATTCATATTTCTAATAATTTTATTTCTATTATTTTTTAGATTAAAATACTATTTACTTAAATGACCGAAATATTTATAAACGAAGAGTCAAATAAAAAACCACGAGTTTATTATAAAAAAATCACTTTACCTTGTGATAATATTGGCTACTATTGGTGCATTTATGTTTTCAATGATTTCCAATAATTCTTTTAAATCAAATATACGATTTCTACAAAAAGACAACATATTCAATGGTTATAGAGCAACCCTCGATTTTTCAAAAACGAATATATTCAGTTCCGAAATAGGAATATCCTACTTGCGACAAAATGAACGTCAATATTCCTCTAAATTTCGTTGTACTGGATCCGAAAACGATATTGATGCATGGAAAGAACGTCTTTGTGTATTTTACAATACGTGCTATAATAAAGATACTAATCAATTGGATTATTTTCGATTTTTACCAAGTAAACCAAAACCAATTTTCTATGACGCAGCTAAACGTATGTTATATGAGTTCAGTAAAATTAGTAGAGATACTGGATTTGTATCACTTTCAACAGATGGAGAAACACCATATGCACCAGTTATTGTTAATGAAACATATCCGACAAAAAATTTTACCAAACTTTATCATGTACATAGTCTGATGAAAACTCATTTTGGTGCTAATGACATAGGACATGGACTTTGGGAAGAATTGGGATCTATTTCGTATTCGATGGAACGAATGAATATAGTTGATCGAAAATTAATTATTATGCATTTAAATAAAATGGAAAATACGAGTTTATTTCGTACATATCATCAATATGTAATACCTGCATTAACACAAAATTCTATGGTGGAATTCGAACTTTATATGAAATCCTTTAATACAAAATATGTATGTTTTGATTCTTTAATTGTTGGTGGACAAATGACCATTTTAAAAAATCCACAGACAAAAGAAAATTATGGACGTGAAGCACTTTTCTACAACTGGAGATCAAAAATTATACAGTATAACGGATTTGATCCTAATTTTATTCCAAAAAAAACATCATATTATCATTACTAATAAATCAGATTCCCTGTGGACGCATCCTAATGCAAAGAGATATCGTGCAATTGCGAACTTAGAAGAAGTAGAAAAGTTCATTAGATATACTTACCCGAACATATCTACTGAAGTAATTGAATGGCACACAATTCCATTTGATAAACAGATTGAGAAATTATTACATACAACTATATTAATTACACCATGTGGTGGTGTATCATTAATATTACCAATGCTACCGCATGGTGCACATGCAATAGTAATGGATTATTATGTTACTATGCCACTCCATGGTTTTCAAGTTGGTCAAAGTGGTTCACTCGATGGTGCATTCTTAAATCATATTTCTCATGTTCGGATACAATATTATCAGATCTATGGTCCAAATGATTATCAATTTGATTTTCCAGAAGGTAGAAATCCTCAAAATGATGCATCCATTATTATAAATACGACACGTTTACAATTACTAATTGATAAAGCTTTAGAAGAAATGGAACTTGAGGAATAGTTCTAGATATTGATAGTATAAGAGATCAGATTTTATTGACTGCATTTGAGGCAATTCAGTTTTCTCACAGAGATCGATCGAGATACTTGTTCACACAAAGAATAAACATCTAGTTAATGTAGTTATTGACCTTTTCTTTCTGTTTTATCGATTTTTACTGTCGTTCTTTTTTTTATACAGTTAGATAGTGAATCGAATCTCGTATACAGCTCTATATGACTCAGGTTATTTCTTTGTCTGACAATGTGTACTATACATTACTTGCGAGATAAGAATATTCTTCTCATTGTTGATCATCAAAACAAAAGCGATCAGAATTGAGAGAAATCTTGAATATTTTACAAGTCATCAGAAAAAGCCATTGCAGTGAGTTCTTTGGATGATGATATAAATTCAAACATCTGAAGTAAAAAAAAGAATCAAAATCTGATGGTGAATTTGTGAAAGATCATAGAATGGTTGAACAAGTAATGTCAACTCCTGAAGATGGTAGAGTCAATTCTATCAATGGCTAACGACATTTCATCACTAACGACGTTATAAGACTTATATTATCCAATAAATGTTGTTAAAAATAATGAAGAGAGAGTATATCACACGTTACATACAGCCTTCTGTCTAAGAATAAAGGAAAAGCCTGGGGCTCATCAGAGGGTACCATCGCCTCAAATATGTTAAGCAAGACTGATTTCTGGAAAAGGATTCTCTCAGAGCTTTATGTCACGAAAATCTCTATCAATTCAACTATTGTCTTGTGATGTCTCCATAAAAAGAAGTCTAAAGAAGTAAAATCTGATAAGCGAGAAACGTATCATATTGATTCATCTCTTATAATTCACCTGTTGCCAAAGATATTATTAAATCAACTATGAATCATCTTCGAGAAATTAGCATCTTCCAAAAACCTGCTAACAGATGATTTGAAGAATAGAATAAGTTGAGAAAACAAATTAATTATAAAAAGGAATTTTTCTTGATATTTTTTTCAAAAAACTATAAAACATCTAAATGTTAATATTAATGTTAAATGGAATACTTTTGAGCAGTATTTAGAAACTTCATCAATATAAAAAAAAACTTTCTTTTCTTTTCAATAAAAGAAAAGAAATTAGTGATATCGCTTTATTAATAAGAGAGAAAAATGATTTTTTTTTCAAGTGATCATGACTTTTGAGATACTCTGTATAATACATAATACTATGTAGTAAAACTATGTATGACATCACCATTGAACGCACGATTCTTATTGATTATTCAAAATCTAGAGACTAGAACTGAATCGAATAGAGTTCTAATTGAAGTTTTTTTTTATTTTCGAGTTAGATTGAACCAAATATATCTTTTATAAAGTTAAATCGAAACGATTTGAGATGTTTACAAGCTTATTCAAATCCAATCCAGGAAAAAATGTTTACTTATTCATTTTGGTCTGTGTTCAATACTATCAACTGATAATAATGGCACTTTTATTTTATATAACATGACGATATCAACAGGCACTAGCTATCTTACATTCAAATTATCTTTAGTCTGTTAAAAACTTTCGTTGATTATGTTTTCACCATATGAATAATTAATGCATTTAACTATCGTATTCAGAATATTCGGTTGTTAATTATTATTGAAGATTTTATTAAAAACATTAAGCGATTATATGATTCAACATAAAAAAATAAATTATAGATTAGAAAAAGCAATGTGGCTACTCTAAATAATTTTACGAGAAAATAGTCGAAACATGAAAAAATAAAATAAAATGTTCCCGCACGAACTTCGATGTTGGAAACTTTGTTTTGCTTAGAAATTAATAATCTAACGGAGAAAGCGTAGTTTATTTTTTTTTAATGAAAAACAGAACTATGTATTCTGATTGAAATATGAAATTTTTCAATTTTCGATTAATTGAAGACTGATGATATTATTTAAAACAACACGAAATAGAAATATTCAATTTGAAAATTTATCGAAAAAATAATTCATCGTTCAGTAGAAAAAATAAGTATTTAAAATCGAATGAAATGAATATGAATAAAACAAGGCTTGTTCAATTCAATTGTTTTCTTAATTGTCTAAATTCGTTTATATCACAAGGGTAACATCGTAAAAAAATGGAATGTTTAATAATAACGCGTAGAAATTGTTCCCAACGATTCACTTTCCAGATCTTTAATGATTTATCTGTTTAAGTATTGTATTTTTCAAATACGTAACTTAATTTGTTGTATATAAATATGTTACTTTTGTTGGAACGTTTTTTAAATCGATAAAAAAACTAAAAATATTTGTAATTTAATGCATATTTATTCAATGTGTTTTTGTTTTATACATTATATTATTACATGTTTTATTTGATTTATTTTTCTATATCAAATACATAACAAACTAAAAGCATGTAAGTAATAGAACGATAAAATCGATCAGTTATTTATGAGTATTTAAGAAGGACGACAGAAGAAAAATCCATACTAAGAAAGACAAGTGAATATACAAAAGAATGATGATTCGAAGCAATAAGAGAAAAATATCCCTTGTTCACCTTTTTTTGAATGACAATACTTCTTTTTAACAAGACACTAACTACAGTACATAATATTATCCATGCGAAAAACATCGTATGATTGTAAATATATAAGGACATATATTATATTATTAGGTAGCGATAGAAAAAATTGCTTCAATAGACGAATTATATTTTAACTATTTATGTCCGTCGATAGAGCTAAGAACGAATGAAAAAAGAAAGTGACTATCGATCGATAATGATCAATGCATTTGAATAGAATCGAGAGAGAAAAATTTCTCATGTGTAAAATAGCAAAAGCAAAATCATCTGTCGTACGAACAAAATACATAATGATTTCGTATATTTAATCGTTTCATTACTTCATTACAATTTCTTATCGTACATAAATTTGATAAGGAGAGTATTAAATCTCCACTTTGACCATTTTTCATATAAAAATCAAATAAAATCTATTCTTATTACAAAATTATTAATATTTATTACTTAATTAGTTCAATATTTCTATACAACAAGGTAAATTATTATTTGTTTCAACTTATTTTTTTTAACAATATATACTAGTAAGAAACAGATCTATAAACAACACATCATTCTGATAAAAGACTTTTCTCTTTACTTAACTTTATATTAGTTGAAAGATAAATAAGGTTAAAAGCACAATTACTGACTTAAGTTTCAAATCTTGAGAAAGTAGACTAATTTTTCGAAACATCGAATTGTGATCATATAGAATTTCGAATATATATATATTAAATTTAAATTAAAATTCTATATGAATTAGACCTTTCAACTTATACTAAAGTTATCCTCATATCAATATTAGTTGTTCATATTTACAATCATAATAAAAGTCACAATTTATTTGTCTTTTAAATTTTATAACGAAATTTTAGAAAAAAAATATATATTTGTATAGTTTTCATATGACCTTCGTCAAAATCGATCTGAATCTTCCATTTCATGGTAAATTAGAAAGAAAAAAATGATAGAAAAAAAACACGTGATAGGGAAGAGATATTATTTCTATAGTATAAATTATTTTTAATGTTATATTATTGTTATACGTAATCTATCTCATATTTAGAGCATTTCAGAATTAAAAACACTTCGTATGTATGTTGATGATGATGATTCCCCTATTTCTATTGGTTAATATACTTACAAAAATTCAGTGCTTATCATTCGTTATTTATAGATTAACAAAACCAAAAAGTCTTATATATTATGTACGAGGTTTTTACCTAATTATATATAAAATTGTCCAATGGAATCATTGTAAATTAGTAAACTATATTAGTCTTAAGATATTTTCATTTATATAAATATCTGAGTCAATCAAGAACTATCGATTAAAATATAAATCGTTAGATGAACATCAATATAATATTTTCAGTTTTTGTAACTTTTCGATCTTTATATAATTAATATAATAACCTTCAAATTGATCGAAAAAGTAGATATTTGAAAACAAATATCCTCCTATTTCTTCTTCTTATATAAATTCCTCTATAGACACTCGTTCTCATTTATTATTTTTTTTAGATAAAGCACTTCTGACATGAGTTCTGATCCGACGAAAGTCATAGCCCTATCTTCTCTTGCTAGCTTTGCTGCTGGAGCATTATCAATCTGGACTATCGTGAATTGGCGTCAACGTTGTGAAAAGTCAAAAATAACAGATTGTGAACCCACTATAGTGCAACCAGTTAGACGACCTACTCCACAACCTCATCAACATTCTGATGAAGAATCTGGAGAACAACTTCATTGGAATCCATTTCAAGAACGACGTGGAATTGGTGATCTCGTTATAAAAGCAAATCATATTGCTCTTATTGTATCGGATGTCGGTAGATCGCTTCATTTTTATGTTGATATATTGGGTCTACAACAGATTCGTCGACCGAACTTTGATCGACATGGAGCATGGCTTACGATGGGTAATCTTGAGCTTCATCTTATCAAGGGTATTCCCGTACCACCACCTGAAGATAATCTGATTGTGGGACATATTGCATTGGAAACTACAGATGTGAAGTTAACTTTACAGAAACTAATCGAAATGAAAGTTGAATTTCGTCAAAATATTTCCGTACCTGATCCAAAAACATCACGAGAGAATCGATTTGAAGGCGGTGCGTCCAAAGGACCTACAGGTGTTGTTCAATACTTCTTTACTGATCCTGATGGATATTATATTGAACTTTGCAATTGTGATATACTCACGGATTTTTGTCTGAATAAAGAACGTGGCTCTGAAGCTCTTCAGTATTGTGAAGGTGTTAAAAAATACCATGCATTAACTGTTGCTCAAACAGCTATGCGATGGAGACGAAAAGCACGTCGACAACGTGACGAAGATCTTGATCTAATCTTGGAATATCTACCACGTGCAACGGAAGTTCATAAAGAACGATATGAAAATCTTTGCAAACGACGATTTACCTATGGTGACATTATGCAAGGCTTCAGTGACGAAGAAATTCAAGAAGCACTTCTTAGAGGACACAATGCTGTACGCTTAGCAATTAGACTTCTTACACGACAACGAGGCACAGATCGATATTTTCAACCACCTTCTTTCTACGAAAAGGGAGAATTGACCAAGCCAAAGGCATTTCATATGGTTAAAAACAAAAAATAATCAATAGTACACCAACAATTAATTATTACATATATGATCAAAGAACTATTTATTGAACTTTTTTTTTTTTATCTATTTCTGAAACTTTTAAATAAACTTATTATAATACTTTAGAATATATTTGATTTTTGAAAAATATTAATTTAATGAGAAGAGAAAATTAAAATATTTTTTATTTATAAATGAATTTTGTATGTTAACTGAAGCTTTTATAAATTATATATTTAATCTGAGTAATCAAATAAGTATCTGGGTATTTTTAAAACATATATGACTTAACCCTCATCTTTCAAATCTATATCAGAAAATAAACATTTAAAGATAATAAAGTAATACAAGACGCAACAAAGCGATTATGTCTCCTCTTTACCCTTATATACAAATAATATCATAAAGTATTTTATATAAAATTAAAGTGTGTCAAAAACCGAAATTATTGGTACTAAATAGTAAGAATTATCAAATTTTGTAATGTGTAACTTACAAGACTTTCAGAAATATTAGGCCTTTTTGACATAAAAGATGAAGGCTTCAGAAGTACAAAAGTACAGTAATCCTTTTTTTTCTTGGATATTTTTATATGGTTTGATAGAGCTCATCGAACTCTACAAAACTGTATTTGAAAACCTCTTTTTCAAACTAAGGAAAACGCTCTATTTCTTGCAAACAGAAGTAAGATTTTTTCATCCTATTATTTTCTTTAACATTAACTTTATTAATATCAATCCATGGAAATGACTTATCATCAAATTCCTTGATATGATGTCGATCAAAATATTTCTTAACACAATCTTGTGGTCTTATTACATTTTCTACGATTTGTTTTGAAGCTGTTCATCAATGTTTTTTAAATAAATGCTCGTTGTTTTATAGAACAAAATGTATATTTAAATTAGTTCAATATCTTACAGTTTTTATTATTTAGTTTTGGCACTGTTAATATAGTTTGTTCGATTGATTTTATTATATTAAATTTCATATGTATTCAATATCTAACATATTTTTTATCCAGTATTAATTGATTTTCTTCCAATTGCTATTGCATCAATCTGTAGTTTATTAGCACTTTGCAATGTACGTCATATTATTCGTCAAGAAATTTTAATTGAACGTCGTCGATTAGATATTCAAATAGCAGCAATGGTATTAGTTTTGTATTTTTTAGATTATCATATGTGATTTATCGGATTTCTATTGAATCTATTAATGAGATATCATTTGATTGTGTTCATTAGAAAAAAAAATTTTAAACAAAAGTCTTAATTTTACTCTACAGGCATCTCCAAACAAAAAATTTCAAAGTATTTTCTGGACAAGAATATCTTAAGACAAGTGCGTCTTTTAGTCTTGTGACATCTAATTCTCACCGTCTTAGATTCAACCAACAAGGAATTTCTAATTTGTCAAATGTGATTTCAAGAATGGGGTATTTTAGATGAATGTGATTTTAATTCATTTTTTAAATCTATTAGCTATGGAAATCTACAGCTGACTTGATTTGAAAGTCACCTATCTAAGGTAGACTTCAACGCTTCTGAAAACAATAATGAAATTCAATACTTTGTTAATCGTCTTTTTCTTCATATTTTAAAGTTAATAAAATACCAATTCGATAGTGAAACCAATCTTGTAAATTAGCAAGTAGAAAGCAAGCGGAGCCAGTTATGAACAACCATGCGCCGACGTCTAATGCTTGCTTATAATTGCCATAAACATTAGTGAAATACATGCAAGATCCAACAACAAAAGTGAAACAACCTATCAAGTAACATGTACCATGTCAAAGACGCCATATAATCGAATGAGGTTCATCAAGAAGATTTCCATGTAAACCTTCATCAGGTATATCTTTTTCATTTACACGACTGGGTTTCATCTGGATAAGATTGTAAGAAGAACATTCATTTATGTCTTGCTTTTATATGCCTCGAATTAAGTCGGGACATGTCATATGGGCAATTTTTTTATTTAAGTTGATAAGAGCACTGTTTTGCTCTTGAGCACTTACAGATAAGTTTTTTATAAGTATAAAGCAATACGTAAGTATATAATCATAAAAGGACGCTACACTTACTGCTGCGTGTTCGGTTTTTTAACATGATATACTTTAGTTATTGAGAATTTTATAGTCCAGTAAAGAAAGAAAAGGGGAGGGGAGGAGCGAATGCTCGTAAAGGCCGAGCTATAGAATGAGGCGTGCAGAAGAACGAAAAGAGAAGAAACATAAAAGAAATAAAACAAAAGGAAAAAGAAAAAATGAAGATGGAAAGCTTTTCTGATAAACAACCGAATGAGACAATAGAACCATTGATAACAAGAATAAAGGAAACGGTGGAAGCTAGTGACGGGTGGGTGTGGTTGTGGACATACGATAATACAATATCCACACTCACACCCACACTCTAGTTTTTTACATTGCTCTTGTGTAAAATTTCGATACGTTATAGATGGTATCTGTTTGCTGAACTCATGTAGAATATTTAAGTTGTAAAATGAAAGTTTGAAGAGTATCATAATTCTTTAACAGTTTTATTAGACAATTCAAAAAGGGACATCAGATGTACAGAATAAACGAAATCAGAAGAGAAATGAACATTTTGACAGAAAATAGAACAAAATTTAATATGGTTTTTCGCCTGAATCTTCACTATCAAGGATACAATTAGCCATTGTAATGATGAAATGCGGGTTTGTGTTTCAGGATCATTGGAATGATATTGCTGAGTAAACTTGTTGCCTTTCTTTCGAGGTCAATCTCGACGTTTTGTTGCTTTAATGATTGTTGAGTTAGATGTTGATGCTATGATCGAAGCTTTTATAAATGCAGCTTTTTGTTTATGATTCTTCTTTTCCTCGTCATCTTTTAGTTTCATAAGAACTATTAAGGACGTTCGTTCGTGGACTATCTCCGTCATCTCTTTTATTTATAATGTCAGTCGGTATTCATTTTTTTAAACGTGTGATAGAATCTCATGTAAAATGGTGAACGAGAAACAATGGATGCACAACGAATCAAATCTAACGTAACTTCGATTAGATGTAAACTCTGAGATTTAGCATATAATTCATGACGGCTTGTAAACCACAATTCCAATAAACGTTACTGTTAAATAATAATATTAAGATATATATCGACGAATAAATACTTACAAAAGTTCCTAGGTATATATTGTGAAGTGAATAATCAGCAGTAGAGAATTGTTTAATATCAAAATATAATAGATTAAACAGGAAATACGAACCATATTGGTCACAAACGAGATTTTTTTCACTTGTGATAATATGACAATATATTGATCATACATTTCATTGCTTTTATCTCCAGTATCTTGTTCTATGTATTTTAAAAAGATAGGAACAGCACTTTTCCCATTTAGCACATATTTTCCTACAGAGAAAAAAAAAACAGAATTAAAGATAATGTATATACAGACATCTTCTCAGAAATATGAAATGAAATCAAAAATTATCACTGCAGTCTCTATCCCTATTGAATATCTAGAAGTTTATATTTATATAAATGTCTACAGATCTTCGTAACACACTATTAAACAGACCTATCAGTCTACTAATTTAATACTAAATCTACTTTTGAAAATAATATGAGATGTAGCATTTTACCTCTGTTAGTACAGGTATAAAAGCTAATAAAACCAATAAATATTCATCATCAATGATTGAGCAGATTTGTCAAGCGTTGCTGTAATTAAATATTCATGAATATTATTAAAACTATTGTTGAATACTGGATATGAGATGTTGAAATCAAGTTTCTATTGACGTAACTTATGAATCCAGTCGGCTACAAAATTTTAAATTCTATATTCTTTCTAATTTATTCGTTTGTATAGGTATGGAAAGAATAAAAAGTATTATTCATATTAAATCTAATACCACGTTATAATTCGTTGATAACCTTACAGTTTATCCATATAGAATAGCAGAATTTTTTAATTAATATTTGCTCGCTATTTAAAAGAAGGTTTATTATTTGCCTCTGTAAATCAAACATCTGCTCTTGAGAAACTAAATTACGTCGTACTTGATCTTCCTGAACATCAAACAGTCTTGTATTATCATCTTGTTCTGGTATAATGTTATGGCATTCCAAAATAGATCTTAATTATGGAAGGAATTTAAATGTAAATAATATTTCAATAATTGATACTGAATTTATATTGTACATTATTACATTTTAACGAGATAACTCCCTTATTACTACACTTTGAACAAACAATGTGCCGTTTGCCATGTAATATCTTCGTTCAATACAACGAAAATCAAATACTCAATTTTCTACGCCCAACCTACATAATAAAAAAACATTAATCATTGATACACAATTTGGATAGACTGTGCTTATATTGAAAAGGTGCGGAAATGCTTGATATTTATTTTATATTGGATGAAGAAGATTGAAATTATTCACTAACAAAGTCGGGTATTGTCTGGCATGAACGTCAACTATTATCATCATTTTCTAAATATGATCTAGAACTAGATGCATCATTTATAATATAATCAGATACGATTAACCTGATTTTCAATTGTTCTTGATCCTAATCTCGCATAATTATATCGTTGATTTCATTATTTTCGACTAACGATACATGTAAAAAGAAGAATCATAATGACGCTAGAGACTGATATGCGACTCTTCCCTGTATATCACTTCTCGATCTATATACTAAAGTTTAACTTGGACTTAATCTAGATAAATTCAATACTTTTTGCTATTGTGTAGTGATAGAAAAGACATTATTATAAGTAACAGAT